AGTTACTCAAACCTAATCCTATATTTTATGCTCCTCTATCACCAATTTAATTTTTCCTTTTCAAACAAATTAAATCAATTTATTATCTTTTTAAATGACATTAAAAATAAAAAAAGAAAAAGTAATTCAAATTTTTAGGTTTTCAATAAATAAAAATAAAATTAATGTTACCAAATTTTAATGTCGAGATTAGTAAGGAATTTGCAATTACCAAGTGCTGTACCAATAGCAGAAGCTCCATCATCCCCAATTTAATTTTCACTTTTATAAATAATAATCACGTTTAATTAAAGTTAAAAACACTTTATTTTTTTATTTAATTAAATTAAAATAGTAAGTTAAATTTACCCTATCCAAAAATCTAAATTTGTAAGTTGAGTGATTTTACTCAAACCTAATCCTATATTTTATGCTCCTCTATCACCAATTTAATTTTTCCTTTTCAAACAAATTTAATCAATTTATTATCTTTTTAAATTTGTTTTGACATTTAAATCAAAATAAAAAAAGTAATTCTAACTTTTTAAATTATTGATAAATAAATATAAATTCTTTTTTACGAAATTACAAAACTGAGATTAGTAAGGAACTTGCAGTTACCAAGTGCAATACCAATAGTAGAAGCTCCATCATCCCCAATTTAATTTTCACTTTTATAAATAATAATCACGTTTAATTAAAGTTAAAAACACTTTATTTTTTTCATTTAAGCTTATTTAATTAAATTAAAAAAGTAAGTTAAATTTACACCAATTTAATTTTTCCTTTTCAAAAAATTTAATCAATTTATTATCCTTTTAAATTTGTTTTGTAAAGCAAAATAAAAAAAGTAATTCTAACTTTTTAAATTATTGATAAATAAATATAAATTCTTTTTTACTGAATAGCAAAAAAGAGATTAGTAAGGTACTTACAGTTACCAAGTGCTGTACCAATACTAGAAGCTCCATCATCCCCAATTTAATTTTCACTTTTATAAATAATAATCACGTTTAATTAAAGTTAAAAACTAAATTATTTAATAAATTTTAAGCTTATTTAATTAAATTAAAAAAGTAAGTTAAATTTACTATATCCTAAAATCTAAATTTGTAAGTTGAGTGCAGTTACTCAAACCTAATCCTATATTTTATGCTCCTCTATCACCAATTTAATTTTTCCTTTTCAAACAAATTTAATCAATTTATTATCCTTTTAAATTTGTTTTGGCATTTAAATCAAAATAAAAAAAGTAATTCTAACTTTTTAAATTATTGATAAATAAATATAAATTCTTTTTTACGAAATAGCAAAAGTAAGATTAGTAAGGAGCTTGCAGTTACCAAGTGCAATACCAATAGTAGAAGCTCCATCATCCCCAATTTAATTTTCACTTTTATAAATAATAATCACGTTTAATTAAAGTTAAAAACACTTTATTTTTTTCATTTAAGCTTATTTAATTAAATTAAAAAAGTAAGTTAAATTTACTATATCCTAAAATCTAAATTTGTAAGTTGAGTGCAGTTACTCAAACCTAATCCTATATTTTATGCTCCTCTATCACCAATTTAATTTTTCCTTTTCAAACAAATTAAATCAATTTATTATCTTTTTAAATGACATTTAAATCAAAATAAAAAAAGTAATTCAAATTTTTAGGTTTTCAATAAATAAAAATAAAATTAATGTTACCAAATTTTAAAGTCGAGATTAGTAAGGAATTTGCAATTACCAAGTGCTGTACCAATAGTAGAAGCTCCATTATCACCAATTTAATTTTAGCTTTTATAAATGAAAATCACATTTAATTAAAGTTAGTTTAAATTTTAAGCTTATTTAATTCAGTTTGAATAAAAAAGCATTTGCATAATTTTATTAAAAAGTAATAAATGAGTTTAATTTACCTTATCAAAAACTTTAAATTTGTAAGTTGAGTGCAGTTACTCAAACCTAATCCTATATTTTATGCTCCTCTATCACCAATTTAATTTTTCCTTTTCAAACAAATTAAATCAATTTATTATCTTTTTAAATTTGTTTTGACATTTAAATCAAAATAAAAAAAGTAATTTTAACTTTTTAAATTATTGATAAATAAATATAAATTCTTTTTTACGAAATATCAAAAGTAAGATTAGTAAGGAACTTGCAGTTACCAAGTGCAATACCAATAGTAGAAGCTCCATTATCGCCAATTTAATTGTAGCTTTTATAAATGAAAATTATATTTAATTAAAGTTAGTATATTTTATAAATTTTAAGCTTATTTAATTCAGTTTGAATAAAAAGCTTTTGCAGTATTTTATTAAAAAGTAATAAATGAGTTTAATTTACCTTATCAAAAACTTTAAATTTGTAAGTTGAGTGCAGTTACTCAAACCTAATCCTATATTTTATGCTCCTCTATCACCAATTTAATTTTTCCTTTTCAAACAAATTAAATCAATTTATTATCTTTTTAAATTTGTTTTGACATTTAAATCAAAATAAAAAAAGTAATTTTAACTTTTTAAATTATTGATAAATAAATATAAATTCTTTTTTACGAAATATCAAAAGTAAGATTAGTAAGGAACTTGCAGTTACCAAGTGCAATACCAATAGTAGAAGCTCCATTATCGCCAATTTAATTGTAGCTTTTATAAATGAAAATTATATTTAATTAAAGTTAGTATATTTTATAAATTTTAAGCTTATTTAATTCAGTTTGAATAAAAAGCTTTTGCATTATTTTATTAAAAAGTAATAAATGAGTTTAATTTACCTTATTTCAAATTGTAAATTTCTAAGTTGAGTGCAGTTACTCAAACCTTATCCTATATTTTATGCACCTTTATTACCAATTTAATTTTTCCTTTTCAAACAAAATAAATTAATTTATTATCCTTTTAAATTTGTTTTGACATTTAAATCAAAATAAAACAAGTAAATCAAACTTTTTAAGTTATAGATTAATAAATATAAAATTAATATTACGAAATTTAAAAGTTGATATTAGTAAGGAACTTGCAACTACCAATTGCTGCACCAATAGTAGAAGTTCCATCATCACCAATTTAATTGTAGCTTTTATAAATAAAAATCTCTTTTAATTAAAGTTAAAGACATTCTATTTTTTAATTTTAAGCTTATTTAATTCAGTTTGAATAAAAAAGCTTGTTCATAATTTTATTAAAAAGTAATAAATGAATTCAATTTACGTTATCCTAAATTCTAAATTTGTAAGTTGAGTGCATTTACTTAAACCTAATCCAATATTTTATGCTCCTCTATCACCAATTTAATTTTTCCTTTTCAAACAAATTTAATCAATTTATTATCCTTTTAAATTTGTTTTGGCATTTAAATCAAAATAAAAAAAGTAATTCTAACTTTTTAAATTATTGATAAATAAATATAAATTCTTTTTTACGAAATAGCAAAACTGAGATTAGTAAGGAAATTGCAGTTACCAAGTGCTGTACCAATAGTAGAAACTCCATCATCCCCAGTTTAATTTTAGCTTTTTTATATAAAAATCACGTTTAATTAAAGTTAAAGACATTTTATAAATTTTAATACAGTTTGAATAAAGTAAATAAAATTTACCTAATATTAAATTTTAAATTTCTAAGTTAAGTGCAATTCTTTAAGCCTAATCCAATATATTCAACCCCTTTACCTTCAAATTTATTTAGACTTTTCAAATAATTAAATTCTTTAATTAATTATTTAAATATTTTTTGGAGTTTAATTCAAAATATATAAAATAATTAAAAGTTTTTTAAGTTATTGATAAATAAATTTAAAATTAATGTTACTAAATCTAACACTAGAGATTTGTAAGAGATTTACAGTTACCAATAGCTCTACCAATAGCAGAAGCTCCATCATTTCCGATTTTATTTAATCTTTTATGAATAAATATATAAAATCAATAAATACATATAAAATTAAATTATTTTAAATGATAATTGAAAAAAATTAATTATTGATAATTACTCCATTCGAATATCTAAATTGGTAAGTTGATTACAATTACTTAAACCTTTTCCAATGTTTAATGCTCCCTTATCACCTATTCGATTAATCCTTTTCAAACAAAATAAATCAAATTATTAGTTGATTAATTATTTTAAACTAATCTTAAAAATAAAAATTTAATCAAATATTTTTACATTGTCAAAATTTTAAAAATTAAAATTACCTAAGATTAAATTTTAAATGAGTTAGTAACCTACAACTACTTATTGCTGTTCCAAAAGAATATGCTCCTTCATCCCCAATATTATTATTACTTTCATTTAAAAAAAATAATATTCTAGTAAATAAATATATAATTCTTTAAATGATTAATTTAAATTTTTTAAACAAGCTAAAAATATAATAATATAAAAATTACCAAAGCACACATTTTAGATTGATAAGTAATTTACAGCTACCTATAACTCTACAAATAGCAGATGCTCCTTCTTCTCCAATATTATTATTGCTAATAAAACATTGAATAATATATCAATAAAAATTAATAACAACTCTAAAATTGTTAAAGGATTTAATAGATTAAAAAATTTATTAAAGCGTCTACAATTAATTTATAAATTTATACTTTAAAAAAATTAAAATTAGTTACGATATGCTTATATCTAAATGAGTCAAATTGCTACATTTACTTAATGCTTGACTGATAGAAAATGCACCTTCTTTTCCAAATAAGTTATTACTTTTTTAAGTTTTTAAAATTAGAAAAAAAATAAAATTGATATAGAATTTTTAATTTTATAATTAACAGTCAATAAAATTTACTCTGCATTTAAAATTAAACTTGTTAGTTTAGCACAACTACTAATACCTTCTGCAATACTTGTTATCCCTCTGTCACCTATTTTATTTTTCCTTTCCAAATAAATATTTTTAATAATTAATTTATTTGCTTTTGAAGCAATATAATAAATATAACTGAATATGTTTAATATAATTAAAATAAAATTACCAAAGCTGCAAATTTAAGCTAGTAATTGTTTTGCATCTACGTAAAACTGTCTAAATCTAAACAGCGCCTTTATCACCAATTTAATTTCCACTTTTATTAAAAATTATTTAAATTAATTTATTACAAATAATAATATATTTAAATGAGTTTTGAAAGATGAATTATTAATATTAAAAAAAGAATACTCTAAACTTAATTCTAAACTGTTGAGATTAATTAGATTGCTCATACTTTCTTCTAATAGAATATTTCCTTAAATTTCAGTTTCATTTAATCTTTAAAATTAAAAAAATAAATTAAGTAAGTACCAATAGCTCTATTTTACCTAGGTTGATTATAAGCTTTAATTCCTTTGTAAAGAATTCTTCTGAAAAACAAAATTTGGTCATATATATAATCATTGCTTTTTAAATAAAAATAAAATAAAATTAAAACTATTTTAATTTATTTAAATTGTTAAATCAATAAAAAGATATAAATTAATATTTTATTTAACATAATTTAAAAAGCAAGCTTCAAACTTTTAACTTTTTATTAATTGTAGAAATACCTAGAGCAAAAAGACAATATTATAATTTATTAAACTATTATTTGGTTATAACATAAAAAATATATTTACCTCACATTATCACCAGTTTCAACAAAATCTTTTATGTCGGGAAATTAAGCAAATTTGTAATTTATCTAATCATCTGAAATATTTTCCTTACTAAATGTTCGATTGATAATAAAAAGTAATGAATTAATGTATTTAAGATAATAAAGTTAAATAATTACTTAAGATTTAATACTAAAGATTCTAATTTTTAGCATTAGACTAAAGAAGTGTTAAGCTAAGCAACTTATTCATTACTAAGAGTACAATTTCTATTTATTTTATAAATAATAACAAAAGAATTTAATTTATGGATAAATGAATGAATGATATGAAATTTTATTTATTCCAATTTTGTAAATTTATAAAAATGAGAAAAAGCTTTAAAATATTTATTCATTTATTTTTATTAAAATTAATATTACTTTTAAAAATTTATGATTAAATATTAATAAATAAATATTTATATATATTTCTTACTTTAACTGTAAGTCAATATGAGTCAGAGCTTTCAAGTTAGATTACATTAACTATTTATTTAAAAAAATGATTTTATAATGATATATAAAATGAATAATAATGGATACATCTTCTAGATTATTAAAAGAGTTATTCTATTACTCCATTTTTTTTAATGAATTCGCCATTAATATTTCTTTTATTATTTATTATTAATTAATTAATTATTATTAGAAATTAATTAATAATTTTGATTAATTAAAAATTCTTGATTAACTTCTTTTAAATATTCTTATTTAATTTGTACTGTTCTAAAAACATATATTAATAAATCAGTCTCCCTTTTTATTCTCTCCCCATAAAGGCATCTATCTTAAATACCATAATTTAAACCTGTATAAAAATAAAAATTTTTCTTTGTATATCTTTTGAAATTTTAAAATTTTTTTAATTTTGGGGTTAATATAATTTGGGGTGAATTTATGAGAACTTACAGTATAAATTAAAATTATTAATATTATTAATGAAATTCTATTACTAAATTATTTATTTTTATATAAATAATGTTAAAATGCATTAGCCATATTTTTAATTTTTAGCAAAAAAATAATTTTACTTTTTTGATAATTATTTTTTTTAATTTAATGTAATATATTTTTAATTAAACAATTTCTAATTTATTTTAGTTTTTAATCTAATAATTAAAAAATAAAATCTGCTGTTTTTCTTTGATCATTTTTAAAAAATTTTGATATACATTCATTTTTATAATATGATCTCATTAGATATTTTATAGTTCGGGTTATTCATTTATAAATGGTTTAAATATTATGGTTTGATTAAGTTTTGCTAAGAATTAACCATTTGTTAATTTATTATTTTAAATAAAAAAACAAAAATAATATCAGAAATAATTTTTTATTTTAATAAAGCATTTTAATTAATATTTAAGTATTTATAATTACCTCCAATAAAGAAAGATATATTTTAGGAAATGTAGTTTTAAATATTTACAAAAAATTATTATTATATTTTATTTTAAAATATTTGATGATAGTTAATAATTTTATTTTACATCTTTTACTTTGAAATAAATAAATAAATTAAGTCAAATTATAAAATTATATTTTTGATTAATTTCATTAAAGTTAGACAGTAAATTTTGATAAATTTAGAAATTATAAAAGATAATTCTTCCATATATTTTGAGTCGAATTTTTAATTATCTATTTCAAATTTATTATTTTAAGATTAATAATTAATTCTTGTAATTATCATAATTCATGAGATAAGTCTGTATTGATCACTTTTTTAAAAAAAACTGAAAGAAAATATATAAGAATTAATTAGAGACTAATTAATTTTTTTTGGAAGAATTTTTTACTAAATTTATAGAATATAATGTCAAGTAATGAATTTTTGTATTCTTATTTAAAATAATTGAAATAAAATTTAAACTGACTTAATATTATGCATGAATCTGCTAATTAATTAAAAATTGATAATCTAATTAATCTTTTTATGTTTTTAAATATCTATCTAAATTATCTCTTAAAAACTAATTATTATTTAAACAAATTAATTTTTTTAATTAATTAATACTTAATACAGATAGATATAAATACAAATAAAAGAATTTATATATTTAATTAATTTAGTTTTAGAGGAAAAGAGTTAAACAAACAATTATTAATAGTATCTAAAGCTTACCAAAAAGAATTTAATACATTATAGATAATAAAGGAGAATTTTATAATAATTGATAATAGCAATTATAATAAACAGATATCTGATTTTCAAAAATTTTATTATGTAAAGGATATATAAAAGATATTTTAATTATTTTTTTAATAACAATCAAATTAAATTATGATAATAAATCAATTGCTTTTTCGTAAAATTGAATTTTTTAATAAAATATATACTGATTAGTTAGTTATACATACTTTTTTTTCAATTTCTATTTTTATAAAATATGTATGTACTGTTAATAAATAAATAAATATTTAATTATTAATTTTAGTAAATTCAATCAACATCTACTTTTAATTTAACTAATCTTTTTATTTTTTAAGCTAATCTTTTGATTTCAGTTTGTCTTTCAGGCTAATTTCTTTTAATAAATAAAAATTTATTTTCAGATAAATAAAATTTTTTTTATTTTATTATCTATTTAAACAAAAAAAAGTAATTACTATAAGGAAATATTCAATAACTTTATATTTTGACAGTTGATGATTGAGCTCGATTTTAGTAATTTATCATTATTACTTTTAAAATAAAGAAATTTTAATCAACAATATTAGCATTTTTAAGATAGTTTTTTTTTCAAAAGTAATAAATGAAATTTACTCTGAGCTAAAAGTTAAATTAATAAGTCGAGAGCAGTTACTCAAACATAATGCAATATTTAATGCTCCTTCATCACCAATTTTATTTTCCCTTTTGAAACAAAATAAATTGATTAATTAACTATTTAAATTTGATTGACATTTAAATCAAAATATTTAAAAATAATTATCCAAACTTTTTTAAGTATAAGATAGATAGATAAATAAATAATAAATTTTTTTTTTTTACGAAATATCTAAATCGAGATTAGTAAGGGATTTGCAGTTACCAAGTGCTGTACCAATAGTAGAAGCTCCATCATCTCCGATTTAATTTTCGCTTTTATAAATGAAAATAACTTTTAATACAAAATGAAAGACATTTCATTAATTTCAAGCTTATTTAATTCTGTTAGAATCAAATAGATTTTACATTATTTTTTATAAAAGTAATAAATGAAATTTATTTACTTTATCCAAAATTGTAAATTTGTAAGCTGAGTGCAATTACTCAAACCTAATCCAATATATTATACTCCTCTATCTCCAATTTAATTTTATCTTTTAAAGCAATATAAATTTGTATTGAAAAATATAAAATAATTCAAACTTTTTAAAGTTATCTATAAATAGATAATTTTTTTTATACGAAATATCTAAATTGAGATTAGTAAGGAATTTGCAGTTACCAAATGCTGTAACAATAGTAGAAATTCCATCATCCCCAATTTAATTTAAGCTTTTATAAATGAAAACCACGTTTAATTGTAAATTAAAGAGATTTTGTTAATTTTAAGCTTATATATATATTTAGTTCAGTTTTAATCAAAATGATTTATTTATCATAATTATTTTCTAAAGTAATACATGAAATTTATTTACCCAATCCCAAGTTGTAAATTTGTAAGTTGAGTGCAGTTACTCAAACCTAATCCAATATATTATGCTCCTTTATCACCAATTTAAATTTACCTTTTCAAGCAATATAAATAAATGAATTAATTTATAATTATTTAAATTTCTATTGAATTATATAAAATAATTCATATTTGTTTAAGTTATCTATTAATAAATATAAATTTATTTTACTAAATATCAAAATTGAGACTAGTAAGGAATTTGCAGTTACCAAGTGCTGTACAAATAGTAGAAACTCCATCATCCCCAATTTAATTTAAGCTTTTATAAATGAAAATCACTTTTAATTGAAAATTAAAGAAATTTTATAAATTTTCAGTTTGAATCAAATTGATTTTACATAATTATTTTCTAAAGTAGTAAATGAAATTAATTTACCCAATCCCAAGTTGTAAATTTGTAAGTTGAGTGCAGTTACTCAAACCTAATCCAATATTCTGTGCTCCTTTATCACCAATTTTATTATCCCTTTCAAATAAAATAAATCAATTTATTAACTATTTTAATTTGTTTTTGAAATTTAAATTAAAATATATAAAATTACTCAAATCATTTTTCAGTTATCAATAAATAATTATTAAATTAATTTTACCAAATTTAAAAGTCGAGATTAGTAAGGGATTTGCAGTTACCAAGTGCTGTACCAATAGTAGAAGCACCATCATCCCCAATTTAATTTTAGCTTTTTTTAATGAAAAAAACGTTTCATACAAAATTTAAGACATTTTATTAATTTTAAGCTTATTTATTTAATTCAGTTTGAATCAAATAGATTTTTAAAAATTTTTCAAAAGTAATAAATAAATAAATGTAAATAATTTGCTTTATCCCAAATTGTAAATTTGTAAGTTGAGTGCAATTACTCAAACCTAATCCAATATATTATGCTCCTGTATCACCAATTTTATTTTACCTTTTCAAGCAATATATATAAATTAATTAATTTATATTGACATTCAAATCAAAATGTATAAAATAATTCATACTTTTTTAAGTTATCAATCAATCAATAAATAAATAAAAAATTTATTTTACGAAATATCAAAATAGAGATTTGTAAGGGATTTGCAGTTACCAAGTGCTGTACCAATAGTAGTAGCTCCATCATCCCCAATTTAATTTGAGCTTTTATAAATAAAATGTATGTTTAATTGAAAATTAAAAACATTTTATAAATTTTAAGCTTTATTTATTTATTCAGTTTGAATCAAAATACATATAATTATTATCAAAAATAAAAAATGCAATAAATTTACTTCATTGCAAATTATAAATTTGTAAGTTGAGAGCAGTCATTCAAACCTAACCAAATATTTTATGCTCCTTTATCACTAATCTTATTATCCCTTTTCATATAAAATAAATCTATTTATTAACTTTTTTAATTTGTTTTGACATTTAAATCAAAATATATTAAATCATTCAAACTTTTTTAAGTTATCAATGAATATAAAATTTATTTTACGAAACATCAAAAACAAGAATAGTAAGGAATTTGCAGTTACGGAGCGTTGTACCAATTGTAGAAGCTCCATCATCCCCAATTTAATTTTATCTTTTATAAATGAAAATCATGTTTAAATCAAAATTAAGGGGTAGGAGATCATAGTATAGATCAATGATATTTTTTGTTATATTTATTACTTTAGATTTAATACTAAAGATTCTAATTTTTAACATTAGACTAAAGAAGTGTTAAGCTGAGCAACTTATTCTTTACCAAAAGTACAATTTCTATTTATTTTATTAATAATAACAAAGGAAATTATTTTATGAATAAATGATAATTTTATTAAAAAGAGAAAAAGTTATAAAATATTTATTTATTTTTATTAAAAATAATATTGCTTTTATTATGATTAAATATTAATGAATAATTTTTATATTTATTTCTAACTCAAACTGTAAGTCAATATAAGTTAGAGCTTTCAAGTTAGATTTCATTAACTGTTTATTAAAAAAAAAGATTTTATGATAATAAATAAAATGAATAATGATGGATACATCTTCTAGATTATTAAAAGAATAATTCTAAGACTCCATTCTTTATTATTTGTTCTTTATTATTTATTAATGATTATCAGAAATTAATAATTTAGATAAATTAAAAAATTCTAGATTATCTTTTTTAATTATTCTTATTTAATTTGTACAATTCTAAAATATGTATGAATAAATCAGTCTCCTTTTTCATTCTCCTATCATAAAGACATATATCTTAAAAATTTTAATATAAAAAATACAAAATAAAATAAATAATTAAGTTATCAAACTAACACCACCTTCCCAGTATCTACTATATTATTTTCCACTACATTTCGTTCCTTCATTCAAAATAATTTGTCAATATTTTTTTATTCATAAAAATATCTTTATCAATCAAAGTAAAAAAAATAGTTAGGATCAAATATTTATACAAATATACTATAATCAAAATTCAATTTCTTTGCTTGCAATGTTTACTCAGCTAATTTAAAAAATATCTACATAAATTTTAACAGTTATTACTAAGAATAAAAAGTAGGAGTTGTGTATGTATGCATGCATGTATTTTTTTTGTAGATGTATAAAAATATCCCTTGTATTTTAAATAAATGAATAAAGGAATATTGATAATTTAGTAAAATAATATTGAAATAGATAGACAAAATTAAAAAAAAAGTCAATCAGAATTAATTAAATACAGAAATAGAAAGATATACTAAATAAATAAAGAAAGAAAGAAAGATCCTGTATAATAATAAATTTAAGATTGATAGATTGATTTAATTCTGAAATTTAAAAAATAAAAGTAAAATGAAGTAGATTGATTCCACTGTAAATCTAAATGGAGTAAAAATTATATTAAATTATCAGTATTATTATTAATTGCTTATTTTTTAAAAAAAGGATCATTTGATAATTAATTCATAACTTGTCTTAGATTTTAAATAAAAAGTGTAAATAAAAAATTTCATTCACAAAGTTTGTTTTTTTAGATATTTATTTTTGATCTCTTAAGTGAAAAAATCACAAAATTTAAATGAAAAATATTAATATGAACAATAATTAACACAAAAATAGAAAAGAAATTATATTCTTAAATAAAATTTCCAATTATCTATCACTCTTTTTTAACTAAATAAAATAGTAAAGATTTTAATAATAAAAAATTAAAATCTTAATAGACTTAAAAATTTTGAATTTTAGATTTAAAAAGCTAATAAATAAATTTTAAAAAGTTAAAATTGTTCTAGCAGTTAGTTAGTTTCTGATATAATTGATACTTTGAAGCAACAAAAAGATTTAAGAACCCTCGTGATCGATCTTTAGTATTAAAAAATAAAATTAAAGAATTATTTTTCAAGATAAATAATTATTTTTTTTAAAGTAACAAAAAAATTTAAGATGAAAATGCATCTAAACTGTTTTTAGGAATATCTGAATGCCCTAATCTCACTAATTTAACATTAAAGCTAGAGTAATTTAAATTTTTAACAATTTATTCTATTAATCTATTTTATTTTAATGATAAGGTATAATAAACTTGGCTATATTTCTAATGATTTCTATGTAGCTTTATCAAAGCTTTAGAGTGTTTCAAATTTAAATCTTAATTTAGGGTAAAAATTTGCTTCTATTAAAAATCTTGTATAAATATTTGATATTAATAAATAATTAAATTAAATAAAGAAGCAATTATGTTGGTGAAAATGGTATACCTCTTTTAGGATCTAACTTAGCTTTATTAAAGAATCTCAAAATTTTGACTCTTAACTTGGAGTAACTTTATAATTTATTAATAAATATGAAAAAATATCAAATTATTCATTATAAAAAGCTGCAACAATATTGGATAAATAGGGGCTAGTCGACTAGGCTCTGCATTAATAAATTTCAATAATCTTACTAGCTTGTTTCTCAGCCTTTAGTAATAAGCTAATCTTTTATTTATTAAAGATTTAATTGGTTGTTATCAAGTTAATTTCAACTTTAAGAAATTAAATCTTCAAAATTTTAATTGATTTTATTTAAATAAATAAATGGGATAACTCTTTATTTCTCAAATAATATTTAAAAATGCAATTTTCTTCTATTTTAATTATTAATAAAAATTTGAAAAGTTCTAATAATATAGGAAATAATGGAGTGTTTGCTTTATGCTCTTACATTTCAGACATTGAAAAAATAGAAAATTTAGAGCTTTGTTTTGGGTAAAACACATTTTACATATTTATTTTCAAATAAATTTCCCTTTTTAAACTTAAAGAACAAATAACATCCTCATAAAAGGCGCATAAGACTTATTCGATTGTTTAGCGAATAGTAAAAAATTAAAAAGCTTGGCTGTAGATTTAGGGTACAATAAATTATTTTTTATTTTTAAAAATAAATAAATAAATTGTTTTAGTTTCTATTAACTCATTTAAAATAAATTATAAAATAACTTAGAGGAAATAAAATAAGTGGAAAATCTAATTTTACATAGTCTCTCTGTCATTTAACTTTTCTTAAGAGTTTAAGCTTAAATATTTGGTAAAAAGCAATTTATTTATTTATTGGTTATTTTAAAATTCTTTTATTTAATTTTTTATATAATCAATCTTATTTCTTAACAAATAAAATTAATTTTTTAGATTTTTATAGAAAATTATTTTTACAAAACTTAAAGTGATGTTGTCTATCTGACTGAATATTGATTACTTAATTGAGAATTTACAGTTTGTATTTAGCAAAATAAATAAAAAAAACATTTACATTTAATTATTATAAACTAAAATATTAATTAAATAGGGGCTGTGATATTGGTATTCAAGGTGGCAATTTGCTAGCTTCTAGTTTATCAAAATGCAAAGCTCTAGCAGCTTTATCACTTGATATTTCGTATGATAAACATTTTTCATAAATAAAATATATTTTCAATTTATATTAAAATAAAATAAAAAGATTCAACCATATTAATGCATAAAGTATTATTGATATAAATCAAGCTTTGATAGATAATTGTAAAATAAGTAGTTTATCTCTTAAAACTAGGTAACAAACATTTCATAAATTTAACTAATTATTAAAATATAAAAATGGATGGATGGAATACTTATAAAATATTATTTAATATATATAATTCTCCATACATTCTACAATATTTTTCAAATAAAAATAAGTTTCGCTGATATTGGTTAAGAAGGTTTGAAGAATTTAAGCAGTTCTATTAAAAATAATAAAAGTCTTCATCAACTTACAATTGAGTTTAAGTAATTTTTAAAAAATAAAATATTTATATTTGATATAGTCTTAAAAATTAATTAATATTAAAAAAGTGGTCATTATATGGGAAGTGAAGCAAATTAACTATTGAAAAGAAAAATACTAAAAATGCAAAGACTTGTTAAGTTTGTTGATAAATGTGCTCCAGTTATTATTTAATTATGAATATACATACATTTTTTATTAAAAAAGTATAATTCTTCATCTTTATCATAATTTATTTTTACATTTTTAAAACCAATTTATAAAATATCTAGCTGTATTTGAAGAAAAAATATATGTAAAAAGAATTCTATTTTGCAAAAATATTTTATTTTTTTAACACAATATTCAATTTTTATATAAAATTATTGAAGTACTTACTGTATATTTTCATTAAATTACTATCTTTTTCCAGAATTAAAACTCAAAGATATCTTAATCATGTAATTTTGGAATTAATGGTGCGATTAGATGTGCTCTTTGTGTACTTTTTGAAAACTTATGGAATATTTATTTGCTTTCATAAAATTAGTATGAAATAAAAAAATTAATATTTGTTCTTTATTATTAATTTGAGTATATTTTAAAAAATTTCCTAAATTTTTCTTTATCATACTTGCTTGAGTTCTTTGCTAGTTAGTTCCTTTTCTAGTTTACATTTTAATGAATAATTTGTTTCTTTGCTCTTTCTTATTTTACAAATTTACCTAATTATTTTACTAAAAATTCTATGGCTTAAGTATCGTTTCTTAATTGAATTAATGGATATATAATTTAAAATTTATGGAGAAATTAAATTTGCTTATTTTCTTTCTTATTTCTTCTTTTAAATTCTGTTTACAGAAGAAAGGAAAGTGTAAATGTAATAAGTATTAGATAAAATTTTAAATATAACAACAAAAATAGAAAGGAAGAAAACACTTACTTATTTTTAATAGTTTGATTACTTAATGAGTGTTTCCCAAAAATTTAATCAACTAAATAAATATATATATTTGATAATATTTGATTTGTTAGTAAATATTAATTAATCTTTTTCTTAAAATAGTAGAAGTTTGTTTTAATAAAATAAATAATAAGAACCAACTTAATATTACTAATAGCAATATCAAACAAACATGATTTATTCTAGATTAGATTTATTTTCTTCTCAATTCTCATTTAACACTGGTAATCATTAAAATAGAAGAGGAACTTTGTTTGGAACTATCCTTTCCTTATGTGTTTTTATAATAACGATATCTTACTTTATTTACATAATCTAATAATATACAAACAATCAAATAGAACCAACTTTTAGATCATAAAGTTTCATTAATAATGATTTGATTGAAGTTCCATTAAGCAGTGATTTAGTAGGATTTAGATTTGAAAACGGTAATGTTAATTAATAATAGCTTTCAACTAATAAAACCTATATAGTTTACTAAGCCTTCTTTTTCTATAACTCACCAAATAATAATTAATTTATACCTCTTGACGTGATTGATTGCACTAATCCTGATCTTTTGGGATTTAAATGCTTGGATTTCAATAAAGTATCTAATTATACACTTTCCCTTGACACAAAGCAGAATCAAAAATCTTCAATTCAGATTTTTACTTATGGTTGCCTTGATATTGACTCTTTAAAAACTACAATACCTGATAATTGTGCTGAATAAACTGAAATTGATTAGATGATCAATAGTATCAATTCTGTTTTAAGATACAAGTTGTATACTTCTTAGTATAATACAACTTCATAAAGTATGTAAGTTAACTATAGAAATGCTTACGTTTACACAATAGCAAGTTAATCAATAATAACTTAATTAAAAACATAAAAATAAAATACTTCAATCAAATAAGGATTGATTGTTTAATCATAATCTTCTTTTTCTTCGCCAATTTAATATAGCTAATAAGATTTAGGCTATGATAGATAATATGCTCTTAATAATGTAGGAGGTGGTGCATATAATGTAGCCTTATTATTAATAGATGAAATAGTTTAATAAATATAAATTTAATATCCTACTTTACCATAAGTTTTTGCACTAGTCAATAGCATATTTACACTGATGATGTTTTTGGGTATTTTTGGAAGAATGATCTCACAAAATTCTATTTAAAAGGACTTTTTCTTACTTTTCTTAAAGAACATATATTAGGATAATTACTTATAAATTTTGAAGAAGATTAACATCTAATAAAAATAAAAAAAAGACATATCAAATCAAGATGATTTAGATGAGTAAAAATAATAAAATGACATCGATAAAAAGGAAGATTAAGAAAGAGATTATGATAAAGTAATTTTTGTTCCAACTTTCAATAATAAGCAAAAGGTTTCCTTAGAGCTTGAGCAGTAAGATAATATGACTTAAAATAATTATATTAGCATTTCACTAAATAATGATAATAATTTAAAAAAAACTCAAAACTTATAAAACAACTAAGTTACTCCTATTTAAACATATGCTGATTAAAAGTTTTAAGAAAAGTAAAACTCAAGCAGAAATACCTTTTCAGAAACAGATTTTGTTGCTTAAGGAGTTTTTACTAGCAAGTAAAAGAGTTTGCAAAAAGATCTTATTTCTCCTACTTTTTCTTAAAATACTAGCTTTATAAAAACTAATTTTAATAGGCAGAGTTACCAGTCTTCGCAATATGCAAAAGAAAAAATTCAGTTATAAAGTGACAAAAATCAAATAAAGTTGATAGAAGATTTGAAGGCTATCCATAACACAAGTAATTAAAAGGCTATTTATGATGAAATGTTTAATATAAAGTAATAGAAAACATATTTTTTTTAATATAATTTTAAAATATATTTTAATTTTATTAAAAGTTTCTTGAAAAAAGAATAAATCAAAGATCTACAAAGCATATAATTCTAAAAAATATAATATTAAATAAAGAAGGAGCTAAATATTTTAAATTTTTTAAAAGATATAATCATGTTAAAAAAAGCTGTTATGATGCTGTTAACAAAGGAGCAGCTGGCAGCTCTTTAGATTGTTGGCTGTTCTTCAAGCTTTTTGGAGCTAAACTTAAGTAATGAAGACCTTAACATAGAAGAATTAGGTAAATTTATAATAGTAAAATATCAATAAATATTTAATTTTATTAGAAAAAAGTAAACGAATTAGTCACTATGAAATTCAATATGCAATTCTTCAATCTCATAGAATTTAGTAATAGCAAATAGAAAATTTTATATAAAGAAGCAATTAAAACGAAGAAATGAGTATTGTTGATAAGAGGATTTTATCTTCTATAAAAAAATGTCATTAAATTTGATTGAAATATAATCAATATATAATATGAAAAAATCACTGTTGTTTTATTTTAATTTTATTTATAATATGCTAATATATTTTTACTCTCTCTTTTTTTCGTATTTAATTTAAGTAGTCAACTTTTCAAAATACATTTTTTATTATTTTTTTCATTTATTTGTTAATACAAATAGTAATAAAAACAAAATTTATTGTTAAGAATAATATGAAGAAATGAATAGATTAATTCAATTTTTTATTGAAAAAAGTGCTTTATAAATTTACCAACCAAATTAAAGTTAATTTATCAGCCGATTATAAAAATAAAAAAGACACTTTAATAATAATAAGTAATGAGGTAATAAATAAATAAGCCTCAATTTAAGTAAGCTAACGATTGGATGACTAACATAAAAAAAACTAATAATAAAATGAATAAATATACAATTAAATGCCAAGTGCATCAATTTATTTAGCAAATCATCACTTTTATTGTAAGCCTAATAATATAAATCATTAAAAATAAAACTACTAAAATAGGAATTATTACAGACATAACAGCAATAAAAATTTATATAATAAATTGAATGATGAACAAATACTATCTTAATTATTAAATGCTAATAATTTAATTATAAATTAATGTATAATAAAAATACTTACTATTTATTATTTTTCTATTTAAATAATAGTGTTCTAAATTTAATATATCAAAATATTTCAAATATCATTCATATATCAATATTAACTTTAAATAAAAATGTTATCAAATTTTTTATTTTTAATTATTCAAAAAAATATTCATAAATAATATTTTAATTTTAAAATAAAAAATTATTTTATTTAGAGTGTATATATATTGGTCTAAATTAAAAACTAATATCACTAATTTAAATACTGTCATCTATTAAATTTATATCAAATACAAATATTATTTTCTTTACAATTTATTAACACATTTTTTTTTTTTGATATTGATTATATTTAAGCTACCTTTTGAATAACATCTAAAATGAAATATATAAAATGATTAAAAATTCAGATGTTTTACAAAGTTAATAGATATTGTTTTCTGAAGTTTTAAAATGATTAGCTGAATTTAATAGAAATTATAAAAAAAGATAATATTTTTAATAAAAAAATATTGTTCATTAATGAATGTAAAGAAATTTTAATAAAATTAATTTTTATTTAAAATAATTTCAAATTAAGAAAAAATATTTTAGGAATTTAATTATTTCTTTTTATTTATTAAATTTGTTAAATATAAAAGGTAAAATAAATTTCTACTTATAATTTATAAAATAAACTAATAAATTAATGTAAAGTTTAAGTAATACTATTATACAATAACCCAATTAATATTATAAACATTTATTTTACAAATAAAAAAATATTTTTAAATTCATTCAACAAAATTAAGTAATTTACTAAAATTATTTTTTAAATATTTAGAATTTTCTTAGTTTATATATATATGCAAATAATTATTTATTTATACACTTTATTAAAGGTATGAAGGTAAAAGTAATTTCTACATAAAATTTATTGATAAATAAACTAGAGAAAAGCTTCAAAATAATATTATCATGCTATTATCCAATAACTTAATTAATATTATTTTTATTTAACTTTATATTTTAATAAAATTAACAACAAAAATCTAAGAAAAAAAAATCCATTATTAAAAATGGAACTTTAATCTATTAATTTGTTTTTTTTAAGTAAAATAGTATGCAAACAATTTTGTGTTATTAATATGAAACCACTTTATACCTCAAATTTTAATTGGTTAGTTCTTAATTAATCAATAATATTTTTATTTATTTAACAATATTAATTAATATCTCTCTCCTTAAGTCGTAGTAGCAGTAGTAGTAGTAGAAGTTTGTTTGAAGCTTTATAAAATATTTTGATTTAACGAAAATGATATATTCTAAGTTAGATTTTTTTTCTTCTTGCTTTTCATTCAATACAGGCAATCAATAAAAAAAAGAGGTACATTATTTGGTACAATCCTCTCGCTTTCTATCTTTGTGATAACATTATCTTACTTTATCTACATAATAAAATAGTATGTAAACAATTAAATAGAGCCTACTTTTAGGTCTTAAAGCTTCGTTAATAATGACTTGATCTCAGTTCCACTAAACAATGATTTAGTTGGATTTAGATTTGAATATGCAACCGATTAGATTAAATAAACCCCAGAAAAGATTTATTTAGTTTATTTGGCTTTCTTTTTTTATAGTTCTCCTAATGATAATCAATACCTGCCACTCAGCATAATCGATTGTACTAATACTAATCTTTAAGGATTTAAGTGCCTTGATTTTAGCAGTATATAAAATTATACATTATCTCTGGACACAAATTAGAACATTAAGTCATAAGTTTAGATCCTTACTTATGGCTGTAGAGATATCGATTCTTTTAAGACTTTTGTCCCTAATAACTGCGCTGAATAAAATGAAATTGATAGTTTGATTAATGATATCAACTCTATTTTAAGGTTAAAGCTTTATACATCTTAATATAATATTACCTCTTAAGGGATAGAGGAAAGATATAGAAATGCTTAAATTTATACTATAGCAAGTTAATCCATATTAACATAATTGAAAATATAAAATTAAAATACTTCAATAAAACAAGGTTTGATAGTTTAAACAGAGTCAAACTTTAATTCACCAATTCAATATAGTTAATAAGATTTTGGCTATGATAGATAATATGCTCTACAATAAATTGGAGGTGGTGCATATAGTGGAGTATCAATTTTTATTGATGAACTTGTTTAAGAAATATAAATTTAATATCCAACTTTGCCATAAGTGCTTGCACTCGTAAATGGTATTTTTACTCTATTAATGTTTACAGGTATTTTTGGGAGAATGGTTTCATAAAATTCGATAAATAAAGACCTTTTCTCTCTATTTTTAAAAAACATATACCAAGACAGTTATTTAAAGATAATAAATAACACTAAACATATTCAATAGTTAGAGGAAGAAATTGAATCAAGTATAGATGAACAAGGTTTGTAAGAATAAAAATAAAATGATTAAGAATCAAAAAGTGATAAAGAAAAGTAAAATGAAGAACCAATAATAATTCCGGCTTTTAAAAATAAAAAGAAAGCTTCACCAGAACAAGATTAATATAATAATAGTATTTCTAATAACGCAGATTATTTAGTAAATGTTTAAAATAATAATTAAAAAATAAATAACTAATCTAATGATTAAATTAATAATTTTATGTTTTAAGGAACCTAAAATAATTCAAACATTAAATCAAATATTATCACAGATGCAAAATCAATAATTTAGTCTGTAATTGATGTTAGACAGAAGAATTTTCAAATTGATTTTTTAACTAATAATTCGCCATAAAATGCAAGCTTGATAAAATCTGTTTTAAATAAGTAATCAAATTTTTAATAGTATTAAGTTAAGGAGAGAAATAGCATATTAGCCAAGAACTAAGTTTTGTTATAAAATTTTAATGCAATTAAAAATACTAAATGCTCATACAAAATAAAAGGTGATATCCCTTAGAAAAAGTAACATTTTTTAATTTATTTTGATAAATATTTTATTTTTAATAAAAGTTTTTAGAAATCAGGATAAAAAGAAGGTGGCATCAGTAAACTTTAATTTTAAAAAGTTGAATACTAAATCAAAAAAGATCTAAATATTTTAAACTTTATACAAGATATAATTCTATTAAAAAAAGCTGTTATGATGATATTGACAAAAGATTAGCTAGCTGCTATGCACCTAATAGGGTGCTCTTAAAGTTTTTTAGAATTAAATTTGAGCAGTGAAAATTGTAATTTAAATTAACTAGGTAAATTTATTCATCTTTATTTAACTTTTAAATATATTTTTAAATAAATAAAGAATATAGGAATAAGTTAAGCCATTATGAAATGTAATTTGCTATTTCCTAATAGAAAAAATTCTAAGAGTAATATCTATCAGAATTTTTATCAAGATGCACTAATGTTGAAAATACTAGTGAACTTGATTAAAGAATTTTGTAGGCTATTTAAAAATGTCATTTAACGAGCTGAAATAAATTAATAAACTAATAAATTTTAATATTTTTATTTTTTATTTTTATTATTAAAATGATCTAATTATCTACCATAATTATCCCTAAATTTTATGTATAAATCATTACTTGAAGTTAAATAAGAAGTTTTTTTTGAAAATTTTAAAAATGCAATTTTGGAATCAATGGTCGCCGTACTCTTTTTACTAACTAATCGAATATTAGTTTTAATAAAAATTATATGAAACAAAAATAAATATTTGTTCTTAATTAATAACTTGAGTAAATAATTTTAAAAATTTCATAAATTTTTCTTTCTCATACTTGGTTGATATTTCTTTCTAGTTACTTTCTTTTTTTGTTTACATTTTAAATTTAATAAAAGAATAATTTATTTGTTTCTTACTTTCGTTATTCAACTCAGTTTTTTATTAAAAATCCTATGGTTAAATATTATTTTAAAATTTAATTAATGGATAGATATGTACAAATTTATGGAGAAATTGAATTTGCTAAAATGCTTATTTCTTCTCATTACTTCTGTTTACAGACGAAAGAAAGTAAAAGTGAGAAAAATATTAGATACAATATTAAATACAACAACACAATAGAAAGGAAGAAAACACTTTTTTCATAATTTGATTACTTAATTAATGTTACACAAAAAATTAATAAATCTGAATTAATCAACTAATTGTGAAAATATTTGATTTATTAATAAATATTAATTAATCTTTTTCTTAAAATAGTAGAAGTTTTTACAAGATAGTAAGGACCAACTTAATAATAATTAAAACAATATCAAACATGATTTATTCTAGATTAGATTTATTTTCTTCTCATTTCTCATTTAACACGGGTAATTAGTAAAATAGAAGAGGAACTTTGTTTGGAACTATCCTTTCCTTATGTGTTTTTGTAATAACGATATCTTACTTTATATACATCATCTAACAATATACAAATAATCAAATAGAACCAACTTTTAGATCATAAAGTTTCATTAATAATGATTTAATTGAAGTTCCATTAAGCAGTGATTTAGTAGGATTTAGATTTGAAAACGGTAATGCTAGTTTGTAATAAATTTCATCTAATAAAACCTATATAGTTTACTTAGCCTTCTTTTTTTATAACTCACCAAATAATAATTAATTTATACCTCTTGAAGTGATTGATTGCACTAATCCTGATCTTTTGGGATTTAAATGCTTAGATTTCAATAAAGTATCCAATTATACGCTTTCTCTTGACACAAAAAATAATCAGAAATCATCAATTCAGATTCTTACTTATGGTTGTCTTGATATTGACTCTTTAAAAACTACAATACCTGATAATTGTGCTGAATAAACTGAAATCGATTAGATGATCAATAATATCAATTCTGTTTTAAGATACAAATTGTATACTTCTTAGTATAATACAACTTCATAAAGTGTGTAAGTTAACTATAGAAATGCTTACATCTACACAATAGCAAGTTAATCAATAATAACTTAATTAAAAACATAAAAATAAAATACTTCAATCAAATAAGGATTAATTGTTTAATCATAATCTTCTTTTTCTTCTCCAATTTAATATAGCTAATAAGATTTAGGCTATGATAAATAATATGCTCTTAATAATGTAGGAGCTGGTGCGTATAGTGTAGCCTTGTTATTAGTAGATGAAATAGTTTAATAAATATAAATTTAATATCCTACTTTACCTTAAGTTTTTGCACTAGTCAATAGCATATTTACACTGATGATGTTTTTGGGTATTTTTGGAAGAATGGTCTCATAAAACTCTATTTAAAAGGATTTTTTCTTACTCTTCTTAAAGAACATATATTAGGATAATTACTTACAAATTTTGAAGAAGATTAACATTTAATAAAAATAAAAAAAGGATATCAAATTAAACTCAAATCAAGATGATTTAGAGGAGTAAAAATAATAAAATGACCTAGATAAAAAGGATGATTAAGAAAGAGATAATGATTAAGTAATTTTTGTTCCAAATTTCAGTAATAAGCAAAAGGTGTCCATAGAGTTTGAGCAGTAAGATAACATGACTTAAAATAATTACATTGACAATTAACCAAATAATGAGAATAATTTAAAAAAAACTCAAAACTTATAAACCGATTAAGTTAATTATACTTAAACGTATGCTGATTAAAAGTTTTAAGAAAAGTAAAACTCAAGCGGAAATACGTTTTCAGAAATAGATTCTGTTGTTTAAGGAGTTTTTACTAGCAAGTAAAAGAGTTTGCAAAAAGATCTCATTTCTCCTTCTTTTTCTTATAATACTAGCTTTATAAAAACTAATTTTAATAGGCAGAGTAACCAGTCTTCGCAATATGCAAAAGAAAAAATTCAGCTTTAAACTGAGAAGAATCAGATATAATTGATAGCAGATTTGAAGGCTATTCATAATACAAGTAATTAAAAGGCTATCTATGACGAAATGTTTAATATAAAGTAATAGAAAACATATTTTTTTAATATAATTTTAAAATATATTTTAATTTTATTAAAAGTTTCTTGAAAAAAGAATAAATCAAAGATCTACAAAGCATATAATTCTAAAAAATATAATACTAAATAAAGAAGGAGCTAAATATTTTAAATTTTTTAAAAGATATAATCATGTTAAAAAAAGCTGTTATGATGCTATTAACAAAGGAGCAGCTGGCAGCTCTTTAGATTGTTGGCTGTTCTTCAAGCTTTTTGGAGCTAAACTTAAGTAGTGAAGACCTTAACATAGACGAATTAGGTAAATTTATAATAGTAAAACATCAATAAATATTTAATTTTATTAGAAAAAAGTAAACGAATTAGTCACTATGAAATTCAATATGCAATTCTTCAATCTCATAGAATTTAGTAATAGCAAATAGAAAATTTTATATAAAGAAGTAATTAAAACGAAGAAATGAGTATTGTTGATAAGAGGATTTTATCTTCTATAAAAAAATGCCATTAAATTTGATTGAAAGATAATCAAAATATAATATGAAAAAATCACTGTTGTTTTATATTAATTTTATTAATATATTGCTAATATATTTTTACTCTCTCATTTTTTCATATTTAAGCAGTCAATTTATAAATACATTTTTTATTTATTTAACACTATGTTTGTTTAATTGGGTTTTAAAATCTAAAAATTGTTAGCTTTGAAATGAATTAAAAAGAAGAATTTTTTAAATAGATTGATAATTAAATAAATAAATGTAATTTCATTTATTTTTTAATAAAATCAAAATTTATAGTAAAGAATAATAAGAAAAAATGAATAGATTAATTCAATTTTTTATTGAAAAAAATGCTTAATAAATTTACCAACCAAATGAAAGGTAAATGAATATATTAAGTGTTTAGATATATCTTATTTTTTTTAGAACTAATAATAATTTATATATTTATTTATTATTAATACATTATTATCAAATTTTACTTTTTACAAAAAGCTTCATAAAGTATACTAAACGAGAAAAAAAGAGAAAGGATACAAAAGGAAATTTATAGTATTTGGAAAATGCAATGACGTCCATATAAAAAGAAAGAGAAATTATATCAGCCTATCATAAAAATAAAAAAGACACAGTTTTAAAGAATTTTGCATTAGAATTATTTTAGCCAAATAGAAACATAATTTAAGAATAATAGGTTATGAATCAAATAGATTTAAGAATAAAATAATATTCAATTGAAGTAAGCTAAATATTGGGTGACGATCCTAAAAAGAACTAATAATCAAATGAATAAAATGCATAAATATACAATAAAATACAAAGTGAATTAGATTAATTAGCAAATCATCACTCTTATTCTCAGCCTGATAAAATAAATCATTAAAATTAAGACTTCTAAAATAGGAATTATTAAAGATACAATAGCGATCAAAATTAATAGAATAAATTGAAAAATGAATAAATACTATCTTAATTATAAAATGTTAAAGATGAAAAACAACTTCTTTATTATTGGCCACAATTGATTTAAATTTTAAGATAATAAGAGTAGAGAATTAATGAATTAGAAAATAAATCAAATATTAATAATATGAATACAATCTATAAATGAATCAATCTACAAATAGTAATTCTATCTATATAATTATTCAATAATAAACCAATGTATAATATAAATTACTTATTATTTATTATTTTTCTATTCAATTAATAGTGTTCTGAATTTAATCTTTCAAAATATTTCAAAAGCGATTCAAAAATCAATATTAATTTTAAATAAAAATATTAAAATTAATTTTATATTTAATTATTCCAAAATATTCATTTTAATAAAAGATATATTCATAAATAATATTTATAATTTTTAAAATAAAAAAATTATTTTATTAAGAGTGTACATTCGTCTAAATTAAAAACTAATATCACTAATTTAAATATTGTCGTCTATTAACATAACAAAAATCAATTATTATTTTCATTACTTTTTAATAACTTAACCTTCAGAATACTAATTAAAAGGGACACCTAATAAGTGTTCAAAAAAAAAAATTCTTTGCTAATAAAAGACTCTATATAAATAATAATAAAAATTTTTATGTATCATTTTTGTGGAATATACATATAATACAATATAAATAGGATTTTTATTCTTTCTTTTAATTTTATAATACATATACTTATATATTTATTTATTTAATTCATTAAAAGTAATATGGTAAAATTACTTTCTATGTAAAATGTATGAAATATACTAGAGAAATACTTAAGAATAATATTATAATGCAATCACCTAATTGATATTTTTGATATTTATTTTATAAAATAAAAAAGTTTTTTTAAATTTATTCAATATAATTAACATATCTCTAGTAGTAAGTAGGTAAGTTGTTAGCTAAATTTTATTTAGTTTTCTCTTAAATGAAGTAAAAATTATCAAAAATCTAAGAAAAAAAATCATTTAATAAAAATGGAACTTTAATCTAGTCACTTATCTTAAATCCAAAATTATTGAAACTATTTAGTGAAATATTTATTTGATAGATTGCTTTGTTAATACATAAGCTTAAAAGTTAGTAAATTCTTAATCGTTACAGTAAATTTAAAGTAATTTTTTACATTATAATTTGATTTGTGTGAATGTTGAGTTTTTAAAAAATAAATAGCGAAATTGTTATTATCTAAAGCAAATAATTAATAAGAAAACCACTTTATATCTGAAATTTTATTGGCTAGTTTTTAATTAATTAATAATCTTTTTATTTCTTAAATAACATTAATATATTTCTCCTTAAGTAGCTGTAGTAAAACTCTTGTTAAAAAGCTTTAAAAAAATAATTTGACTTAATAAAAATGATATATTCTAAGTTAGATTTTTTTTCTTCTCATTTTACATTCAATACAGGTAATCAATAAGCTAAGAGGGGCACATTATTTGGTACAGCGCTCTCATTTTTTATCTTTGTGATAACACTATCGTACTTAGTCTACATAATAAAATAGTATATTAACAACTAAATAGAGCCTACTTTTAGGTCTTAAAGCTTCATTAATGACGACTTGATCTCAGTTCCACTAAACAGTGACTTAGTTGGATTTAGATTTGAAAATGGAATTAGTTAGAGTATATAATCCCCAGATAAGACCTACTTAGTTTATTTGGCTTTCTTTTTTTATAGTTCTCCTAATGATAATCAATTCATACCACTCAACGTAATCGATTGTACTAACACTAATCTTATAGGATTTAAGTGCCTTGATTTTAGCAGTGTATAGAATTATACATTAGCTCTGAACACAAATTAGGACATTAAGTCATCAGTTTAGATCTTTACTTATGGTTGTAGAGATATTGATACTTTAAAGACTTTTGTTCCTAATAATTGCGCTGAATAAAATGAAATTGACAGTATGATTAATGGCATCAATTCCGTTTTAAGGTTTAAGCTTTTTACATCTTAATACAATACTACATCTTAAAGGATAGAGGAAAGATATAGAAATGCTTACATTTATACCATAGCAAGTTTATCCATAATAACATAATTTAAAACACAAAATTAAAACACTTCTATCAAACAAGGTTTAATAATTTAATCAGAATAAAACTTTGATTCACCAATCCAATATAGTTAATAAGATTTAGGCTATGATAGGTAATACGCCCTACAATAAATTGGAGGTGGCGGATATAGCGTAGCATTAATTTTTGTTGATGAACTTGTTTAACAAATATAAATTTAATATCCTACGTTACCATAAGCGTTTGCACTCGTAAATGGTATTTTTTCTGTCTTAATGTTTACAGGTATTTTTGCGAGAATGGTTTCATAAAATTCGATAAATAAAGACCTTTTCTTAATATTTTTAAAAAATATATACCAAGACAATTATTTACAAATTTTAAAAAACACCAAAAACATTCAATTGGCTGATGAAGAAGTTGTTGAGTCAAATAATGATGAATAAGATTTGTAAGAATAAAAAGAATGCGATTTAGAATCAAAAAGCGATAAAGAAAAGTTTTGTGATTAGCCAATAATAATACCAGCTTTTAAAAATAAATAGAAAACTTTATTGGAATAAGATCAATATAATAATAATATGTCTAATAACATAGAAAATATTATGATAAATGTTTAAAATGATAATTAAAAAATTGATAACTAGTTAAATGAATAAACTAATAATTTTATGTCTTAAGGAGCCTAAAATAATTTTATGTCTGAAGAAGCATAAAATAATTTTATGTCTGAAGAAGTATAAAATAATAATATATCTTAAGGTGCCTAAAATAATTTTATGTCTTAAGGTGCCTAAAATAATTTTATTTCTGAAGAAGCCTAAAATCATTTTACGTATTAAGGAGCTTAAAATAGTAGTATTTCTTAAGGAGCCTAAAATAATATAAGTGTTAAATAGAATTTTATCACAGAGACGGAATCAATAATTTAGTCAGTAATAGGTGTCGAGCAGAAGGGTTTTCAAAGAGATCTTTTAAGTAATAATAATTCGCCATAAAATGCTAGATTGATGAAATTTGTTTTAAATAAGTAATCAAATTTTTAATAGTATTAAATGAAAGAGAAAAATAGCATATTAGCAGAGAGTAGCTAAATTTTGATATAAAATTTTAATGCAATTAAAACTAATAAATGCACATACAAAAGAAAAGAAGATATTCCTTAGAAAAAGTAACATTCATTTTTTTAATTTATATTGATAAATATTTTATTTTGAATTAAAGTTTTTAGAAATCAGAATAAAAAGAAGGTGGCATCAGTAAAATTTAATTATAAAAAGTTGAATACTAAATCAAAAAAGATTTAAATATTTTGAACTTCATACAAGATATAATTCTATTGAAAAAAGCTGTCATGATGATATTGACAAAAGATTAGCTAGCAGCGATGCATTTAATAGGTTGCTCATAAAATTTTTTAGAATTAAATTTGAGCAGTAAAAATTGCAATTTAAATTAACTAGGTAAATTTATTCATAATCTAGATAATTTTTAAATGTATTTTTAAATAAATAAAGAATATAGGAATAAGTTAAGCCATTATGAAATGTAACTTGCTATTTCATAATCTAAAAAATTCTAGGAGTAATATTTATCAGAATTTTTACAAAGATGTACAAATGTTGAAAATACAAGCGAACTGGATTAAAGAATTGTGCAGACTATTTAAAAATGTCATTTAACTAACTGAAATAAACTCGTATTCTTTCTTTATTTTTTTATATTGTTATCATTTAAATGACCTAATTCTCTACCATAGTTCTCCTTAAATTTTCTGTATTATTTCGTACATGTTCATCAAAAAGCAAATTAAATATTTGATTAAACATTTTTTGGTTATTTTTTTGTTCTATTAGGTTCAAAACAAACCTGTTTCCAAACCTTTTTTTTATTTATTTTAATTTTTTAATTTTATATTAAATAATATTTATTATTCTACTAAGTCTATATTTCTAACTCAAGAAATAAATATCTGAGAATAGCTTTATGTAATATAATAATTAATATTATTGATATTTATTTTAAAAATAAAAAAACATATTTAAATTTATTAAATAAAGTTAACTAATTATTATTAAAATTATTTTAAAAATAAGAATAAATATATTTAGGATTTTTATTCTTTCTTTTAATTTATTGATATATTATTATTTATATAATTCATTAAAAGTATGAAGGTATAATTAATTTCTATGTAAAATGTATGAAATATACTAGAGAAAAACTTAAGAATAATGTTATTATTCAATCACCTAATTAATGTTTTTGGTATTTATTTTATAAAATAAATAAATATATTTCACTTTATTCCATAAAATTAACATACCCTCAATATTAAGTAAGTAGTTAAATTTTATTTAATTTACTGTTAAATGAAGTAAAAGTTCTCAAATATCTAAGAAAAAATCATTTATTAAAAATAAAAAAGAGTATAATATTATTGAAACTGTTTTGTGAACTATTTATTTGATAGATTACTTTGTAAATACATAACTTAAAAGTCAATAAATTCTTATTCGTTACAATAAATTTAATGAATTTTTTTTACTTTACATTATAATTTTATTTGCGTGAATGTTGAGCTATAAATAAATAACGGAATTTTTACTATCTAAAACAAATAATTAATAAAAAACAACTTTATATTTAAAACTGAATTGGCTAGTTCTTAATTAATCAATAATGTTTTTATTTATTAAACAATATTAATCTATTTCTCCTTAAAGTAGCTGTAGTAAAAGTCTTGTTAAAAGCTTTTTATAAAATAATTAGACTAAACAAAAATGATATATTCTAAGTTGGATTTTTTTTCTTCTCATTTTACATTCAATACAGGTAATCAATAAGCTAAGAGAGGCACATTATTTGGTACAATGCTCTCATTTTCTATCTTTGTGATAACACTATCTTACTTTGTCTACATAATAAAATAGTATATTAACAACTAAATAGAGCCTACTTTTAGGTCTTAAAGCTTCATTAATAATGACTTGATCGCAGTTCCACTAAACAGTGACTTAGTAGGATTTAGATTTGAAAGTGGAAATTAGAGTACATAATCCCAAGATAAGACATATTTAGTTTATTTGGCTTTCTTTTTTTATAGTTCTCCTAATGATAATCAATTCCTACCACTCAACGTAATCGATTGTACTAACACTAATCTTATAGGATTTAAGTGCCTTGATTTTAGCAGTGTATAAAATTATACATTAGCACTGAACACAAATTAGAACATTAAGTCATCAGTTTAGATCCTTACTTATGGCTGTAGAGATATCGATTCTTTAAAGACTTTTGTTCCTAATAATTGCGCTGAATAAAATGAAATTGACAGTATGATTAATGGCATCAACTCTGTTTTAAGGTTTAAGCTCTATACATCTTAATACAATACTACATCTTAAAGGATAGAGGAAAGATATAGAAATGCTTAGATTTTTACCATAGCAAGTTAATCCATAATAACATAATTGAAAACTCAAAATTAAAACACTTCTATAAAACAAGGTTTAATAATTTAATCAGAATAAAACTTTGATTCCCCAATTCAATATAATTAATAAGATTTAGGCTATGATAGGTAATACGCCCTACAATAAATTGGAGGTGGGGCATATAGCGTAGCATTAATTTATATTGATGAAATAGTTTAACAAATATAAATTTAATATCCTACGTTGCCATAAGCGTTTGCACTCGTAAATGGTATTTTTTCTCTCTTGATGTTTACAGGTATTTTAGGGAGAATGGTTTCATAAAATTCAATAAATAAAGACCTTTTCTTAATATTTTTAAAAAATATATACCAAGACAGTTATTTACAGATTATAAAAAACACTAAAAAATTTCAATAGCTTGATGAAGAAGTTAAATCAAATACAGAAGAATAGAATTTGTAAGAATAAAAACAATGCGATTAAGAATCCAAAAGTGATAAAGAAAATTAATGTTATTCGCCAATAATAATTCCAGCTTTTAAAAATAAATAAAAAAGTTCATTAGAATAAGGTCAATATAATAATAGCATTTCAAATAACATAGAAAACATCATTTTAAATGTTTAAAATAATAATTAATAAAATGAGTAAATTAATAATTTTATGTCTTAAGGAGCCTAAAATAATATAAACATTAAATCGAATTTTATCACAGAGACGGAATCAATAATTTAGTCAGTAGTTGGTGTTGAGCAGAAGAGTCTTCAAAGAGATTTTTTAAGTAATAATTCGCCATAAAATGCAAGCTTGATGAAATTTGTTTTAAATAAGTAATCAAATTTTTAATAGTATTAAACGAAGGAGAAAAATAGCATATTAGCGGAGAGTAGCTAAGTTTTGATATAAAATTTTAATGCAATTAAAAATACAAAATGCGCATACAAAAGGAAAGAAGATATTCCTTAGAAAAAGTAACATTCATTTTTTTAATTTATTTTGATAAATATTTTATTTTGAATTAAAGTTTTTAGAAATCAGAATAAAAAGAAGGTGGCATCAGTAAACTTTAATTATAAAAAGTTGAATACTAAATTAAGAAAGATTTAAATATTTTAAACTTCATACAAGATATAATTCTATTGAAAAAAGCTGTCATGATGATATTGACAAAAGATTAGTTAGCAGCGATGCATTTAATAGGCTGTTCTTAAAGTTTTCTAGAATTAAATTTGAGCAGTTAAAATTGCAATTTAAATTAACTAGGTAAATTTATTCATAATTTAGATTATTTTTAAGTCGATTTTTAAATAAATAAAGAATACAGTAATAAGTTAAGCCATTATGAAATGTAACTTGCTATTTCATAATCTAAAAAATTCTAGGAGTAATATTTATCAGAATTTTTACAAAGATGTACAAATGTTGAAAATACAAGCGAACTTGATTAAAGAATTGCGCAGACTATTTAAAAATGTCATTTAAGTAGCTGAAATAAACTCATATTCTTTCTTAGTTATCATTTAAGTGATCTAATTCAATTCTATTGTTCTCCTTAAATTTATGTTTTATTTTGTACATTAAAATTAGATAAGGAATTTTATATAAATAAATAAATAATATTTATAATATATTTTAATATATATGTAGCTACTCTTGAGTAATTATTTCTCAGTAGGAATTAACCCTTTCTGATGGGGGGGGGGGGGGGGGGGTCGAGACTATAGGCAACTATAGCGATTTATTGATTTTGGATATTATATTTTAAAAATTCATATACATTTTCACTTATAGATGTATAGACACAGACTAAGTAAAGACGACTGTACCTGATAATTGCGCTAGCGAAACAGATATCAATAATATGATTAATAATATTAACTCAGGTATAGAATTTAAACTATTTACTTCTTAATACAACACAACTTCTCAACAGATTCAAGTTAACTATAGAAATGCCTTTATAAACCCGCTTTCAAGTCAGTAAGTATTAACCTACTTAAAGTCACAGAAACAAATTACTTCTATTCAGCAAGGAGCTTTTATTTAGTAATCTACTTCGTTTTCATCTCAGATATCTCATAGTTAATAATTTTAAACTTTTAATTCGCTTACAAGCTTAACAACTAGTAGGAATAGGGGCTTTTAGTTGTGCTTTTATTTTCCCAGATGAAATTGTTCAATACATAAAAATTTAATACCTCTGTTCCTTAAGTTTTAGCACAAATTTATACTGTTTTTACTCTTCTAATGTTTTTAGGAGTTTTTGGCAGATAAATCTCAAAATAATTTATGAATAGCGAGTTGTTAATGGTTTTTTTTAAGAACTTATATCTTGATAATTACTTATAGATATTAAAATCTAATAATATAAGTAATGATGAACCTTTGCAATAACAACCAGCCTAACAATTACAGTAAGAACAATCAAATAATTTAAAAAAAGATCACTATAAAATAGAGAAACATAAAGGAAGATAGTAAGAAATTCAGAATTTGATATTTATTCACAAGTAGTTGTCCCAACTTTTAGATGTAAGTAGAAGTTTTAGTTGGATTAAGATTAATCATGTAATTTACAAAACTAGTCTAATAATAACAATAATAATAATAACACATTAGAACCACTTAAGGATAATGACAGTATGACCTCTAGCCAAGTGAGATAAATTTAATACAAGTTTAATACAGAGTAGTAAAATCCTAATATATATTTTAATAATTAAGAATAAGACTTAGAAAACATTTTTTATTCAATTGTAAAGCCTGAATCTTATAATTCCTAACCTAGTTAACAAACTGAGATTATTCAAAATGAGTCTTAAAAGCTATCCTTAAGTCCTTTAAAAAAAGGCAAAGTACTTTTACAAAAAAGTTGAGCTTTAACGAAAAGATTAAAGTGAAAACAAGAAAGAAGAAAGTAATTAAAAAAAACAGAAAAACTAAATATTAACCATTCATAATAATTAATTTAGCAATTAAGTCAACCTTTGACATTTAATTTGAAGTAAGAAATTAATTTTTTAGCTCTATTGAAAATTAATGAAACTTCGTTTGTTTATTTATTTATTTCTTAATTTATTTATTTATAGTTTGCCTTGCCGAAATAGACTTCAAAAAAAGATTAATGGATTGGACCCTAAAGAACAAAACCAAATTGAAGAATAAATTGAAAATGATATGGATATATTGAATTTTTTTAAGGATATGCTGGTTTTAAAGAAAGCTATTATGCTGATACTGACTAAAGAATAACTAGCTTCGCTCTAGTTGGTTGGATGCTCATAACAATTTTTAAAATTGTATTTAAAAAATATGGAAGTTGGCTAGAATTATTAAGGTAAATTTAATTAGCTATTCTTATTCATAAAGTTATAAAATACTTTTCAGAAAAATTAAATAGCTTGACTCCATTTGAGGTGTAATTTGCAATATACAGATGTTTCAAATAAAGTAACCCTTGTATTTTTTTTTCATGTATTTTTATATATCATATTTTTCTGAGAATAGCTATAAAATAATTAATATTATTGATGTTTATTTTACAAATAAAAAAACATATTTAAATTTATTCAACAAATTTAACTAATTTTTATTAAAATTATTTTTTAAAAAAGAATAAATATATTTAGAATTTTTATTCTTTCTTTTAATTTATTAATGTATTATTATTTATAAAATTGATTAAAATTATGAATGTAAAATTAATTTCTATGTAAAATTTATTAAATATACTAGAGAAAAACTTAAGAATAATATTATTATTCAATCACATAATTAATATTATTAATATTTTTTTTATAAAGTAAACAAATATTTATCTTTATTCAATGAAATTAATATACCCTCAATAGTAAGTAAGTTATTATAATTTATTTAATTTACTCTTAAATGAAGTAAAAATTGTCAAATATCTAAGAAAAAATAATTTATTATAAATGGGGAGCTGAGTAAAATACTATTAAAACTATTTTGTGAACTATTTATTTGGTAGATTACTTTGTAAATACATAAGCTTAAAAGTTAATAAATTGTTATTCGTTACAGTGAATTTAATAAATTTTTTATTTTACATTATAATTTGATTTGTGTGAATGTTGAGCTATAAATAAATAAATAGCGAAATTGTTATTATCTGAAACAAATAATTAATAAGAAAAACCAATTTATATCTAAAATTGTATTGGCTAGTTCTTAATTAATCAATAATCTTTTTTATTTATTAAATAATATTAATCTATTTCTCCTTAAAGTAGGAGTAGTAAAAGTCTTGTCAAAAGCTTTAAAAAAATAATTAGACTTAAAAAAATGATATATTCGAAGTTAGATTTTTTTTCTTCTCCTTTTTCATTCAATACAGGTAATCAATAAACTAAGAGAGGTACATTATTTGGTACAGCGCTCTCATTTTTTATCTTTGTGATAACATTATCCTACTTTGTCTACATAATAAAATAGTATGTTAACAACTAAATAGAGCCTACATTTAGGTCTTAAAGCTTCATTAATAACGACTTGATCTCAGTTCCACTTAGCAGTGACTTTGTTGGATTTAGATTTGAAAATGGAAATAATTAGAGCACATAATCCCCAGATAAGATCTACTTAGTTTATTTGGCTTTCTTTTTTTATAGTTCTCCTAATGATAATCAATACATACCACTAAAAGTAATCGATTGTACTAATTCTAATCTTAAAGGATTTAAGTGCCTTGATTTTACCAATGTATATAATTATACATTTTCTCTTAACACTAATTAGAACATTAAGTCATCAGTTTAGATCCTTACTTATGGTTGTAGAGATATTGATACTTTAAAGACTTTTGTTCCTAATAATTGCGCTGAATAAGATGAAATTGACAGTATGATTAATGGCATAAACTCTGTTTTAAGGTTTAAGCTTTATACATCTTAATACAATACTACCTCTTAAAGGATAGAGGAAAGATATAGAAATGCTTAGATTTTTACCATAGCGAGTTAATCCATAGTAACATAATTGAAAACTCAAAATTAAAACACTTCTATAAAATAAGGTTTAATAGTTTAAACAGAATCAAACTTTAATTCACCAATTCAATATAGTTAATAAGATTTAGGCTATGATAGGTAATACGCCCTAATATAGGTTGGAGGTGGCGCGTATAGCGTGGCATTAATTTATATTGATGAAATAGTTTAACAAATATAAATTTAATATCCTACATTGCCATAAGTGTTTGCACTCGTAAATGGTATTTTTTCTCTCTTGATGTTTACAGGTATTTTTGCTAGAATGGTTTCATAAAATTCGATAAGAAAAGACCTTTTCTTATTATTTTTAAAAAATATATACCAAGACAGTTATTTACAGATTATAAAAAACACCAAAAACTTTCAATAGGCAGATGAAGAAGTTGTTGAATCAAAAATAGATGAATAAGATGTGTAAGAATAAAAAGAATGCGATTTAGAATCAAAAAGCGATAAAGAAAAGTTTTGTGATTAGCCAATAATAATACCAACTTTTAAAAATAAATAGAAAACATTATTAGAATAAGATCAATATAATAATAGTATTTCTAATAACATAGAAAATATCATTTTAAATGCTTAAAATAATAATTAAAAAATTAATAACTAATCAAATGAATAAATTAATAATTTTATGTCTTAAGGAGCCTAAAATAATTTAAATATTAAATAGAATTTTATCACAGAGACGGAATCAATAATTTAGTCAGTAATAGGTGTCGAGTAGAAGAGTTTTCAAAGAGATTTTTTAAGTAATAATTCGCCATAAAATACTAGCTTGATGAAATTTGTTTTAAATAAGTAATCAAATTTTTAATAGTATTAAATGAAGGAGAAAAATAGCACATTATCCTAAAGTAGCTAAGTTTTGATATAAAATTTTAATGCAATTAAAACTACTAAATGCACATACAAAATAAAAGAAGATATTCCTTAGAAAAAGTAATATTCATTTTTTAAATTTATTTTGATTAAATATTTTATTTTGAATTAAAGTTTTTAGAAATCAGGATAAAAAGAAGGTGGCATCAGTAAACTTTAATTATAAAAAGTTGAATACTAAATTAAGAAAGATTTAAATATTTTAAACTTCATACAAGATATAATTCTATTGAAAAAAGCTGTCATGATGTTATTGACAAAAGATTAGCTAGCAGCGATGCACTTAATAGGTTGTTCTTAAAGTTTTTTAGAATTAAATTTAAGCAGTAAAAATTGCAATTTAAATTAACTAGGTTAATTTATTCATAATTTAGATAATTTTTAAATGTATTTTTAAATAAATAAAGAATACAGGAATAAGTTAAGCCATTATGAAATGTAATTTGCTATTTCATAATCGAAATAATTCTAAGAGTAATATTTATCAGAATTTTTGCAAAGATGTACTAATGTTGAAAATACAAGCGAACTTGATTAAAGAATTGTGCAGACTATTTAAAAATGTCATTTAACTGGCTGAAATAAACTCATATTCTTTCTTAGTTATCATTTAAATAATCTAATTCACTTCCATAGTTCTCCTTAAATTTTATGTATTATTTCCTACATTGAAATTAGATAAGGAGTTTTATATAAAATAAATAAATAAATAAAATTTATAATTTTAATATAAATTTTAATATATATGTAGCTAGATACTCTTGAGTAATTATTTCTCGAGTAGGAAATATATATTTAGTATAAAGTTGAATATTTTTTTATTAATTTAAAGATAATTTAAATGTAATAAAAAACAGTTCTGAAACAGGTTTCGAACCTGAAAAAACAAAAAAATAAGAAAAAAGTGTTTACTCAAAAATTTAAGTAAGTTTTATTTACTATTTTTACATGGCTTCAACTTAAATAAAAATAAATTAAAAATATAATAAATATTATAATTAATAAAACTATTATAAAAAAAAAACGATGTCATTTAAAATTATAAATTTTATTTTCAAAATAATTAAAATGGAAGATCAATTTAATAATTTTTATTTATTATATTAATTTAATTTAATTAATAGCCTGCTTATTTATAGAAAGAAGTGCTATATTAAAATTTGTGTTTGCTAAATAAAATTAACATTTATTTTTTTGCCACAAAAAACTAATTAAGTGTCACTTGATATTAAAATATATATAATAAATTGCATAAAAGAAAGAATTAAAATTAATAATTAATTAATTAAACATTATTTATTCTAAGTTAGACTTATTTTCATCTCAATTCTAGTTTGGCATTGGCAGCAAATAAAAAAAGAAAGGTACTCTCTTTGGGACCATTTTATCTTTGGTAGTTGTGATCACTACATTCTCTTACTTCGTTTACATTTTAAAACTATACGTCAATAATGAAATAGACCCAAATTTCAAGACTTAAAGCTTCATTACTGAAGGATAAATAGATATTGGTATGGATAATAACTATGTCGGTTTCTAATTTAAATATGGCATTTAACCAAACTAGAATTAGACATACTTTTAGTACTATGCCTTCTATTATTTGTAAGACCATGATAATTATACTATGATACCTTTAAATATAATAGACTGCGCAAGCCCAAGTCTTACAGGCTTTCTCTGCTTGGATTTCTCTAATATAACAAATCATTTGTTGAGCCTCAATACTAAAGGAAACTCAGGGTCATAACTATACATTTTCACTTATAGATGCATAGACACAGACTAAGTAAAGACGACTGTACCTGATAATTGCGCTAGCGAAGCAGATATCAATAATATGATTGATAATATTAACTCAGGTATAGAATTTAAACTATTTACTTCTTAATACAACACAACTTCTCAACAGATTCAAGTTAACTATAGAAATGCCTTTATAAACCCGCTTTCAAGTCAGTAAGTATTAACCTACTTAAAGTCACAGAAACAAATTACTTCTATTCAGTAAGGAGCTTTTATTTAGTAATCTACTTCGTTTTCATCTAATGGTATTTTTTCTCTTTTGATGCTTACAGGCATTTTTGGGAGAATGGCTTCATAAAATTCGATAAGAAAAGACCTTTTCTTACTATCTTTAAAAAATATATACCAAGACAGTTATCTACAGATTATAAAAAATACTAAAAATTTTCAATAGATAGAGGAAAAAGTTGAGTTAGATATAGATGAATAAGATTTGTAAGAATAAAAATAATGCTATTAAGATTCAAAAAGTGATAAAGAAAAGTAAAAATATTAACCAATAATATTTCCAGCTTTTAAAAATAAATAGAAAAGTTCATTAGAATAAGATCAATACAGTAATAGTACTTCTAATAACACAGATTATATAATAAATTCTTAAAATAATAATTAAAAAATAGAAAATTAATTGGTGTCTGTCTTGTCTAGCAGAAGAATTTTCAAAGAGATTTCTTAAGTAATAGTTTGTCATAAAATGCTAGCTTGATGAATTTTTTTTAAATAAGTAAAAAAATTTTTTATAGCATTAAGTGAAGCAGAGAAATAGCACAATAGCAGAGTAGCTAAATTTTGATATAAAATTTTAATGCAATTAAAAATACTAAATGCTCATACAAAATAAAAGATGATATTCCTTATAAAAAGTAACATTCATTTTTTTAATTTATTTTGATAAATATTATTTTGAATTAAAGTTTTTAGAAATCAGGATAAAAGGAATGTGGTATCAGTAAATTTTAATATAAAAAAGTTGAATACTAAATCAAAAAAGATCTAAATGTTTTAAACTTCATACAAGATATAATTCTATTGAAAAAAGCTGTCATGATGATATTGACAAAAGATTAATTAGCAGCTATGCACTTAATAGGTTGCTCTTAAAGTTTTTTAGAATTAAATTTGAGCAGTAAAAATTGTAACTTAAGTTAACAAGGTAAATTATTTATCATTTATATAATTTATTTTTAAATACATTTTTATATAAATAAATAAAGAATATAGGAGTAAGTTAAGTCATTATGAAATGTAATTTGCTATTTTATAATAGAAAAAATTCTAAGAGTAATATTTATCAGAATTTTTATAAAGATGCACTAATGTTGAAAATACAAACGAGCTTGATTAAAGAATTTTGTAGACTATTTAAAAATGTCATTTAACGAACTGAAATAAACTCATTTTTTTCTTTATTTTTTTATGTTTTTGTCATTTAAATGATCTAATTCTCTACCATAGTTCGCCCTACGTTCTCTGTCTGTATGATTTTGTAAATGAAATTAGATAAGAAATTTTATATATATATAAATAAAAATACATAATATTTTGAATGATATTTTTAGCTATCCTAATAATGATTTCAAGAATAGGAAATACATATTTAGTAGAATAAGGAATATTTTTTATAAATTAAAAAAAATTAAAATGTAATAAAAAGCTTTGTTTGAAACAGGTTTCGAATCTTAAAAAACAATAAAAATAAGTAAAAAATGTTTAATCAAATATTTAATTTTTAGATCAAAATTCTAAATTTATATATCAATCAATAATTTATCTATCTTATTTAATTTTAAATAAATTTACAAAATATTAAAATTATAAAATAGTAGAGTAAAATAAATCTTTAATTTTAATAGGCGATGATAATTAATATTAATAAATTAATAATGAATTTTTGTAATTTTGAATTTAATAAAAATAAAAATCTCCCTATTTATTTATTATAAAATATATTTATTTTTTAGAAAATAAATTAATTAATTAAATTTAATTGATATTATTAAAAAGAATAAATAAATACATTTTTATATTTTGCTGAAAGCTTATTTTAATTATTTATTTTAAAATTAGCTATGAAAAATAATTTTAATAAATTTGGCTCTGCATATAAAATTCCTCATATCCAAGTTAACTTAGCAAGTATAAATTTAATTTCCATATTTACCCTTAGGTTTTTTTCTGGTAAATTTTATATTAACTTTCTTAATTTTTTAAGAAATTTTAAGAAATTAGCTTCCTAATACTCTATTAATAAAGCACTTCATGCTGCTTTTAAAAAAATAGATTGATTCCAAAAATAATAATTGTCTTTTAATAAACAAAATTTATACTGAATGTGATTTTTTTAATTGTGATTTAGAATAGTAGAAGTAAGTATTACTTAGATTATTAAATCAACCATAAATTATAAGAAAATTATAATTAATTATTCACCACATACTATAAATTAGTAGCAATAAACATAATAGAAGCAATTTAATAACTTCAATTACTAATTACAATTAAAAGAAATATGGTAAAAAGACAAATTTCTAATAAAAAATAATTTTAAAAACACAATAAATAAATAAAAAAAAGGAAGGAAAATCTGATTATTTATGGATTCTCTAAAAATTTAAAAAAGGAGAAAAAATATTTAGATTAAAATCAGACATATTTAGTATTGATAAAAAATAATATACTAGTTCAAGCTTTTAAATAAAATTTAAAGCTTATGGGTTTATTTTCTAATTCAAAAGGTAAGTAAATCAATGAATTTTAAGGCAATTAGAGTCAAATAAAAGTAAATTAATTTATTATGATATTTGTATTATAGAAGAATCAAGAAAAAAAACAAGAAAATACATAACAAATAATCTAACACAAATTAAATAAATAAATATAGCAGTTATTTAATCTAACAAATTGAGAAAAAGCTTTTTAGAAAGTGATTTGTTTTTAAAAAAAAATTAAGAAAGTAAAATGCTTTAAATAATTTAATAAAAAAATACCATTTAGAAAAAACGAAAATAAAATTTGATTTAAAATATTTACATAATTAATTAAAATAATTGAATAATATGAAAAATATTATTTAAAAACATTAAACTTCAATAAAAAACATATTATAAAATAATGTATATATTTTGATGTTACTTATAAAAAATCAATAATAATTCTGTTTTGTTATAATTGCCTTTTTTTTTGGTTATGTAAAAGCTATTTTTATTAAAACCGGGGTCTTTTCAAATAAAAATTATGCTTATTTAGCATATAAAATCAAGTAAGTGTCTTTATTTTACACTGATAAATAGTTAGTGATTAGATTATAAATTTAATGTTGACATTAAAAAAATATATATAATAAATTATAAAAAAGAAAGAAATAAATAAATAGGAAGAATTAAAAAATAATTAAAAAAATAAATATACATGATTTATTCAAAATTAGACTTATTTTCATCTCAATTCTAGTTTGGGATTGGGAGCAAATAAAAAAAGAAAGGTACTCTCTTTGGGACTATTTTATCTTCGGTAGTCGTGATCACTACTTTCTCATACTTCATTTACATTTTAAAACTATACATCAGTAATGAAATCGACCCAAATTTTAAGACTTAAAGCTTCATTACTGAAGGACAAATAGATATGGATATGGATAATAACTACGTCGGTTTCTAATTTAAGTATGGCATTCAACCGAACTAAAATTAGACATACTTTTAGTACTACGCCTTCTACTATTTGCAAGATCAGAGTAACTATACTATGATACCTTTAAATATAATAGACTGCACAAGCCCAAGTCTTGCAGGCTTTCTCTGCTTGGATTTCTCTAATATAACAGATCATAAGTTGAGCCTCAATACTAAAGGAAACTCTGGGTCATAACTATACATTTTCACTTATAGATGTATAGATACAGACTAAGTAAAGACAACTGTACCTGACAATTGTGCTAGCGAAACAGACATCAATAACATGATTAATAATATTAACTCAGGTATAGAATTTAAACTTTTTACTTCTTAATACAACACAACTTCTCAACAGATTCAAGTTAACTATAGAAATGCCTTTATAAACCCACTTTCAAGTCAACAAGTATTAACCTACTTAAAGTCACAGAAACAAATTACTTCTATTCAGTAAGGAGCATTTATTCAATCATCTACTTCGTTTTCATCTCCGATATCTCATAGTTAATAATTTTAAACTTTAGATCGCTTACAAGCTTAACAAGAAGTAGGAATAGGGGCTTTTAGTTGTGCTTTTATTTTCCCAGATGAAATTGTTCAATACATAAAGATTTAATACCTCTCTCTTCCTCAAGTGTTAGCGCAAATTTATACTATTTTTACTCTTCTAATGTTTTTAGGAGTTTTTGGTAGATCAATCTCAAAACAGGTTATGAATAGCGAATTGCTAATGGTCTTTTTTAAGAACTTGTATCTTGAAAATTATTTACAGATATTAAAATCTAACAATATAAGTAATGAGGAGCCTTTGCAATAATAACCAACCTAATAATTACAGTAAGAATAATAAACCAATTTAAAAAATGATGAGTATAAAATCGAAGAAAAAAAAGGAGGAGAGAAAGTATATGATGAAAATTAAGAGTTTGATGCTAATTCGCAAGTAATTGTCCCATCTTTTAGAAGTAAGTAGAAGTCTTAATTGGATTACGATTTTTCATATAATTTACAAAGCAGCCAATCAAATAGCAATAATCCATAAGAACTAGTTAAGATTTAAGACAGTTTGACCTCGAGCTAAAGCTAAATAAGATCAGTTTAATGCAAGTTTAATTCAGGCTAACAAAATCCTAATATATATATTAATAATCAAGAGTAAAACTTAAATATCATTTTTGATTCAATTGTAGAGCCAGAATCTTGTAAATCCTAAGTTAGTTAACAAAATGAGCCTATTCAAACTGAGAGTTAAAAGTTATTCTTAAGTCCTTTAAACAAAAAAGCAAAATGCTATTTCAAAAAAGTTGATCTTTAACATAAAGACTAAAGTGAAAACAAAAAAGAAGAAGAAAATAATTAAAAAAACTACAAAAACTAAATATTGACCATTCATAGCACTTAATTTAGTAATAAAGTCAAACCTTTAATTTCTAATTTGAAGTAAGAAATTAATTAATTTTTTCAAGTTTTTCAAAAGTTATTAAAATTTGCTTTATTTTTTATAGTCTACCTTGTAGAAAAAAGCTTCAAAAAACGATTAATGGATTGAAACCAGAAGAACGAAACCAAATTGAAGAGTAAATTGAAAATGATATGGATATTTTGAATTTTTATTAAGATTTGCTCTTTTTGAAGAAAGCAATTATGCTGCTGCTAACAGAAGATTAGCTAGCGTCATTACAGTTGGTTGGATGCTCAAAATAATTCTTACAATTTGATTTTAAAAATCAAGATGTTGGCTGGAATAATTCTGGTAAATAAAAAATAAATTGATCTTATTCATTTATTTATATTTTTTTTTTCAGAAAAATTAAAAAGCTTGACTCCATTTGAAGTATAGTTTGCGATATATTAGTCTAAAATTCTGCAATAGAATTACTGTAATAAGTTCATTTAAAGATGCGCTAACAACAAACAATTAGGTGTATTAGACAAAAAAATATTACTATCTATATAAAAAACTATGAATTGTTGAGTTTTTTTTGTTATTTAATTGGTGTTTTAAAGCTTTATTTTTTTAAATAATTTACTTATAATTATTAATTATTTTCAGTCAGTAGCTGTTCTAGTTTATTAATAACTAAAAAAACTTTTTGTAATTCATAAAATTTATTTTTTTAAAATTCAAGCAATTCTAATTAATAGAAATGTAAGTAGCACCTTATTAATTAGAATTAAAAAGTTTCTAAAGCAATCGAAAAAGCAGAAAGAAAAAGTATATATTAATTTTGCTAAAAAAAGAAGATATATGCTAACTCTATTAATAAATAGTCAATTTATATATTTAAAATGTGTAGTTAGCAAGTATATAAATGCGTTAATTTATCATTGCTGTTTTTATTTGAAATAAAAAAAATGTTCCAGAAAAATTTTTCTTTTTTGTTATTCAATTATCAACTCAAAACTGGTAAAATTTTAAGACTATTATTGAATGATAAATTATAATTTATTGAAATAGAGACAATCAGTTTGTTTTTAAACCTGTTATAAGAACGAAAAATTTATTCTTTTATAAAAGTAAATTAATGTGATAATCTATCAAGTTTTTAATATTCAATAAAATATTTTATAATAAACACAATAATTTAATTTAAAGTATATATTTATGTATATATTTTGATAATTATTTTTTATGTTATTAAATTATACCCTCAAAAATGATAAAATTTTAAGACTATTTATTATAGGATGATAAATTAAAATTTATTGAAAAAGAAACAATGAATTTGTAATCCTGTTGTGAAAACAAAAATAATATAAAAACTATTAGTTAAAATCAACTTTTTTGGTTATCTATCAAGTTTTTAATATTGGATAAAATATTTTATAATTATTTCAATAATTTGCTTTTAGATTATTACACAATTTAAATATGTTCATAGTTACTACTGAGCTACTCACTCACTTGCTTCAAAATTAATTTATGGTTATTTTTGATAGTACACTATTTTAAATAATTAATCTAAATTTTATTAAACTAGACATAGATTATATGGAATCAAATTATGAATAAAACATTCAATCTGAATAACTCATTTTTTTAGTTGTCAATTGAGAATTCCAACCTATTAGTTAGTTTGAATATTATTATTGTAATTTTAATTTTAAAATTATGAAGTTAAAATAATGCTGATCAATTGAAAAAATAAAATAAAATTAATTTTTTTTATTTGTAAGTGAATATAGGATTACTTTTTTAAAATAAAATCAGAATACTTAAATTTATTATAAAACAATAATTTAAAAAACAACCAGTTTACATTATTAATAAAAACTAAACTGAATTAGCAATTAGTTATGTACGAAATTTTTTAAAGTTGTAGAGAATAAAATAGTAAAATAAAATAGATATGCTTTTAATAACGTGAAACTGTTTTAATATTTAAGCAGTTTACTTTTTTAATATAATAAAAAAATCTTTGTAGATGAATAAGTTAGTTTTATATATTCACAATCGCTTATACAGAACAGGCTAATTTAACATAATTAAAAACCTAAAAATAGGTTACTTAAATTAATTGAAACTAGTTCTATATTTTCTTATCTTACACAATATATTTAGTAAAACTAAAGATAAACTATGTAATATATACTCTATAGCATATAAAAGCTTGAGCTTACTTAGCTGCAGCTATATATCTTGATGATATTGCATTGTTTTACATAGAGTACATTGAATTACAAAGGCTTTTGAGCTAATTAATAGTAATATTAATACAATAATGATCATTGTTTGCTAAAAAGAATTGAAATTAATTGCTTTTCTAAATAAAAGCAAGATGTTGAATGCCTAGTTTTTTTGCTTGTTTGCTTATTGATATGATTTCTTCACAATTGTTCCTATATCAAGTGTTTTTTATATTTTAAGGCATATATTTTTTATTTTAATACACAGAAATGGAAGTAGAAGAAGGAAGGATGACAATATTAATAATAAAAATAAGTGAATATAAATTAATATAATAGTAATATTTGTTGTTCAATTTACCTATTATATATTTTTGTATGTAGTAAGCAGTAAATCTATATAGAATATTATTTTTAAACAATAAAAAAAGTAAGATTGTAACTTTTAATAATTTCTTTGAAACTAAAGATTATAAGAACTAACAGATAGGAAAATAAATAAGTAATCGACAACCTATGAAGAATTAAATAAAAAATGCTGACCTTTTTCTACTTTAAATTCTAATAGCAATTGAATATATTGTTGATCTTAAGCCAATTTTAAGAGGATTTATAAGTAAAAAAATCAAAGTAAGTTGAATTTATTGAATGAATATCAATCGATGTAAGGATAAAAATAGTAATAAACAATTAAGAAATAAAGGAAAATAAAGAAAAATGCTTTAATCAAAATTAACTTTGCAATTTATATTTTATTTAGACAAGCAATTAATAAATAAATAAATAAAAACTCTATATTTGGAATATAGCTTTCTTTATCAATCGTCATCTTAGCGTGTGCATATTTAATATCATGAAATGGTTATTTTTCATTAATTAAATAAATAGAATCAACTTTAAGATATTAAAAAACTTCATCCCAGAAGATCAATTTGATATTTCATTGAGCATTAATTTTTCTACTAATTTTAATAGAAATTGTATAATGTTGAGCTTTTTTCAAGCTTTTATAAAAGCTTAGTAGGATTTATAAGCAAAAAAAATCAAATTAAGTAGAATTTATTGAAAGATAATTAATATAAATAGAAATTAACAATTAATAAATAAACGAAATTAAAGAAAAATGCTTTATTCAAAATTAGATTTATTTTCTTCACAATTCACATTTTACATAGGCAACAAGCACACAAAAAGGGGCACTTTATTTGGAATATTACTTTCTTTATCAATAATAGTCTTAGCATGTGCATATTTGATATACATGATATGGTAATTCTTCACTAACTAAATAGAACCAACTTTTAGATCATAAAGCTTCATTACAGAAGACAAAATTGATATTCCGTTGAGCAACAGTATGGTAGGGTTCAGATTTGAGTAAGGCTAAGATTCAGGAAACCAAGAAATTTAACAAAACAAAACTTATTTAGTATACATAGCATATTTGTATTATAATAGTCCAAACTTTTCTTCATTTATTCCTCTAAATGTCACTGAATGCACTGATCCTAACCTTTAAGGGTTCAATTGTCTAGATTTTTCAAATGTTTCTAATTATACGCTATCTCTAAGCACAAAAAGTAATCTTAAATCTACAATTGAAATATTCATGTATGGCTGCTTAGATCTTGATAGTTTAAAAACTACTATTCCTGATAACTGCGCCACTTAAAATGAAATAGATAGTGTTATAAATGGTGTTAATGCTGTTTTAAAATTTAAACTATTCACTTCTTAATACAATACCACGTCTTAAGAAATATAAGTTAACTATAGAAATGCTATCGTTTACACAGTAGCCAATTAGGCTATACTTACTTAATTAAAAACTTAAAAATAGGTTACCTAAATTAAGTAGGGATTAATAGTTTAATCGAACTCTGTGTTTTCTTCTCCAATACAATATGTTTAGCAAGATTAAGGATATGATAGGCAATATGCTCTTTAGTAAATAAAAGCTGGTGCTTATAGCACTGCAGTTATATATTTAGACGAGATTGTCTAGTAGATTTAAATATAATATCCTACATTACCTTAGGTTTTTGCTCTAGTAAATAGTACTATTACACTTTTAATGCTTTTAGGTATTTTTGGTAGGTTTGCATCTTAAAAGTCTATTAACAAAGATTTCTGTATGCTTTTTTTAAAGAATCTCTACTAAAATGATTATTTAGAAATCATAAAATAAGAAAATTGTGAATAATAATTTTAATAAGATAAAATATAATCGGATGTTAAAAATCAGGAGGAATATGATGGTTAAAAAAATAGAGTAAATGAAGATCTACAGGAAAATTATAGTTAGCCTATTTTTATTCCTGCTTTTGCTAATAAGTAAAAGGCACTTTTAGATTTAGAATAAACATTTAATACTAATTAAATTAATCTTGAAACTTAAAATAACAAAATGACTGATCAGCATTAAAAATGTGATGATGGATATAAGTTTAAGCAAGAAATAGAATAATAGTAAGAATTTGAAAAATTTAATGCTGAATAACTTATCACTTCGTAGAAAGCAGAAAAGAACAATAAGTAAAGTTAATTCTTAAACAATTATAATTTATAAGAATCAATATCATATGGATCTCCGACAAACTAATTAAGTAATAACTAAAAAGATTAAAGCTTGATTAACTCAAATAATTTCATTTTATCAAGCAAATAAACGTTTGTGAAGAAAAAATTCTTTTTCAAACAATTTTCAAAAACTGAAAATCATTAAAAGAGCTAAAAAACTGATTTGAAGAGTAACAAATATATTTAAATTCTAGAAAAAATAAATGATAGAACTACTTCTGATAAATTTTAGAAAATCTTATTTAAAATGAAGTAATTAATTAATTAATTAATTAATTAATTTTAGTTTGTTATTTTTCAAAATAATATTAAAAAACTAGTGGTTTGTTTAGAAAATGTGATCATCCAATTAAGTAACAAAATGAATTGACACTAAGTATTATTGAAGAATAAATTAAAAAGGACTTAAATATTTTAAATTTTGTGAAGGATATAATATTTCTTAAGAAAGCCATCATGATGCTCTTAACAAAAGACCAACTTGCAGCACTACATTTATTAGGTTTTTCTTCAAATTTTTTACATACTGAGCCTTATAAATCAGATTGCAGCTTAGCACAATTAGGTATTTTTAGCAATCAAAATTAATAATAATTTTAACAATTTTTTCTTAATTAAGAAAAGGATAAAAAATTAAGCCACTATGAAATGCAATATTCTATTTTAAAGTAACCAAAATTTTAAATAGAATATTTTGAGCAATTCCTATAAAGATGTTCAGAACATGAAGAAAACACCTCTAATTTAGATTAAAGAATATTAACATCTATTATTAACAGTTATCAAATTTGAAATTTTATTTTTAAGTTCTATGCAGAATTAAGTTAACTTTATTAAATTAAATTCAAAAATAAAAATATTTTATCATTTCATAGTTAATTAAATAAACTTTTTTTTTATATTTTATGAATAAAAATTAGATTTATCATAAAAATATAATAATAAAAAAAATATAAATAATTTTAGAAGTTAATTCTAACTTTCAAAGTTAAAAAACTTTAGAAGTAAATTCTAATTTTCAAAATTTAAAAATTTTTATAGTAGAGTTATTTTTTAATAATTTTGGCTTTTAATTCTAATATGATTAAAATTACTATTAAAGCATCAAACAAAAACAAGTCTTTTTGCAAAGAAATATTTGTAAGAAAAGTTCTAATATATATATATATATATATACTCTTTTACAATAAATAATTTACATAACAAATATAAATCATCACTTATTGGTAAGTTCTTTATAATACTTAAACGATTCAAAGCAATTAAAATTTCTGTTTTGTCCTATTAGTTAATAAAAAATAAGACAAGTAAAGTAGAATCATAAATAATAGCAAAGCAAAGTAGAATCATAAATAAATAAATAATCAAAGATAAATAAAAATATGATTTACTCTAAATTAGATTTATTTTCTTCTTAGTTTTCGTTTAACGTGAGCAGTAGTTACTCTAAAAAAGGTACACTGTTAGGAACATTTCTTACTTTTTTAGTTATAATCCCTACTTTGTCATACTTTATTTATATCATGAGGCAATATTTTTTAAACTAAATTCAACCAAATTTTAGATCGCAGAACATTATTACTAATGATTTTGTTAATATCACACTAAGCAATGATTTAATAGCCTTCAAATTTGACTTTGATGTAAATTCAAATCCTAATTTAAATTTAGATCTATAAAATAAGACATTTTTAGTTTATATGGCTCAATTTTTTCAAAGAAATAATGATTCATCTATTACCGTTTAGCTAGATATCATAAACTGTACAAATCCAAATTTAGTAGGATTTATGTGTCTTGATTTTTCAAAGCTATAAAATAATTCTCTCTCTTTAAATACTTAAAACAATTTGTTATCTTAAATTTAAATTTTTACTTATGGTTGTTTAGATCTCGATCTTCAAAAGACTACCATACCTAATAATTGTGCAAACTAAACAGATATTGATAATTTAATTAATGGAGTTAATTCTGGATTGAAACTTAAGCTATTTACCTCTCAGTACAACACTTCGTCTAGGTAAATTTAAAGCTATTATCGAAACTCAATTGTTTACACAGTAGCGAATTAGTAAATACTAACATAAATAAAAAGTTAACTCCAAATTACCTCAGTAAAATAAGGTGCCTTGATTTAATAAGAGTAAGTTTTCTAATCTCCAATTTAATATAATCAGTAGGACTAAAATGTAGACAGATAATATGCATTTTAAGCAATCGGTATAGGAAGCTATAGTTGTGTTTTTATCAATCCGGATGAGATTGTTTAGTAAATAGAAATTTAATATTAAACTCTTCCCTAAGTTTTCTCTTTTGTTAGTAGCATTTTTACATGTTTGATGTTTTTAGGCATTTTAGGTAGGAAGGTCTCTTAGAGTTCAATTAGAAAAGATCTTTTTATATCATTTTTAAAGAGCATGTTCTAAGATAAATATTTATAAATTTTAAAAGATAATGGCCTTTATAATGACCAATAAGTCGATCAGGGTTCAAATCTGTTCTAATAATAACAACAATAATAACAGCAATAATAATAATAATATTAATAATAATAATAATAAGACTAAGATAAAGATAGAGACTTTTCTAAATAAATAGAAGATAAATCAGTCTCATTTAATGAATCAAAAGATGAAGACGAAAGAAGTATATCAAACTCAATTCCAAAATTTATGAGCAAAATGAAGTGTTAATTGGATTCAAATAATATGCTAAATAGACATAAAAAAGAAAATTAAATTGAATCTAACTAAAAAATAAAAAACTCTTTAATTTTATCTGAAAATAATTATTAAAAATAGGATAATACTATTCCAGAATTCTAAAAAGAAGACAACTTTATAGACAAAGAAGATAATTTTTAAATAAAACAAGAAACAAATTCAATTCAGAAACTAAATCTAAGTAGTTATAGCATAACTAAAAGCCAAATATCACAATCACGCTAAACTAAAAGTAATTTTAAAGAAATGATAACATTTGCCAATAGCAAAAAAAAATAGAACAATTAATCTAAGTTTGATAGAAAAAATCAAGACTAGAAAATTTAATCACAAGATTCTGAACAGAGCACATAATAATAATAATAGTAATAATAGCAATTAAATTTTAGTGAATAAGTACTAAAGTTTTTAACTATTTAAAACTCATCTTTATCAAATAAGATTTAGAAACTAATATTCCGATTGAGGTATTTATTTATTTATTATTTATATATTTTGAATTAAAAAATATTTAATAATTTTAATAAAGTCTATGTAAAAGAAAAAAAATAAAAAAAATAACAGGTCTTAATGATAATTAGCTATTACAAATAGATTATCAAATCAAAAAAAATTTGGACATTTAAACCTTTTTATAAGAAATGATTACTCTCAAAAAAGCCATTATGATCTTACTAAGTTAAGACTAACTTGCTGCATTACAATTAATAGGCTGCTCTTAAAATATTCTAGATTTAAATTTTAAAGAGTTGAATACAAAACATAAATAATTAGGTAACATTTTACTAATATTAAACGATTAATTCATTTATAAAAAATTATAATTTATCACTTCATATAATTAATATCTATTTATTTTAATTTATCTAACATTTAAATAAATAAATAAATAAATAAATAGATAAAAATTTAAGCCATTATGAACTACAATTTATTATATCACAATCTAAGTTGCTTTAACAGTAGTAGATTTAGAACTTTTTATAAAGGTGTTCAAATAATTTGTAAGACCTAAGTGACATTGATTTTAGAATTTTATCCTCACTTAATTAAAATAGACCCAGTTGCTGACTGATTCATTTATTAAATAATAGTAATATTTAAAATATTTAGAATTAAATTTTTTGCTTATATGTTTAAAAAATAACTCAATACAAAATATAAATTATTATTAGATAACATTTTTAAAATTTTTATTTAATTAAAAAACAAACAGATAAAAATTTAAGCCATTATGAACTAACTACAATGTATTATATCATAATCTCAGTTACCTTAACAGCTGTAGATATATTTAGAAGTTTGTTTATTAAAGGTGTTCAAATAATTCATAAAACCTAATTGACAAAGATTTTAGAAAAATATCCTCATTTAATTAAAATAGAACCAGTTGCTGATACTTTTATTGAATAATTGTAAAATTCAAAATATTTAGAATTAATTTGCTTACTTTTATAATTAATAAACTATACATAAATAAATATAACTTATTATCTTTGTTTTTATAATCGATAGGAGGAGGAGTTACACAGGCCTTAGATATATTAAAGATAATTTTATTATAGATAAATTTATATCAATTTAGAATGATAAATTAATCAAAACTAAAAACCTAAATTTAAACATATAAATAAAATATAGAAAATATTATAAAATTTATATATGTATGTGTATGTGTGTGTATGAATAGAGTTTATGGATTTAAATTATATTTTTGTAAGTAAGATCAATCAAAGTTATATATATATTAATAAAACAAATTTGAAATAAAAATATTTATTTATAATTATATCATCTTTACTTAAAGAGGTTTCTATCTAAAAGACTATTTATTAATTGGTGCTAAAATATGAAATAAAGATAATATCTTTGATTGAACATACTGTTTATTATATATTGTTTGTTTAATTTTAATATTAAAAAATAAAATTAATAATGATATAAACATTTTGAAGATAGTTTGCAAATTAAATCATCTTTAATCGTCTGTTTTTTGAGACAATATTTTTAAAAATAGATCGTCAATTTTACGAGAGAGACTATTTTGACAAAAAAAATGAAGAGGATTTTTTGCAATGCTTATATTCTGTTTATTTATTCTAGGTTTTAGAGATAAAAACTAATTATGGATTGACTTTATTGATAATATTTTCTTCCAATAATACTTTATATTCAATTTTCGTTTTAAAACATTAAATTATTCTTCTTATCTTAAACATAATAAATTTAATCAAGTCCTTCCTAATTTTCTTTGTCTGTTTTTTGTTCATTTATTTTATTTATTTATTTATTTATTTATTTATTTATTTATTGTTTTTATTGATTAATTATTAATTATTTATCAAATGTTTAAGATTAAAATTCCACTACTCTCTTATTTTTATTATTTTCTATTAATAAAATTTCAATAAAATCTGTTTTATTAAAAAAAATAAATAAATGATTTATAATTAATGATAATACCTTATAATTATTATCTACTATTTATTATTATGATTAATATTGAGTAGTTTAGCAGAATATATTGCAACAATAAAAACGATTATATATTTTGATTTTATTGCAAAAAATCAACTATAATTCTGTTTTGCTATAATAACCTTTTTAGTTAAGTGAAAGTTATTTATATTAAAATTCAAATAAAAAATATGGTTTATTAGTTTGTAAAATTAGGAGTGTTTAGACTATAAATTTTGAACGTTGATACTAAAAAAATTATAATCAATTATGTAAAAGAAAGAAAGAAATAGTAAGAATTAAAAAATAATTAAATAAATAAATTTACATGATCTATTCAAAATTAGATTTATTTTCATCTCAATTCTAGTTTTGTATTGGCAAGAAATAAAAATAGAAAGGTACTTTATTTGGGACTATTTTATCTTTGGTAGTCTTGGTCATTACATTCTATTACTTCATTTACATTTTAAGACTATACTTCAATAATGAAATCGACCCAAATTTTAAGACTTAAAGCTTCATTACTGAAGGGCAAGTAGATATTGATAAAGATAATAACTATGTCGGTTTCTAATTTAAGTATGGTATTTAACCAAACTAAAATTAAACATACTTTTAGTACTACGCCTTCTATTATTTGCATGATGAGGGTAACTATAATTTGATACCTTTAAATATAATAGACTGCACAAGCCCAAGTCTTGAAGGCTTTCACTGTTTGGATTTCTCTAATATTACAGATCTTAAGTTGAGCCTCAATACTAAAGGAAACTTTGGGTCATAACTATACATTTTCACTTATAGATGCATAGACACAGACTAAGTAAAGACGACTGTACCTGATAATTGCGCTAGCGAAGCAGATATCGATGACATGATTAATAATATTAACACATCTTTATAATTTAAACTATTTACTTCTTAATACAATACAACTTCTCAACAGATTCAGGTTAACTATAGAAATGCGTATATAAACCCACTTTCAAGTCAACAAGTATTAACCTACTTAAAGTCACAGAAACAAATTACTTAGATTTAGCAAGGAGCTTTTATTCAATCATCTACTTCGTTTTCATCTCCGATATCTCATAGTTAATAATTTTAAACTTTAGATCGCTTACAAGCTTAACAAGAAGTAGGAATAGGGGCTTTTAGTTGTGCTTTTATTTTCCTAGATGAAATTGTTCAATAAAATTTAATACCTCTCTCTTCCACAAGCATTAGCGCAAATTTATACTATTTTTACTCTTCTAATGTTTTCAGGAGTTTTTGGAAGATTAATCTCAAAACACGTTATGAATAATGAATTGCTAATGGTCTTTTTTAAGAACTTGTATCTCGAAAATTATTTACAGATATTAAAATCTAACAATATAAGTAATGAGGAGCCTTTGCAATCATAACCTACCTAATAATTACAGTCAGAATAATAAACCAATTTAAAAAGAGATGAGTAGAAAATAGAAGAACAAAAACCAGGAGAGAAAGAAAATGATGAAAATTAAGAATTTAATTCTAATTCACTAGTAATTGTTCCTTATTTTAGAAGTAAGTAGAAGTCTTCATTGGATTATGATTTTTCATCTAATTTACAAAGCAGCCAATCAAATAGCAATAACCCATAAAAAGAATTACTTAAGATTTAAGGCAGTTTGGCCTCAAGCCAAGTAAAATCAGTTTAATGCAAGTTTAATCCAGAGTAGCAAAATCCTAATATATATATTAATAATCAAGAGTAAAACTTAGATAATATTTTTGATTCAATTTTAGAGTCAGAATCTTGCAAATCCTAAGTTAGTTAACAAAATGAGTCCATTCAAAATGAGACTTAAAAGCCATTCTTTAGTACCATAAACAAAAAAGCGAAATGCTATTTCAAAAAAATTAAACTTTAGCGTAATGACTAAAGTGAAAACAAAAAAGAAGAAAATAATTTAAAAAATTACAAAAACCAAATATTGGCCATTCATAACACTTAATTTGGCAATTTAGTCAAACCTCTGATTTCTAATTTGAAGTAAGAAATTAATTAATTTTTTCAAACTGTTCAAAAATTGTTAAAATTTTGTTTATTTATTTCTTTTTTATAGACTAGAAAAAGGCTTCAAAAAACAAGTAATAAGTAATGGATTGAAGCCAGAAGAAAAAAATTAAATTAAAGAGTAAATTGAAAACGATATGGATATTTTGAACTTTTTTTAAGATATGCTGTTTTTGAAGAAAGCAATTATGCTGCTGCTGACAGAAGATTAGCTAGCGTCATTGCAGTTGGTTGGATGCTCATAAAAATTCTTACAATTAGATTTTAAAAATAAAGATGCTGGCAGGAATTATTCTGGTAAATTTAATTAACTAACTACTCTTATTCATAAATTTAAAAAAATATTTTTCAGAAAAATTCAAAAGCTTGACTCCATTTGAAGTATAGTTTGCGATATATTAATCTAAAATTCTGCAATAGAATTACTGTAATAAGTTCATTTAAAGATGCACTAACAACAAACAATTAAGTGTATTAGACAAAAAAATATTACTATCTATTTAAAAAACTATAAATTGTTGAGTTTTTTTTGTATTTTTATTGGTGTCTTAAAGCTTTTTTTTTAAAAAAATTTACTTATAATTATTAATTTTTAACCAGGAGCTGTTCTAATTAATTTATTGATAATTAAAAAAAAAATTTATTAAGCAACCAAAAAGCAGCATTAATTTTATTTAAATGAAAAGTCATACGCCAAGTCTATTAAAAATTATAATGAATTTATATATTTAAAATGTGTGGATAGCGAGAAAATAAATGAATTTATTTACCATTGCAGTTGTTATAAAAAATAAAAAAATTGTTCCAGAAAAATTATTCTTTTTTTTGTTATTCAATTATTATCTCAAAACTGGCAAAATTTAAAGACTTTTTTAGAAAGATAATAGAGAAAATCAATTTTCAAACATGTTATGAGAATAAAAAATTGATTTTTTTTTTGTTAAAAATAAATCAATTTATGTGGTAATCTATCAAGTTTTTAATATTATATAAAATATTTTATAGTTAAAGCAACAATTTACTTAAAAGTATGAATAAATTTTTATAGTTATTTTTAGGCTTAGTTTATTGCATAATTAAAAATCTAAAAATAGGTTACTGAAATTAATTAAAACTAGCTCTATATTTTATTATGTAAAACAATATATTTTGTAAAACTAAGGATTGGATAAACAATATATTCTATATAAAATAAATGTTTGAGTTTACATAGTTGCAGCTATATGTCTTGATGATGAAATTATATTGTAATATTGTATATTATACTGAATTATAAAGGCTTTTGGGATTATTAAAAGTAATTTTAGCACAATTAATACTATTGCTTGCGAAAAAAAATAATTTAATTGAATTTTAAATTACAAGTAACAAATTGAATTCCAAGTTAGTTTGTATTTTAGCTCATTTATTTAATTTCTTCACAATTGTGTCAATACCAAGTATTTTTAATATTTTAAAACATATATTTTTTATTTTAATAAACAGAAATGGAATTATGAAAAAATTAAAAATTTTGATGAGCACGAGCGCATGAGCGCAATCCCAATTAATTACTGAACTAAAAGTTAGGAAAATAATGGATAAATAAATAGTAATGAAGATTTGTAAGTTAAGAAGAATTAAATAAAAAACGCTAACCTTTTTCCAATTTAAATTATTGAATATTATTGAAATTTTGCTAAAATTTAGAGGATTTATGAATAAAAAAATCAAAGTAAGTAGAATTTATTGAATAAAAATCTATGTAAGTTTAAAGCAGATAGATAATAATCATTAAAAAATATAGGAAAATAAAGAAAAATGTTTATTCAAAAGTATGTTAATTTTCTTACAAATTTATATTTTATATATGTAATAAGAAAAAAAAAGGAAAAAGGGGCAGTTTATTTGGAATATTACTTTCTTTATTAATCATAGCCTTAGAATATACATATTTAATATGCATGATATGGTAAATCTTCACTAATTAAATAGAGCAAACTTTTAGATCATAAGGATTGATTACAGAAGATAAAATTGATATTCCGTTGAGCAGAAGTATGGTAGTATTCAGATTTGAGTAAGGCCAAGATTCAGTATGCTCATTAGCAAATATAAGCTGTAGCATACAGCGCTGCAGTTATATATTTCAATGAGATCGCTTAGTAGATCTAAATATAATATCCTACATTACCACATGTTTTTGCTCTAGTAAATAGTACTATTACTCTTTTTATACTTTTAGGTGTTTTTGGTAGGTTTGTATCTCAAAAATTTGTTAAAAAAGATTTTTGTATGCTTTTTTTAAAGAATATCTACTAAATACTAAAGTGATTACTTAAAAATCATAAAATAAGAAAAGTTTAAATAATAATTTTAATAAGATAAAGTATAATCGGATATTAAAAATCAGTAGGAATATGATGGTTAAAAGATAGAGTTAAAGAAGATCTACAGGAAAATAATAGTTAGCCTATTTTTATTCCTGCTTTTGCTAATAAGTAAAAAGCGTTTTTAGATTTAGAATAAACATTAATTATGAATGAAATTAATCTTGAAACTTAAAATGAGTATCAAATGTTTCATCTAATGTGTCTAGTGTTTCAAGTTTTTAATAAAATAAAAATAAAAAATATATAAATAAAAGTATTAACTATTATTATATATTTCATTTAATTGAGCATTTTTCTACTAATTTTAACAGTAATTGTATATTGTTGATCTTTTGTCATTCTTAAGAGGATCTGTAAGTAAAAAAATTTAACTAAGTAGAATTTATAGAATGAAAATCAATATTAGTGTAAAAATAGATAATAAGCAATTAAAAAATAAATAAATATGCTTTTATTCTAAATTAGATTTATTTTATTCTTAATTTATATTTTACATAGGAAATGAGTAAACCAAAAGTGAAATTTATTTGGAATACTATTTTCTTTATCAAAACTGATCTTATTGAGTGTATATTTAATATAAATCATATGATTATTTTAATTAACTAAATTTTAAATCATAAAACTTCATTAATGAAGAAAAAATTGATATTCCGTTGAGCATTTTTCTACTAACTTAATAGTAATTATATATTGTTTAGCTTTTGTCATGCTTAAGAAGATTTATAAGAAAAAAATTAAAATAAGTAGAACTTAAATCAATATTAAAGTAAAAATAGATAATAAACAATTAAAAATAAAGAAAAATAAATAAAAATGCTTTATTCTAAATTAGATTTATTTTCTTCTCAATTTACATTTTACATAGGAAATGAATAAACAAAAAGGGGTACTTTATTTGGAATATTACTTTCTTTATCAATAATAGTCTTAGCATGTGCATATTTGATATACATGATATGGTAATTCTTCACTAACTAAATAGAACCAACTTTTAGATCATAAAGCTTCATTACAGAAGACAAAATTGATATTCCGTTGAGCAGCAGTATGGTAGGGTTCAGATTTGAGTAAGGCTAAGATTCAGGAAACCAAGAAATCTAACAAAACAAAACTTATTTAGTATATATAGCATACTTATATTATAATAGTCCTAGCTTTTCTTCATTTATTCCTCTAAATGTAACTAAATGCACTGATCCTAACCTTTAAGGGTTCAATTGTCTAGATTTTTCAAATGTTTCTAATTATACGCTATCTCTAAGTACAAAAAATAATCTTAAATCATCAATTGAAGTATTCACGTATGGCTGCTTAGATCTTGATAGCTTAAAAACTACGATTCCTGATAACTGTGCCACTTAAAGCGAAATAGATAGTGTTATAAATGGTGTAAATGCTGTTTTAAAATTTAAACTATTCACTTCTTAATACAACACCACCTCTTAAGAAATATAAGTTAACTATAGAAATGCTATCGTTTACACAGTAGCCAATTAGGCTATACTAACTCAATTAAAAACTTAAAAATAGGTTACCTAAATAAAGTAGGGATTAGTAGTTTAATCCAACTCTGTGTTTTCTTCTCCTATACAATACGTTTAGCAAGATTAAGGATACGATAGGTAGTACGCTATTTAGCAAATAAAAGCTGGAGCTTATAGCACTGTGATTATATATTTGGATGAGATCGTTTAGTAGATCTAAATATAATATCCTACATTACCACAGATTTTTGCTCTAGTAAACAGTACTTTTAATCTTTTAATGCTTTTAGGTATTTTTGGTAGGTTTGCATCTTAAAAGTCTATTAACAAAGATTTCTGTATGCTTTTTTTAAAGAACCTCTACTAAGATGATTTCTTAAAAATCATAAAATAGAACAATTGCGAATAATAATTTTAACAAGATAGAGCATAATCAAATATTAACAATCATTAGGAGTTTGATAGTGTAAAAGATAGAGTTAATGAAGATCTACAGGAAAATTACAGTTAGCCTATTTTTATACCTGCTTTTGCAAATAAGTAAAAGGCACTTTTAGATTAAGATTAAACGTTAAATACTAATGAAATTACTATTGAATCTTAAAATAACAAAACGACTGAACAGCTGTAAAAGTACAATGATCAATATTAATTTAAAGAAGAAGTAAATTAAAAGTAGGAATTTGATAAAATTTATGCTGAATAACTTATCATTTAAAAAAAAGCAGAAAATAGCTATAAACAAAGTTAATCTTTCAATAATTCAAATCTAAAATAATAAATAGCATATGGATCACCAATAAATTAAATAACTATTAGCTAAAAAGATTAAAGCTTGATTAATTCAAATAATATCAGTTTTACAAACAAATAAGTGATTATTAAGAAAAACCATTTTTTCTATTAATTAGCAAAAACATAATAAAATCATTAAAATAACTAAAAAAATTATTTGAAGCATAACAAATTTACTTAGATTCTAGAAAAAATAAACAATAGAAGTACTTCTGATAAATTTTCGAATATCTTATTTAAAATGAAGTAATTAATTTAGTTTGTGATTTTCGAATATAATTTATAATAAATATTTAAAAATTAATAGCTTGTTTAGAAAATGTGATCCTCCAATTAAGCAACAAAAGGATTTAACATTAAGTATTATTGAAGAGTAAGTTAAGAAGGACTTAAATATTTTAAATTTTGTGAAGGATATAATATTTCTTAAGAAAGCCGTCATGATGCTCTTAACAAAAGACCAACTTGCAGCACTGCATTTATTAGGTTTTTCTTCTAATTTTTTACATACTGAGCCTTATAAATCAAATTGCAGTTTAGCATAAATAGGTATTTTTAGCAATAAATATTATATATTAATGATAATTTTAATAATTTTTGCTTAATTAAGAAAAGGATAAAAAGTTAAGTCACTATGAAATGCAATATTCAATTTTAAAGTCGCCAAAATTTTAAATAGAATATTTTTAGTAATTCCTAAAAAGATGTTCAGAAGAAGAATAGAATACTTCTAATCTAGATTAAAGGATATTAACATCTATTGTTTAGAACTATAAAATTTGAAAATCTATTTTTACTTTCTATTCAAAATTAAGTTATCTTTCTTAAAAATTAAATTTAAAAATAAAAATATTTTATTAATTAATAGTTTATAAAATATATTCTTTTTATATTTTTAATGTAATTTTATTTATATTCGATGAATAAAATCATTTTATTTAATTTATCATAATAAAGAAATATTTTTTAAAAATTTTAAACTAAACTTTAAATTTCATTTTTTATTGAATAATTATATTTGAAATAATTTTAGCATTTAATTCTTAGGGTATTAAAATTAGAACTTAGTTAAAAGACAACTAACATAAAAAAGCAAGCCTTTTTGAAAAAATTTTGAAAAGAAAAGTTCTAAAAAATATACTTTTACATATTATTAATTTACAGATAAAAATAAATCGTCATTATTGATAGATTTTATATATAATTAAAAAAATTCATAGGAATTAAAATTTTTTGATTTTTCTATTAGTTAATAAGAGATAAGCAGCAAACAACAAGAATCATAAATAATCAATAAATTCAATAAATAAATAAATAAATAAATAGATAAATATAAAACAAATATGAAATACTCTAAATTAGATATTTTTTCTTCTTAGGTGATTTTTAAAGTAACTTAATACTATCGTTTAAAATTATATATATATATATTTTTTAATTATTCACTTTATTGTTAATTATTCAATTTAAATATACTATAAAATAAATTTTATTTTTAATAAAAAAAAACAGGAATAGAAATTAATGAAGCTAAGTCTCATAGATAATAAAATAAATAAAAATTACCAAACATTAAAAAGTAAATTAATACAGTTAGTATATTGCAAATGCCTTAGTTTTGTATTTAAAAAAGATGCATTTTATTATTTTAAGGTTATATAAAGCATTTTAATTATTTATTTTAATAAAATTAAATTATCATATTAAAATAATTGATTTGTCAGAACTTTGAATTAAATAAAAATATATTAATTTATTTTATTAATTATCATTTTCAATATTTTTTTGATATATAAATACATATTATTAATTAATTAATCAATGTTTTATTATTTTATGTAATAAATTCAAACAACATTTAATTTAACTAATCTTTTTATTTTTTAAGCTAATCTTTTTAATTCTGTTTATCTTTCTTTTGCAAAATTTCTTTTTATATTTATAAATTTATTTTTTAGATAAATAAAAAATTTTAATTTTAATTTTCTAATTTTAAATAAGAAAAATAATTACATTATAGCAAGATTCAATACCTTTATATTTTTACAGTTGATTATTTCACCGGATTTTAGAAATTTCTCATAATTTCTTATATAATGAAGATGTTTTAATTAATATCTTAAAAACTTTCATATCATTTTGTTCAAAAGTTATAAATGAAATTAATTTACTTTATTCCAATTTCTAATTCTGTAAGCTAAGAGCATTTACTCAAACCAAATGCAATATTTTATATTCCTGTATCATCGATTTTTCCCCTTTTCAAACAAAATAAATCAATTTTTTAGATATTTAAATTTATTTGAAATTGTAAATTAAAACATATAAAATAATTTAATTTTTTTAAGTTATCAATAAATAAATATAAAATTAATGTTACCAAATCTAAAAATTAAGGTTTGTAAGAAATTTGTAGTTACCAAGTGTTGTATCTATAGTAGAAGCTCCTACATCACAAATTTAATTTTAACTTTTATAAATCAAAATCAAGCTTAATTTAAAATTAAAGCTATTTAAAAAATTTTAAACTTATTTAATAATGTACTCTAAATCCTCATTAATTAAGTAAGAGCCGCATAAATTAAGGGCCAAAAAAATTTTTTATGAAAAGTAGGCTTCAAAGATAAGGGGGTGGGGGGAGGGGTACCCTTAATTAATGAGGATTTAGAGTATATAAGAAAATTAAAAAATTTTAAATTATCAATAAATAAATATAAAATTAATGCTACCTAATGTCAAAAGTAAGATTAGTAAGGAATTTGCAGTTACCAAGTGCTGTACCAATGTTAGAAGCCCCATCATCCCCAATTTAATTTTAGCTTTTATAAATTAAAATCAAGACTTATTAAAAATTAAAGACATTTTATAAATTTTAAATTTATGAATATAATTAAGTTTATATAATAAATTTTGACATAATTTTTTCAAAAGTAATAAATGAAATAATTTTACCATATCCTAAATTCTAAATTTGTAAGTTGAGTTAAGTTACTTAGCCCTAATCCAATATTTTTTGTCCCTTTATCACCGATTTTATTTCCCCTTTTCAAACAAAGTAAATGAATTTATTAGATATTTTAATTTGTTTTCAAATTAAATTAAATATTTAGTTAAAGGTTTTTTAAATTATTAAAAAATCTATATAAAATTAATGTTTACCAAATCTAAAAATCAAGATTAGTTAGGAATTTGAAGTTACTAAGTGCTTTAATGATAGCAGAAGCTCCATAATCCCCAATTTAATTTTAGCTTTTATAAATGAAAATCAAGCTTAGTTAAAAATCAAATTCATTTTATAAATTTTAAATTTATTTAATTATGTTTTAATTTATAATCTTTTACATAATTTTTTCCAAAGTAATAAATGAAATAAATTTATATAATGTGAAATGATAAATTTGTAAGCTGAGTGCAGTTACTCAAGCCTAATCCAATGTTATATGCTCCTTTATCGCCAATTTTGTTTTGCCTTTACAACAAAAATAGTTAATAAGATCATTAGATATTTAAATTTGTTTAGCAATTTAAATCAAGAAATAAATAAATAAAAAATTAATTTGACTCTATCTAAAAAATAAGATTTTTTAGGAATTTGAAGCTACCAAGTGCTGTACCTATTGTAAAAGCTCCATGATCCCCAATTTAATTATTACTTTTACAAATTAAAATTAATTTTTTTTAACACTAAAGTAAAAATAAAAAGTAAAATTGATTTCTCCCTGAGGTTTTATTTAAATCATGGTATCTAATTAATCATGTTAAATAAAAAAAGGATAGAAATATGATTGATGGATAATGTTTAAGATTAAAATATAACTAAAAAGTTTGGCATTTATATAATTTAATAAGATTTAATATAACACTAAAAGTTTCAAATTATTTGATCATTTTTGGAGAAACCAGAGAGTTTGCTTATGAGGATTAAATTATCTAAGTAAATTTAATTTTTTTATTTTTTATAAATAATTTATTTACTTACAAAAATATGAATAATATTTAATAATATAAAATCAATAATAAAATCTATCTATCTATCTATTTATATTTTAGGTTAATAACACTATTTCAAAATATTATATAATAAAATATATAATACTATTCAAACATTTTATATTTATTCATCCTTTTTTCACCATTTGTTTATCTAAAAGACAACTAATCTTTTTGATTTAAGACACTTGCTTTTTACCTTGAGTTCTAATGATTCATTCATTGAGCTAAACATTTTATAATAAATTTGTGTAAATTTTAAAATAAATATCAAAATAGAATAAACTTTTAAATTAAAAATTAAATTAATACATAAAATAATTTGAGTGGAATAAAAAAGATAAAAAAATAAAATAAATAAAGCTATCAAATATATTCAAAGAGCTTTTTGTGTTATATTCATTTTTATAGTTTAAAATATCATATTAGAAGGAAAAAATGAAGAAAAAATATGAAATAATAAGAAATAAATGATAAAAGCAAAAGTTGAAAATAAAATGATGAGCTAAATTAACAAAGAAAGAACAAAAAAAAGCAAGCACAATAAAAAGAAAAAGAAAAAAGAGCTTTATTGTTTTTTATTAGTTTGTTTTTATAATTAAAAATATCACAATCCAAAACAAATAAACTGTTTTTACTCGAGGTTAAGTGTCAAATTTGAGATATTAATGCAATTTGCTAAAGCAGAACCTAAGCCTGATGCACCTTCATCACCAATTTAATTGTCACTTTTTAAATATTGAAGAAAAAATATATCATTAAATATATAATAAGAAGGAAAAAATGAAGAAGAAATATGAAATAATAAGAAATAAATAATAAAAGCAAAAATTGAAAATAAAATGTTGAGCTAAATTAACAAAGAAAGAACAAAAAAAAGCAAGCACAATAAAAAGAAAAAGAAAAAAGAGCTTTATTGTTTTTTATTAGTTTTTATAATTAAAAATATCGCAATCCAAAACAAATAAACTGTTTTTACCTGAGGTCAAGTGTCAAATTTGAGAGATTAATGCAATTTGCTAAAGCAGAACCTAAGCCTGATGTACCTTCATCACCAATTTAATTGTTACTTTTTAAATATTGAAGAAAAAATATATCATTAAATAGTTTATTAGAAGGAAAAAATGAAGAAAAAATATGAAATAGTAAGAAATAAATATAGCAAAATGCCATTCAAAAATTTAGTGAATTGAGATCACTATTTTTTTGAATGGTTGATGCCTTTGAATATTATTTATATAAAAATAAATAATTTTATAATAGAAATTAATTAATAATATTATTAATTTTAATTTATATCAATCTTTATGATTTTTCTATTAAATTTTTAAATTTAGCCTTTTTTAAAAATTTTTCTTCAAATTATGCATCTTCTGCATCTAGAATAAATGTTAAAATCTATAAATAAATAATATAAATAAAATATATCAATATAAATATAATATAATTTAAGTTGTATTCTGAGTGCATTTATATGTGCGAGTATATCATCATCATCATCACCAATTTTATTCCAACTTTTTAAATATTGAAGAAAAAATATATCATTAAATATTTAATTAGAAGGAAAAAATGAAGGAGAAATATGAAATAATAAGAAATAAATAATAAAAGCAAAAGTTGAAAATAAAATGATGAGCAAATTTAACAAAGAAAGAACAAAAAAAAGCAAGCACAATAAAAAGAAAAAGAAAAAAGAGCTTTATTGTTTTTTATTAGTTTTTATAATTAAAAATATCACAATCCAAAACAAATAAACTGTTTTTACCCGAGGTTAAGTTTCAAATTTGAGAGATTAATGCAATTTGCTAAAGCAGAACCTAGGCCTGATGTACGTTCATCACCAATTTAATTTTCACTTTTTAAATATTGAAGAAAAAATATATCATTAAATAGTTTATTAGAAGGAAAAAATGAAGAAAAAATATGAAATAGTAAGAAATAAATAATAAAAGCAAAAGTTGAAAATAAAATGATGAGCAAATTTAACAAAGAAAGAACAAAAAAAAGCAAGCACAATAAAAAGAAAAAGAAAAAAGAGCTTTATTGTTTTTTATTAGTTTGTTTTTATAATTAAAAATATCACAATCCAAAACAAATAAATTGTTTTTACCTAAGGTCAAGTGTCAAATTTGAGATATTAATGCAATTTGCTAAAGCAGAACATAAGCCTGATGCACCAAAAGCACCAATTTTATAATTTCTTTCATAAAAATTATTTATTTAAATAAATAAAAAATATTAATAATAATAAAAGTAATATTTTTAATTAAATATACCTCAAATTAATATGGAGAACCTAATGAGATAAAAGTGAAGAGCTTTTAAACTTTTTTTATTAATTTATATAAATTTAAAGGATATTAATTAAAAAATTAATAATTACATTTTCCAAATTATAATATTATTTAATCTATTATATCATTTTTTTTTTTTCTTCAAAAATATTGAATAGCAATTTATGAAAATTAATTAATTAATTAATAATAAATGGTTAAAAAGAACAAATAAATATAATAATTAATTAATTATCAAATATTAATTTATATATTTGGTTTTATGAAGAGATATCACACAAAATTAATTTAACATTCACTATTTAAAATTAATATTCGTATTTAAAAAATATACTTAAAAATATAAATAGTAGGAATTAGAGATGACCAGTAATTTATTTAGTCATATTTGAAAAAAACCTAGTAGTTAATGTTCTTAAATATTATAAAAATAATGTTTATAAGTAGATTTTTCTGTTTTAGCTCTGTAATTTTAGGAAAATTTGTAATATCTCTAATTATAGCAAGATGCCATACAAAAATTTCATGGTTTGCCTGACTTATTATGAAATATATTTTTTATTTACTGCTAATCCAGTTATTAAAATATGATGAACTGGATTGCATTATATTTTAATACCTGGATTATGCTTAATTTAAAATAAAAAAAATATATTAAAGTATTTATGAAAAAGTATGTAAATGCAAGATTCAATAAAATTCATAAATTGTATTTAATATATAAATATATAGTATAAAAAGTGTTCAAATATAATATTCAATATTTTTTCTAATTTTTGGTGGTTTTCATTAAATTTACATATATATTGTAATTACTCAAAAAATGGGGTTTGAGTCAAGTCTCTGACTATCTAATATATAATGTAAAAAAATATTTATTTGATTTATAGCTTATACATAAATAAAATTCTTGTAATTCAGCATTAGTAAGAATTCAATTTCATGGAAGTGATATAATATTAATATGTTAATTTAATTAAAATAAATTCATTCTTTTTACTAACGAAGTTTTTATTTATAATTCTTTGATCAAATTTTGAATGGTTATGTACCTGTTGTTCTTTTAATTTTATTTATTTTTAGTGTTAAAAATAAACTTATTTTAAAAAATATGCTTTCTTGTTTAATGTCATTTATTTATAAAAGTAATAAAATGAGATGACATATGAAGTGACTTTACTTCTAGTAATATTGTATATAACAATACATAAAAAATTACAGAATTTCATAAAAAAATTCATAATTTAAAAAGTAGAACTATTAAAAGCAAAGTGTATTTATTAAAAAGAAAGAAAATAAATAATAATAATAGCAATAATGAACTATTCATATTTCGACTTTTTTTCATAGTAATTTTAGTTTAATATAAATGAAAAATAGGTGAAAAAAGGCACATTTATTGGAGCACTTTTAACCTCTATTATCATTTTATTAACGTTTTCGTATTTTGTTTACATTATGAGGTAATTTATGGACAATTAAATTGAGCCAAGTTTCAGATCTTAAAGCTTTATTTCAGATGAAAATATCGAAATGACACTAGCAAACAACTTAATTGGTTTCAGATTTGAATATGATGTAAATTTAAGCATCGAATCACTACAAGAATAACAAAACTTAACTTATGTTGTTTACTAAGCTTATTATCAATAAAAAAACTAAACCAATGAAGTTAATTATCCTATTAATATTATCGAATGTGATGATCCTAATCTAATTGGCTATAAATGCTTAGACTTTTCAAAAGTATCTAATTATACGCTAGCTCTGAACACAAATACAAATCTGCAATCTTAAATATAGATTTTTATGTACGGATGCTTGGATGTTGATGTTTTAAAAACAACAATCCCAAGTAATTGTGCAAATTAAACTGACATTGATAACATAATTAATGGTGGAAGTGCAGGTTTTAGACTAAAACTCTTTACTTCTTAGTATAACACAACTTCTTAGGAAACAGAAGTTAACTATAGAAATGCTTATGTTTATACAATAGCTTACTAATAAATATTGTCTCAATTAATTGTTCAAAAACAAATCACATCTGTTACGAAAGGATCCATAATATAAACAGAATCTGTTTTTTCTTCTCCTATTTAGTATAGAAAAGAAGCTTAAACCATAGATAGATCATATGCCTTTAATTAAATAGGTGTTGGGAGTTATAGCGTTTTGCTGATATACCCAGACGAAATAGTTCAGCAAATTAAAATTTAATACTCTTCTCTCCCATAGGTCATGTCTTTTGTGAATAGTATATTTGCGCTTTTGATGCTTTTTGGTTCATTTGGTAGAGTGTTTTCTAAAAACTCTTTGAAGAAGGATATTTTTATGCTTTTCTTAAAAATTTTGTATTAAGATTAATATCTTGAAATGATGACTTTAAATAAAGACAATAAAAACATGCAAATGGAGCCATAAAATCTTCAGCTTATTGCTTAATAGTCAAATTATCAAGGAGAGGAGGAACAACAACAACAACAACAATAATAATAACAATAATAACAAGAAGATGATAACATTGAGTTCAAAGAAGAGGAAGAGTTAAATCAACAGAGCTAGATACCTTAGTTTATGTAGAAATCTAAGATTTAATTGGATAGACAAAAAGCTAACCTAAAACTTATAAATTATTCTGAAAGTTAGTCTCCTAAAATACTAAATTAAAATGATAGGATTTTGTAAAAATATTAAGAATAAAAAAGTGAGTTTTAATAAGATTAAAATAGCAGTTTTACCTCTGTTTAAAAATTAAAACAAAATCTATCTAACATAAAACTTATATATGACTTAGAGCAAAGCTAGTCTCCTTATTTGCAAAATAGAAGTGATAGGCTTTCGTAAAAATATTTAGAATAAAAAAGTGAGTTTTAATATGACTAAAATAGCAATATTTTCCCCGCTTAAAAATTAAAACAAAATCTAAATTTGAACTTGGGTACAGTTTCCTCATCATAAATTTTTAGTTTCAGCTATTAAAAAAAATTTTAAAAAGAACTTAGTTAAAATTACTCAGGATATACCTAATCATCTAGTCCTTTTAAGAAGATCAATCTTGGTTAAGAAATTTAAACTAAAACACAAAATCTAATTAAGTCAAGACAAATAAATTTTATATTGAACACATTAAAAGATAAATAGTAGGCAATACAAAATAAAAAAGTATCAAATTTCATTTAGAGTTTCATTTTTAAAGCAAAGTAAATTTTTAAAAAATTTAAATAAGAATAATTATATTTAAATAATTTTTTAAAAGTATTTGCAAGAAAAAAAGTATCAAATTATAAAATCTCAAAAATTAAATAGAAGAAATTGATTCTCAAATCAAGAAAGAAATGAACATTTAAAATATTTTCAAAGACATACAATTTTTGAAAAAGGCAGTCATGCTCATTTTAAATTCAGATCAGCTAGCTGCTCTGCAGCTTATTGGTTTGTCCTAAAATTACTTAGACTTTAAATTAAAGTCTAAATTTGATAAAAACTCTGACGAGTTAATTCTAGGTATTAACATTATAATAGTTTTAGAAATTAAACCATTATTTTATTAAATAGATAAGAACCTTTCTCACTTTGAAAAGTAGTTTGCTATTTCTCAATCTGAGTATTTACAGTTTTGTGAATTAGAGCAATTCTTATAAAGATGCTCAAAAACTTAAAATTTAAAAGAATTGGACAAAAGAATTTTATCTTCGTTAAAAATTGATAATTTATGTTGAAAATTTTACTTATTATTTTTTGAAATAATAAAAAATATTTTTGAATTTCTTTTATCTAAAAGTGAATAAAATTTAACAAATAATATCATTTTTTTTAATATTAAATATTTATATTGATTATGAGTTAATATTTAATTCAAGTAAAAATAATTTAATTAATTGATTGATAAATAAGTCTTTTCTTTGATATATTTAGCTAGAAAGCAATATAAAAAAAATGACTAAATCACAAATTAAACGAATAAATTAATTTTATTTTTATATTAAATAAAAAAATATTTTTTTATAGTTTTATTTACCATTCAATCAATTGATTAAAGAGTGCTAAACTTTGTAATCTCTGTAGAATGGGTTTTTAGGCATCTTCTATGCGAAAGAAAGAAAAGACATCTACTTAAGATACAAAAATTAAAAATATAATTGCCATAATAACAACTTTTAAAAATACTACTTCTTTGTACAACCTGCTTTATTCTTCTTGTTCCTATTCTATTTTGTTTTATTCTAATTTTTAAAATAATTTCTTCATTTGTTCTTTGTTTTATTCATTCACTTCGTTTATTTAATTTTCTAAATACTCTTCCTTTTCGATAATTATTTATCGTCATCGATTTCATAGACTCCATGTACTAAAAGGAGATACCATATGAAGTGATTTTACTTGTAGTAAAATGATTTATAACAATATTCAAAAAATTACAGTATTTCATACAAAAAATTAATAATTTAAAAAGTAGAACTATTTAAAGTAAAGAATAATTAAAAAGAATAATAATAATAACAATCAATAATGAACTATTCATATTTTGACTTATTTTCTTAGCAATTTTAATTTAATATTAATGAAAAATAGGTGAAAAAAGGCACATTTATAGGAGCACTTTTAACCTCTGTTATCATTTTATTAACATTTTCGTATTTTGTTTACATTATGAAGTAATTTATACACAATTAAATTGAGCCCAATTTCAGATCTCAAAGCTTTATATCAGATGGGAATATAGAAATGACCCTTGCAAACAACTTAATTGGTTTCAGATTTGAATATGATGTAAATTTAAGCATCGAATCACTAGAAAAATAACAAAACTTAACTTATGTCGTTTACTAAGCTTATTTTCAATAAAATAACTAAAACAATTAAGTTAATATTCCTATTGATATTATCAATTGTGATGATTCTAATCTAATTGGTTATAAATGCTTAGATTTTTCAAAAGTATCTAATTACACGCTAGCTCTGAACACAAATACAAATTTACAATCCTAAATATAGATTTTTATGTACGGATGCTTGGATATCGATGTTTTTAAAAAAACAGTCCCAAGCAATTGTGCAAATTAAACTGAAATTGATAACATAATTAATGGTGGAAATGCTGGTTTTAGATTAAAGCTATATACTTCTTAATATAACACAACTTCTTAGGAAACAGAAGTTAACTATAGAAATGCTTATGTTTATACAATAGCTTACTAATAAATATTGTCTCAATTAATTGTTCAAAAACAAATCACATCTGTTACGAAAGGATCCATAATATAATCGGAATCTGTTTTTTCTTCTCCTATTTAGTATAGAAAAGAAGCTTAAACCATAGATAGATCATATGCCTTTAATTAAATAGGCGTTGGGAGCTATAGCGTTTTACTGATATACCCAGACGAAATAGTTCAGTAAATTAAAATTTAATACTCTTCTCTCCCATAAGTAATGTCATTTGTAAATAGTATATTTGCATTTTTGATGCTTTTTGGTTCATTAGGCAGAGTTTTTTCTAAAAATTCTTTGAAGAAGGATATTTTTATGCTTTTCTTAAAAATTTTGTATTAAGATTAATACCTTGAAATGATGACTTTAAATAAAGACAAATAAAGCATGCAAATAGAGCAATAAAATCTTCAGTTATATGTTTAATAATAAAATTATTAAGGAGACGAGGAATAATAACAGGAAAAAGAAGATAACATTGAGTTCAAAGAAGAAGAAGAGTTAAATCAACACAGCTAAATACCTTAGTTTATGTAGAAATCTAAGATTTAATTGGATAAACAAAAATCTAGCATAAAACTTATAAATAATTCAGAGCAAAGCTAGTCTCCTAAAATGCTAAACAGAAGATTTTCGTAAAAATATTAAGAATAAAAAAGCGAGTTTTAATATGACTAAAATAACAGTATTTCCTTCGTTTAAAAATTAAAACAAAATCTATCTAACATAAAACTTATAAATGATTTAGAGCAAAGCTAGTCTCCTTATCTGTTACAGAGAAGATTTTCGTAAAAATAGTAAGAATAAAAAAGTGAGCCTTAATGTGAATAAAATAACAGTATGGTCTCTGCAAAAAAATTAAAACAAAATCAAAATTAGAGTTTGGGTACAGTTTCCTCATCTTAAATATTTAGCTATTAAAAAAATATATAAAAAGACATTTGTTAAAATTATTTTGGATAAATATAACAATCTAGTTCTTTAAAAAAGATCAATATTGCTTAAGAAATTTAAACTAAAACACAAGATCAAATAAAATAAAAGCAAGTAAATTTTATACTTAACACATTAAAAAATAAATAGCTGGCAATATAAAATAAAAAAGTATAAAATTTCATTTAGAGTCTCATTTTTAAAGCAAAGTAATTTTTTAAAATTTATATGAGAATTATATTTGAAACTAATATTTAAAAAAAAGTATTTGCAAGAAAAAAAGTATCAAATAATAAAATCTCAAAAATTAAGTAGAAGAAATCGATTCTCAAATCAAGAAAGAAATGAATATTTAAAATATTTTCAAAGACATACAATTTTTGAAAAAGGCAGTCATGCTTATTTTGAATTCAGATCAGCTAGCAGCCCTGCAGCTTATTGGTTTATCTAAAAATTACTTAGACTTTAAATTAAAGTCTAAATTTGATAAAAACTCTGACGAGATAATTCTAGGTAAAAACATTATAAAAGCTTAAAAAATTTAACCATTATTTTATTAAATAGAAAAGAATCTTTCTCATTTTGAAAAACAGTTTGCTATTTCTCAATCTGAGTATTTACAGTTTTATGAATTAGAATAATTCTTATAAAGATGTTCAAAAACTTAAAATTTAAAAGAATTGGACAAAAGAATTTTATCTTCATTAAAAATTGATAATTAATATTGAAAATTATATTTATTAAATAATTATATATATATTTGAATTTATTGATATCTAAAAGTGAAAAAATTTAATAAACTATAGCTGTTCCTGCATTTAAAATATCACAGATCATGATATCATGATTTGTGATATTTCAAATAATTTTTATATTACTAATGAATATTTTTTTTTTTAAATCTTTATTATTTTCTATATATTTGATTTCTTATATTTTACAAAAATTAATCAAAATACAGAAACCTTTTTTCAAATTTTTTTAAATGGATTTATATTAAAAGAAGGAAAGATTTAAAATTTCTTTAGAGAAATCACAGTATAAACATTTATTATAGCATTTTCAGATATTAAATTCTTATGGATGCGGAAAATTAAGAATTTAATTCCTGGATTAGCTATAAATAAAGTAAATTAATTAAATAAATAAATAATTTTATTTTAATTTTTATCATAAATAAAATCTTTGTTTTATGATTTTTTAATTTAATTATATAATTTCAGATATTCAATTTTAAATTTTAAGTTTGCTTTCTAGTTTATTATCATTTATTTGTAAATAGTACAAAAGTGAAATTCCATATGAAGTGATTTTGCTTGAAGGAATACTATATTTAATAATATTTAAATACAAAAAATTCATAATTTAAAAAGTAGAACTATTAAAAGTAAAGTATTAAAAAATAATAAAGAAAAATAATATAAAAATAATGAACTATTCATATTTCGACTTATTTTCTTAGTAATTTTAGTTCAATATAAATGAAAAATAGGTGAAAAAAGGCACATTTATAGGAGCACTTTTAACCTCTGTTATCATTTTATTAACTTTTTCATATTTTGTTTACATTATGAAGTAATTTATACACAATTAAATTGAGCCAAGTTTCAGATCTCAAAGCTTTATATCAAATGGAAATATAGAAATGACCCTTACAAACAACTTAATTGGTTTCAGATTTGATTATGATTTAAATTTAAGCATCGAATCACTAGAAAAATAACAAAACTTAACTTATATCGTTTACTAAGCTTATTATCAATAAAATAACTAAACCGATGTAATACATATTCCTATTGATATAATCGAATGTGATGACTCCAATCTAATTGGTTATAAGTGCTTGGATTTTTCAAAAGTATCTAATTATACACTAGCGCTAAACACAAATACAAATTTACAATCCTAAATATAGATTTTTATGTACGGATGCTTAGATGTCGATCTTTTTAAATAAACAATCCCAAGCAATTGTGCAAACTAAACTGAAATTGATAACATAGTTAATGGTGGAAACGCAGGTTTTAGACTAAAGCTCTATACTTCTTAATATAACACAACTTCTTAGCTAACAGAAGTTAACTATAGAAATGCTTATGTTTATACAATAGCTTACTAATAAGTATTGTCTCAATTAATTGTTCAAAAACAAATCACATCTGTTACGAAAGGATCCATAATATAAACAGAATCTGCTTTTTCTTCTCCTATTTAGTATAGAAAAGAATCCTAAATTATAGATAGATCGTATGCCTTTAATTAAATAGGCGTTGGGAGTTATAGCGTTTTGCTGATATACCCAGACGAAATAGTTCAGCAAATTAAAATTTAATACTCTTCTCTCCCATAAGTTATGTCTTTTGTGAATAGTATATTTGCATTTTTGATGCTTTTAGGTTCATTAGGTAGAATTTTTTCTAAAAACTCTTTGAAGAAGGATATTTTTATGCTTTTCTTAAAAATTTTGTATTAAGATTAATATCTTGAAATGATGACTTTAAATAAAGAATACAAAAACACTCAAATGGAGCAATAAAATCTTCAGCTATATGCTTAATAGTAAAGTTATCAAGGATAGGAGGAATAACAATAAGAAGAAGATAAAATTGAGTTCAAAGAAGAGGAAGAATTAAATCAACAAAGCTAAATACCTTAGTTTATTCAGAAATCTAAGATTTAATTGGATAGACAAAAAGTTAACTTAAAACTTATAAATGATTAAGAGCGAAGCTAGTCTCCTAAAATGCTAAATATACATGATATGATTTCGTTAAAAAGTTAAGAATAAAAAAGTGAGTTTTAATATGAATAAAATAACAGTTTTACTTCTGTTTAAAAATTAAAACAAAATCTATCTAATATAAAACTTATAAATGATTTAGAGCAAACATAGTCACCTTATATACTAAATAGAAATGATAGGCTTTAGTAAAAATATTAAGAATAAAAAAGTGAGTCTTAATATGATTAAAATAGCAATATTACCTCTTCTTAAAAAATAAAACAAAATGTAAATTTGAGTATGGGTACAGTTTCCTCATCTTAAACATATAATTTTAACTAATAGAAATATTTATTATAAAAAGTCATTAGTTAAAATTACTCAGGATAAACATAAAAATCTATTCATTGTAAGAAGATCAATCTTGGCTAAGAAATTTAAACTAAAACAAAAGATCTAATAAAATCAACACAACTAAATTTTATATTGAACACATTTAAAAATAAATAGTTGGCAATAAAAAATTAAAAAGTATAAAATTTCATTTAGAGTCTCATTTTTAAAGCAAAGTAATTTTTTAAATTCATATTAGAATAATTATATGAAATTAATTTTTAAAAGTATTTGCAAGAAAAAAAGTAGCAAATTATAAAATCTTAAAAATTAAGTTGAAGAAATTGATTCTCAAATCAAGAAAGAAATGAATATTTAAAATATTTTCAAAGACATACAATTTTTGAAAAAGGCAGTCATGCTCATTTTGAATTCAGATCAGCTAGCTGCCCTGCAACTTATTGGCTTATCTAAAAATTACTTAGACTTTAAATTAAAGTCTAAATTTGATAAAAACTCTGACGAGATAATTCTAGGTATAAGCATAATAATAGCTTAAAAATTAAAAATTATTTTATTAAATAGATAAGAATCTTTCTCATTTTGAAAAGCAGTTTGCTATTTCTCAATCTGACTATTTACAGTTTTGTGAATTAGAATAATTCTTATAAAGATGCTCAAAAACTTAAAATTTAAAAGAATTAGACAAAAGAATTTTATCTTCATTAAATATTGATCATATAAGTTGAAAATAATTTTTATTATTTAATAATGAATTTATAAATTTTTAAATATCTCAAAGTGAAAAAATTTAATAGACGATATAATTTTTTTTAAATATTGAATATTTGTTGGATGATTAATTTATTTATATTTTAAATAAAAAAACTTTATTAATTGATTGATAAGTAAGTAAGTCTTTTCTTTGATAACTCTAACTAAAAAGAAATATAAAAAAAATGACTAAATAACAAATTAAACTACTAAATTAATTTTATTTTAATATTAAAAATAATAAAATATTTTTTGAAAAGTTTTATTTATCACTCAATTGATTAAAGACTGTTAAGCTTCGTCGTCTCTGTAGAATGGGTCTTTAGCGCGTCTTCCATGAGAAAAGTAAGAAAAGACATCTATTTAAGATCCAAAAATTAAAAATATAATAGCCATAATAATAACTATTGCAAATGCTACTTCTTTGTACAATCTGCTTTATTCTTCTTGTTCCTCTTCTTTTTTATTTTATTCTACCTTTTAAATAATTTCTTAGTTTTGTTCTTTGCTTTATTCATTCACTTAGTTAATTTAATCTTCTAAATATTCTTCTTTTTCCATCAATTATTTATCATCATCGACTTCATAGACTCCAGGTTCTTCTGGTTCTTATTGCTCTACTGGCTCAGAGTTTTCAAGTATTTCCTATATCATTTCTTGTTCATCTAAAAATTTCTCATGCATTTGATCACCTACTTACATTAAATCTTAGATTTCTTTTTCTAGTTGTTTTAAAGTTTCTGAATCTTCATATTCTTCTTTTAGATTTTTCAATTACTCTCCTTCTTCACTAATTATTTTAAGCTCGTTTTCTTAATTCAAAACTATTGGCTCAAGTTAATCTTATCCTTGTGAGGTCTCAAATATTGAATCAATAGTATCCTGTAAAAATCCAGTATCGTATGTTTCTTTGAGTGTTGTTGTATTATCTTCAAGCTAATTTTTAGTTTATAGCTTATTTAAATTTGCTTCTATTTTCTCAAGAGTCTTTCTTTATGCTTCTACAAAAGAATCATATTTTTTCTTATTTTATGCTGCTTTATCTGAGAACTAAGTTTATATTATTAACTCATTTTCTCCTGAGTTCTTAAGTTAATTTCTAGTTTACTAAAACCATTATTTTTCCTTTGCGATTAATTCCTAAATTTCTTTTTTCTTTTACTTAGCAGATTTTTATCTTTATTTTTAAGACTAAGATTTGCTACCATTTTTCGCATATGGATGGAAGAAGTAACCTTCATTTAAATCATCTTAAATTTCATCTAAAGTAGACTCTCCTATAATGTTAGTTGTTAATTTTACATCATCTGCGATATTTTTTTTAGACTCTTCTTCCTATTTATCATGTATTTTTTTGACAGATTCCTTTAAAGCGTAAAGCATTTCATCATCAGAAAGAGTTTCATCATTATTTTTATTATACAAATCTTCTAAAACTCCCTCTGATTTTAGCAGTGTATCTTCGATTTCTTCTTCAATCTACAAAAGTTCTTAATCACTCACTTAATCCTCTTTATATTAATGAAATATTTTCAATCAAAAAACAAAAAGGAAAAAATTTACATGCTTTTTAATACTCGTCGAACTACCTTCCTAAAGGCGTTCCCATAATAAGTTATCCATTACAAATACAAATAATGCTAAATACTAAAATGATGCTAAGTAATATCTTGCTTTTCATAACTGAGTAATAATGAATATGACTTTTTATCAAAAGTAGCAAACAATTTGTTTAATTTTTTGATATAAGATTTTTGTAAGAATTTTTTGTTTGTTTTTTATAGTTTTTAATCATAAAATCTTAAAACTTTACGTTTTTAAAAATACCAAATCAAAATTATAAAAAAATTAATTAACTTTTTATAATATTTTAAATCTATCTATTAAAATCTCTATAATTAAACATATCTAAAACAATCAATTAATTAAATTAATTAATTAATCATATTTTTGAATGGCTTTTTTTAAATAATATTTTATTGTTGAATATTTTTAACTTATATTTTTTTTATGAAAATAACATTTATTATTTAATTCCTAAAAATATTATTTAACAAATATTAAATTATTTTTTTATCTAAACATTTATTAAAGAAGAAATAATTTTTATTTTTAAGATCTATTTTTCTTAGAATTTTTTAAAGTTAAAAAGAGAGTGAAAAGTTTAATTTAAATTTTTACATAAACAGATATCTATCATTTAGCTAATTATGATTTATTAGAATATAGCTGTAAAAAATTTTTCCTACTTTTTGACACTAATTATAGATAATTTATTTAAATTTAGATAATAAAATAATTATGATATTGATAAAAAAATATATATTTATCAATATACATACATTCAGAATTAAAAAAAAAAATTAATTTAATTTTTTAATTTCATTTTTTTAAGTTAAAAATAATAAATAATAAAAGAAATTGAATATTTGCTTATTTATTTATTAATTTATTTATTGGAAATAGATTTGAAAGTAAATAACTAATTTATTAGTTAGTATAAGGAGAGACGAAGAATTAAGTTTATATGACTTTAGTTAGCTATTTGATTAAGCTATAAAAAATATTATTTTTGTTTGTAATTTGATATATAAATATTTAATAAATAATAATAATAGCAAATAAACATACAAAGCAATTAATTAATTAATTTTTGTATTTAAAAATTAAAAAATATAATAGCGCAAAGTTAATAAATATATTAATAGATAGATATTTTACTTAATTTTCATTTTAAAAGCTAGTCAGTCTCACTATAAAAAATGAATTAGGAAGGATTTCAAGCAATCAACACTTTTCATTAAGATATAATACACGATATATCATTTGACTGTAATTATTTATTTACATTAGCAATCAAACCAATTAAAAGTAGCAATAAAACAGCTAGAAAAACAAATTAATGCTTTTGAAATTAGCTTATTAAAGCACATATTTGATTCGATTTGAATGATAAATTTATCAAATAAAAATATTTCATGAAAATGCAGATATTTTATCTAGACAAAGAGTAAATATACTTTTATAATCAAGCAATTCTTCTCCTTAAAAGTATAAATAAAATTATTTAGCTGGCAGAGTGCTTAGTTTAAAAAATAAGGATTTGTTCAAAAAATAATTATTAAGATTATTAATCTCGCTTTAAGATTTATTGATGAATTAACAAGCTAAATTCATAAAAGATAAAAAATTATTCAGGTATAGCTATATAGTTCTCCATGATATTAGGAGAGTATATCTTGAATACCCCATTTCTCTTTATCCCTCGTTTGACTCCACTTCAACTATTTAAGTCATAGCGGCAACACTTAAGGGAATGAATTTTTTCTACACTTATTTTTTTACTAATTAAATTAATTAAATAATTTTGTTAGTATGAATCAATCATAGCTAAAATCTTTAGCAAGATATCTTATTAAATAAAGAAAAGCTAGCATTAATTAATTATCTTACCTAACATTTATTTATAATCAATTCATAAAATCAATTAAATATCTTATGGGTTTGCTTTCTAATCAATTTTTATTCACATTAACAAATAAACAAAAAAACAAACAAATAAATAAATAGAATCAAAAACTTGATTTTTTTTATTCAAATTTTATTTATAAATGGTTTCTTATATTATTTTTAGTTTTTTTAGCTGTTTTTGCAATTAATTTACAATAAAAAATTTAATTTTGGAATAAATTTATTTTAAAACAAATAAATTGTTTTAAACCTGAATGAATTTTAAATTTTATTTACTTATTTTTAAATTAATTAATTATTAATTTCTTTATTATTTTAATGCTTGATTAAAGGGTATGGTTAAAGACTAGTCACTTGTTCATCTGACAGAAATGTAAAAATTTGGCATAAAAACTAATCAGGAAAATGGGATTTATACCACTCAATCACTAATCAAGAAGGTCCAGTTAGGAAAGTAAAATGGGCTCATCCTTAATTTGGAACTATTTTGGCTGCATGCTCAATGGATCGCTCTATTCATATTTATTAAGAATATAAAGATATTACTTCAATACAAAAGGATCCCAATGAATAATAATTATAAAGTAATTTATTTTTCTTTTAAAGATTTAAATTAAAATTTTTTGTTTTAGAATAATGGAAACCCATCAAAATCTATAACGACAAAGAAGTTATTGAAGACATGAAATTTGCTCCTATACATGTTGGTTTAATATTAGCTGTTGCAAGAGCTGATGGAAGGATTAGTATTTTCCAATTTAAAGATCTTTTGAACTTACAAATTCATGAGCAAATCTCGAATATCTCTGTCTCTCCTTTAGGAATTAATAGTATTTCTTGGAACAAAAATAGATTTGATAAGAAGCATATGATTGCAGTCGGATGTAAAGATAGAGATACATCTCAAACTAAAAATTAAAATGGAATTAACGGCGTCAATTAAAAGTATATCGATGAAGAAATCAAATCCGGTTAATCCTTCAAAATTATTGTCTTCAACAGTCTTTAAACTGTAAATGCTTAAGATCACTATCAAATGAAATTTGAATTCCAAGAAAGCAATGCTTAATAACTTATGCACACCTAAAATGTAAGTGATGTATCCTGGAGTTTAATAAATGGAAGATCTTTTCATTTAATTGCAACATGTGGTAAAGAAGGAGCCAGAATTTGGTACATGAAACAATTATCTACAAACTAAAATGTCATATAAGTTATTAAAGTTATTGACTTGTTTGATCAAAATTACAGAGAAAGCATTGAAGTCCAAAAGATATCTTGGAATATTATGGCTTCACTAGTAGCAACCTCTGACAGCAACAACGAAATTAAAATCTTTAAATGTGTCGGAATGGGTAAATGGGAAAAAATTAAGAGTATTAAAGAAACTTAGGATTCAGAATAATGAAAAAACAAACTATTCTTTTTATTTTCAAATTTGTTATTAACACCTATTTATTATGTTAAATATAATCAACAAATTTTCTAAATTATTAAAATATTTATTTATTTATTATTTATATATTTATTATTTTCACATTTTTTGTTTTTGGATTTATTTTTTAAAACTATTTAATTAGTTTATGTTTAACAACTTATCAAGATAAATTTAACAAAAATCAACATATCTATTTTTATGAGTTGATTATTTCTAATATATTTATTTTTAGATATTTTTTAATTAATTTGAAAATTTATTTTATATTTATATTAAACATTTTTCAAAAATTAAAATTTTGCATTTACGTATTCATTTAAAAAAAAATATTTTTTTATAATTCCGCTGATTACACACATACATATATAAATAAATAAATAAATAAATAAATAAATAAATAAATAAATAAATAAATATCGAATTAGCAGAATTGTAAAACCAGGAAAGGATATATATATATAAATTAGCTATTTAAAATATAATCTGTTTTAGTACGTAAAATTTTCTTTTCATTTTTTGATACTAATAATAATAATTTAATTAAATTTACTGTTTATTCTCATTTTTGCATTTAGTTTTTAAAATTGCATATTGAATGACTAACTGAGTCAGTCCTCCAGCCAGACTATGAAGAATTATATTTTCTAAAGTTAATTTATGCTTTTGGTCAATCAATACAGTCAAACAAATATTTTGAAATAATATGCAATTTTATTACACCATCTTAAATGTTGTTAAAGAAGTAATAAATTTCATTATGAATTTCAGTTATAATAAAAGAATATTTATGGTTAGAACTATCTTTCTATAATATTTAAACCATAAAGGAACTAAAATCTAAAACTAAAATATATCAATACATATTTAATGATATAATAACATTAAATATGTTTGCTTTAATTTACCAAATTTATAATAAATGATAAGATGATTTATAAAAAGACTATTGTCAACTATTTTTAGTTGCTGTTTGAAGATATTGACAGATAAAGAACAAATTTATTTTAAATTAAAAACAAACTGATTAATATTAATTATTAAATAAAAAAAATACCACTAATTCAATTAATCATCAAAAATAATCTTATAATTAAATATACAAGTAAGTATTCATCAAAAATTAAAATAATGAATTAGCCCTTCTCTTTCATGAATTTTAAATTAGCTTAGATTCTACATCATAAAAATTAGGCTGTTTTTTCTTTTGAAATCTGAAGATTCAATTTGGTTTTTATATAAATATCTAAATTAAATTTTGCTATTTCAAATACCACATAATGAAGTATATGTAATACATTTTTTTATAATAGAAAGTCTAACATAAAAATCAAAATATTTAAGTTTAATTTATTTTCTTTATCTGAGATAGATATTATAGATTAGTTTTAACATATATAATAATTACCATTTTACTCTTTTCAAATCTAAAATAATACTCAAGTAAATACACATTTATTTATTTAATTAGTTAGTTAGTTAGTTAGTTAGTTAGTTAGTTAGTTAGTTAGTTAGTTAGTTAGTTAGTTAGTTAGTTAGTTAGTTAGTTAGTTAGTTGGTTAGTTAGTTAGTTATTAATATTTAGATTATCTATGTGATTAATTATCTTGAAAATATATATTCAAGTATCATTACAAATTAACTAAAAGAACCAAACCTCACCATCAATTTTATCTTATTTGCATGTATTCATAAATTTTATAGAAAGTAAATAAATAGTGGTTAATTAGAAATACATTTAAAACTAAAACTAAATTGTGGCTAATAAGAAAATTAGCATCAGAAATTTAAAAGTAAATTTACAAAAATCAAATTTTTATTCGAGTGGTGAGTGGTGACTCAGTTGATGCAAATTACTTCACGTATTAGATTTAAATATAATTGTATATTAAACTAAGTGACACTCTCTCATCATTTCTCTTAATCGATGATACTTGCTTTAATTAATAATTTATTCGAAATGACATCATTTTGATTAGAATAATAAAATATGTATTACTTAATTCTTTTTAAAACTCATATTTATTTTTACTTTAAAAAAAAAGATTTAAGAAAATTTGATTCCTATTAGATCCCGAATAAATTAAGAAGAATTCAATTTTGATTACAAATTTAAACAAAAAATGACAGCCTAAATAATATTTTCTAATTTTGCTTTTATTTTAAAAGGTTTATGAAATAAATAATTGTCTATGAAAATAATTTGTGTTTCTTGTAAAGCCTAAAATAAATGAGTTTTTTTAAGATATATATATATAAAGTTTATTGATCTATTTAAAAGTCTCAGATTTTTTAAAAAACTGTATTTTCGTTTGGCTTGCTTTTGAATTTGGTCTATTTTAATTAGTAAATAAATATATTACTTGCTTTTTTATTGTATTAATAGTTAATCTATCTATCTATAAGCTTTGGCTCTAACACATTCAAGCTAAATTTACTTATTTATTATCAGAAATCAAATTAATTCTATTAATAAATATTCCATACAATCTTTAATCCCATTCATGATTACTTTAGCTTACCTGCATAACGTAAATAAGTACGTAAGTCTAAATGTTAAACCATATATTATATAGTTTTGGATATCATATTTTAGACAGAAAATAAATAAATAAATGCACTTGATTTTAAATAGTGTAAATATTTATTTATGTTATTAATTTATTATAAAGATAAAATCATAAATAAAATTAAATTAATAAAATATTTGATAAAATGTAAAATAAAAAAATAAAATATTAACTTTTTGAATAGAAATATTTAAAAAGCATTATTGAATGCATCAATTAATGCAAGGGCTAGTCTGGAGCATATGACAAAGACCTCGGTATTTATGAAGAAGTCACTGAAGACAATTGCATATTTAAACTATATCCTGAATCTTGTAATACAACCATAATTGCTGTTGACGAGTCTAAGGGAGATTTTGTTTGTGGCATATGTCCTGGAATTCAATTATTAAACTATATGCAAGATTTGAGATAAGAATGCTTTGAAAATATAGTAAATGAAAGAAACCTGCTCGATCTATAGCTATTAGAACCTTTAATAGAGCTTAATAAATATAATAAAGAATCTTTGATGATCATGAACTTTGGAGTAAGACAGGGATACGAAAATTTAAAAATAGGTTCAAATTTAATTTATCTGTTTTCACTTAATGCTAAAAGACTAGGATACTACCTAGCTGCAGGTTTAGTTTATAACCCTAAATCAGCCCATGTATTCTATAAATAAAATTATTAATTGTTTGGTCAGCTTGATTTAATCTAATAAAATCTATCTGAAGAAATCAAATAGAAGGTAAAAAGTAAATATATGTTCCTTATGATTAATTTGGTTCAAAAGAGTATCTCAGATTCTAAAACTTAACCAACAGTTCAATAATCTCGCTTATGAATTTATTTAGATACTCTCAAACAAATAAACATCGCTTAATTAAACATTTTTAATAAATCCTAATCAATATTATTACTTACTTAATTATTTGTTCCCATACATAATATATTTTTATAACGATTAATGCTTTTCATATTAATTAATTAATCATATTAATGTATTTTTATTAATTAAGGCCATTCTTGAGTAAAAAAGTATTGGAATAAGGCCATTTAAAAACAAAGATAAAAATTCAATATTTTTTATTGGCTTTGGATAGTAAAAAAATGATGACTAGGAGTGTATTATTATTTTTTTTAATATAAATATAAAATCTTTATTTAAATACAAGTAAAATTTGAATATAAATTATAAAAAAATATCAAATAACTAAGAATGAATAAATAAATAAAACATTAATAATTTGTTTATTTATTTTAGATTTAAAAAGGAAATTAACAAAAAATAAATTAAATTAATTTAGTTACAAAGTAAATATATGAAGTTCTTTTTATTCATTATTTTTTTTTATTAATTTTAGATTGTTTAATCTAATTTAAAATAGGTAACACTTTTTATTGCCATTCTTTAATGTTTTATAAAAAGAATTTAAATTATTGTAAAATTAATTAATTATTTTTTTTAATTTATTTATACCTTTTTCCCAAGTACTCTCTCTAAATTTAGAAGCACTTTTTCTCAAGTTTTCAAATGTTAATTCATTTTCTGGATGCATTTTGAAGTATTTCTAGTATTAAAAATCAACAAAAAAACGAATGAGATTTTATGAGAAATCAATATGTATATATGTTGTTTGTTTGTTTGTTTGTTTGTTTGTTTGTTTGTTTGTTTGTTTATTAATAAATTTACCAAAAACAAGTTGAGTAACCCTTAAGTGTTGTCAAAAATAAAACCATTTTTTTGATTAACTACTAGCTCATTAATACTTTTTGATTTAATAATATAGTTAGTTAGTTATCTTTCTTTTTCAAGACTTTTAAAATATTTAATTACCACTAGTAATTTATTGCAAAAACAGGTAAGTTAGATCCAAGCATATCTACTACTTTCATCGGTAGATCAAGACCAGATGAAGAGTAGTGAAGACATATTCCTACATCTGCACTAGCCAACAATTTAGGGTAGTCTTCTGCTTTTAGCCAAACTGTTTATATTTATATATTTTTCCAACTTTTCTTCCTTTCTTCAATTATTTGTTCGTATCTTTCTTTTTCTGGTCCTTTTCCTAAAATATTAAAAAAATAAATAAATCAATCAATAATAAATAAAATTATTTGATGATTTAGATGAAATAAATTAGATATATTTTAAATGTTATTTGATATAATAAAAGTTATTTTAAAAAAATTATTTATTTAAATTAAATTTGAAAATATTTGTTTACCTGTGATAAGAAGGTGTAGCTTTGGATACAAAGAGTTTTGCTTATTTACTTCTTTTTCAGTTTCATATGATTGCATAGCATCTAATAAAATACTGAAATCCTTGAATTTTTTATAATAATAATAATACAATTTTATTTTTTAATATAAAATTGAAATAAATAAATACTTCATCTTTAGTCCAAGAAGTACTGCTAACTAAAAGTAGAGGTCTTTACTACTTTTTTATTATTTTTCCATTCACTTCTTCAGTGAAAAGTGTTTCTTTTTAATTAATGCTTAAACCAAGTTCAAGGAATAGCTTATGGGATTCCTGAAGAGAGATGGGCCCAAATAACTCAGTATTAGCTTTATCATAAAGGGTAGTTGCTTCTATATTCCAATTTTTTTTCAAATCGGCTTTCATAGCATCAGAAACGCAAAAGGCGAAATCACATTTTTTAGCAAAATATTTTTCATAGAATGTAGCCAGTTTTAAAATAATTTTTTGTTTCAAACCTAATGCTAAAATAGTATATCCATAATTATGAAAATCTACAATCATTTTGATTCTTCTCATGAAACAAATTATGGCCAACGAAGAAAGTACAGGAATTGAAGGAGGATTCTATTATTTAAATATTAACAATCAATTTACATTCATTCAATTTATTTTAGCATTATAAAATTAGATCAAAAAAACTCTATTTATTTTGTTTAATTCATTCTTATTAAAAAATAAAAGAAACCATCTAAAATATCTCTTTAAAAAACTTAAATTATAATTTTTTAACGAATGAATGAATTTTTGATGGTATGTTTTATCAATTTACATTTACTGTATGCATTCTTATAAATTATTTTAGTTTAAAAGCTAATTATTTACTTGTATTATAACAAATTCAGGTTTAGGCATTTTGAAAAGATAGATGTAAAAGAGCTAAAATATTTAAATTATAATTCTAAGAGCAGCATAAAGCAAATATAAGAATCTTGGTAATTTTTTAAGTTTGTTGACGAGATTTGAAGATATGTCAATAATTTTTATATTTGGATTGTCTCTAATTACTTTATGCACCTAATTTTCTACAAATTAATTTTAAATTATAAATGCTTATCTATCTTTTTAATTTACCTAATTAACCTACAAAATAAACTTCATAACCAGCTTAAGCCAATTATGTTGAATGATTTTTCATTCTTGGTGATCTACCAATATCGCCAAAAACGATGACAGATGCTACTTGCTTTTAGCTCATTTTCTTAAATTTATTAATAGTAAAAATAATTGTATTGATTATTATTTTTATAAAAGATCTGATCTCTTAAATCAGAATATTTTGTATCTATAAAAGTAGAAACTCAGAGAGTTAATTAATCTAATCATCAAAAAAAGATATATTTTTTATCAGAGAAGATCTAAGGAAGGACTAATATAAATAAATAAATTTGAAAGTTAATGAATGAGTTATTGAATAAATGATTTTTTAATTAATAATATAAGTGTTATAAATAAAGTAAATTATTTAATAAATTTCTTTAGAAATATTTTGAAGATATCAAAAATAAATTTGTTTAATTAGAATTAAAAGTTAGTTAGAATATACATATATAATTAATTATGTCATTATAGGAATACACATAGGATTTAAATAATCTTTGCAATAAATTAATTTAAGTATAAGATTTAAAGTTATTTGTTGAGAAATACGGTGTTAAAGGAATAGTAGGAGCAGGTTATTTAGCTATAAATAATAAAGATACATACATTAAATCTGAAAGAGTGATTAAGTAATGGATTAAAGATGAAAATCTTTATGAGAAATTTTTATTTAGCACTGATAAAGATGACTAAGAAGTAGTCAAATAGATGCTCTTCCATTAATAAACTCATGTAAGAACTCTTGTTTCTGAGTGCATAGAATTTCATGCATATGATATTGGCTTATTTTTAGAAAGAAATTAATAAAATGAACTCTATCAATCTTACTTGCTAGTTCTTATCCATTTATTAGCTGATTAAGAAACAGAAGTCGCCTTAAAGATTTTGAGAGCGCTCAAAAAAATGACCAAAATGGAAAACAATGTTTAATTTATGGAAGATGATTTCTGGCTTTAGAAGGTTGAAGAAGGCGTTCAAGCAGCAGATGAAGTTGTTGCTTTAAGATTTATGGAACTTATTGTTGCAATGTCAAATACAAATGAAAGAATACACAATAAATTAGTTAACAAAGGTAAATAATTAATTAGTTAGTTAATTTTTTTGAAGTATTTTAATATTATTTATATTTGACAGGTTTGCTAGAAAAATCTATACAATTATATCAAACTGATGATTTGCTTGTGAAGTTAAATGCAGTAGAAATATTTTCTTATTTCGGAGAGAAAGATTACAATTCAAAATATCTTGCTGAACATAAAATTACCTAATAAATTATTGCAGAGGCCTTCAATTAAAAAGAAGAATTGTATATTAGAAAATACTCTATGTTGCTTGTTGCTAAAATGATAGCAAGTTCTGTTATGAAATTGACTCCATAATTAGCTAAAGATACTCTAGCTTTTATTCAACAGCTTATCCAATCTAAATTATAAGAAGAAATATCATCTGCATTTGAAATTATGTCCTTCATTTGCATCAAATAAGAAGTAAATTTTTAAAAAGAATTAATGAAATAAATAAATAATTTTTTAATTTAAAATAATATTTAGGGAGTAAATTTAATTGTAAAAGATAAGATTGTCCTTAAAACTCTTTTGGACTATACTTCAAGCACTAAAGTCGAATTAAGAAAAAAATGTGTGAATGTATTTAGTCATATTCTATTTACAAATAGTTCAACCCCAAAAAACAAAAATACTGTGTTTAATTTATTGATGTGTTTTGGTAACTCCTAAATGGCAAATTAAATAATAAATTTTGAAAATTAATATGAAAACCTAGATTAGTTGTAAAATAGCTTTAAAGTTATAGAATAAAATCTGTTTTCTCCTTTCGAAGATATAGAGCTAGATTACATGCTTTTACTTAAACGTAAATTAATATAATTTTAAAATATTTATCATTTAATTCAAAATTAATTATAATTTTAGATTGCTTCTTATATGAAGAAATATGCTTCTAGTATATACAAACACCTAAAAGTATAGAATACATGACATCTCATCTCTGCAAAAATAAACTAATCTTTGATTTGAAAAGAGAATTAAGAGATACTCTCATCGCCGTTTGTAAGAAGAACTCTAAAAATAACAAACTCTATGAAGTATTTATTGATAACTATTATAAAGCCTTACAAAATAAATCCAATCCTTCTCAAGAAATGCAATACGAATCTTCTACTTTATGAAATCCTCTAAATAAATTTATAGAATTAGAATCATTCTATCTAAATTATATATTCAGTTTAATTTTGTATTAATTAATTATAATATTCTAAAAAACATTCAAAAAATCAAAAATTTTACATGTAATACATATAAATAAAATAAGTCCATTTATTTAAATATTTCTAAAAATTTTATTTTATTTTTTGGTGATTGTAAAAAATAATAAAAAAGAGAAAAATGAATGAATGAATAGAATTAAGATTTAATAATATATATTTTATGTAAATATAAATTTATTTATTAAGAAGTTGATTTAATTATTAAAAATTAATTTTATTTATTTATATATGTATAAATAGAATAGAATAGCATTTTTTGATTAAATTTATATCTAAAGATAGTATTTATTTATTTTATTTTATTTTGCTTGTTTTATTAAGAAAATTATAATGATTTAATTTCTCAATTATTTGTAATTTCTACTTTTTCTACTTTTTTAGTACGTTCTGGTTTAGGTGCAGAGAGTTGCTGAACATTATTTAATTCCATATTTTATTACTTTCTGTGTTTAGCTTATTTTTATTCTTATTTTCTTCTTTTGGCATTCTAAATATATTTAGGAAGATGTTGTTTACGCTATACTTTGTTTATATCTTAGTTGTATTTAAACTTATCTTTAAGTGCTTCTCTATAATTCAAGGAGTTTTAAAGTCTTTTATCAACAACACCAAGTTATTGGCTTGCTTTAGCTTTCCAGATTCTGATATTCATATCATCAGATCCACTTAATATAAATTAGTTATCCATAGACCAGCAGACTGAAAATATTTAATGCATTCTTTTTGTGTGATAAATTTCTTCACTTTTGCCTTTTTCAACATCGAAAATACGAATTGTTTTATCATAACTTCCTGTTACAAATTTGCGGCCAGTAGGGGCAATATCTAGATCCATGACAGCACCAATATGATCTTTGTGAATCATTTTAGCTTATTCCATTTTACGCATATCAAAGCTGTAGCAATTACCATCATCACAACCTACAATTAAGTTAACAGGTTCAGTAGGATTCCAGCAAATTGTTTAGCATTTATTAGAAAGAAATATTTTTTGAATAGCAGTATCTCCTCTGGTATCATAAAGAACGACACTTCTATCAATACCAGTACCAGCGATTAAGTTGAATTAGGAAGGATTGTATTTAACCTTAAGTACAGTATCAATACCCCATTCGAAACTCTAAACTGGTTTAGATCTTTCATAATTCCAAACTTAAACTACACCACCGCTTGTGACAAAATTATCTCCTTTCCAGCAATGGTCAACATTACCTAACACATGCTTGCTATAGAATACGTTTAAAGGATCTCTATCTGGATTATTCAATTAATCTTAGAAATCATAAAGATTAATAATATTATCAGCACCACTTGATAAAAATCTATTTTATTAAAAAAATATATTTAATTCACATATTATAATCTCAACTCAATTAATATTTATAATTCTATTTTCCTATTTAATCCTAACATACTTCATTAAATAAAATCAAGTAATTAATTAGTTGTTTTAAATTCTATTTTTCTAAATAAGCATTAAGCAAGTTCTGCTAAAATTAAATTTTCTTTTCTATTTAAAACTTCTAAAAAGTATTTATTTATTTATTAATTGATTGATTCTTTATGTTATAATTATTCATTTTATTTCTTAAATATTATAGAAGCATATTGGAAGAATTTGTTATTTATTTATATACATTTTATTTTACTTTGATTCTTTATTTAATTGAAATCTTATTTAAGATTATTAAAATAAAGCTAAACCTATTTATTTATTTCACATAACTTAAATTAATTGCTTAAAATGGTAAACTATCTATCTATCTACCTCGTATCTTTTAAAAATAATTGAGATTAATCTTATCATAAAATTCCTAGAATAGTTTGTATGCTTGCTTGCTATAATTATATTTTTTGTTATGCTTCTATGTAATACCTACTAGAAACTAGTATTTTATTGACTTTAAATACCAAAATTTAGTTTTAAATTGCATTTTACTTTAAATTTCATTAGCTTATTTAAAAAAATATTTTTCTTTGTAAAAAATATGTTATAAATATGAGAAAAAAAAATATTTTGAATTACCTTTAACCATCTCTAGAGAAAGAAACACCTTTAACAGATTATTTATGAGCATTTAGAGAAAAAAGAGTTTTACGCTCAGAAATGTCCCAAGCTCTTAATTCACCATCAAAAGTACCTGAAATAACCTTAACTAAACTATTTGGGCATTTAGTAATAACTGAAATTGAATCAGAGTGTCCAGTTAAGCATCCCAAAAAGGGTTTGGCAAACATTTTATCTAATTTAGTAGCAACTAAAGCTCTTTAATGTTCACGAGCTTTTTGGAACTAATGAAGAGTGGGATTTGAGTTTCTTTAAACTTTAGTTATATCGTATTTAGTTTCACGAACGTAATCGTTTGAAGATCTACAAATTGTATTTATCTTGACCATTTTTTAACTTGAATTTGATGTAATCAACCTTATTTATTATATATTCGTTCAAAGACTATTATTAATAATATGCTTTTACTATTAATTATTCAAAAGAAAACTATTAATTATTATTTAAACTTTATTTTTAGCTTTATTCCTTTTACTCTTAATGACTTTTGAGCATCAGATAGATAGATAAATAAATAAATACATAAACAAAAAAAATAAATAGGCAGTCATAATTTTTTTCAATTTTATTAAAATACTTCATAGAATTATAATTCACTTCATTTAAAAAATATCTAAGTAGAAATATTAAAAGAATGACAAAACCAAATATGAAGTCTATCTTTTTTAATAGTTTTTTTGAGTAAGAATTAAACATAAAATAATTAATTTAAACTCTAAGATGAAAATCATCTTATTGTAAAAAATTAGCTAAAAAAATAAATCTTAAAATTTACTTTTTCTTTTTTATAAAATTATTTATAATCTAAAATATTGATTTAATTATAATTATTAAAAATTAATTCCTAAAATCTATATTTTAAGTAATATTTAGTAATTAATTAATAAGATCATCAATTTCTAAATATTAAAACTATCTAATTGATTTTGTTTTATTATAATTTTTTAAATGTAGTTTATCTTTTAAAAAAATATATTTATTATCTATAATATTGATTTAACTATTTATTTTATGAATAATTGTTAATAAGTCAGTTACTTTATATATTGATTTTAAGTTTGTTTTCATCTGAAGTAATGAATAAGATCATCTTATTTATTTTGTAAACAATAAAACTATTAAAAATAGCTTTCTTTTTATATATTTTTAAAAATATAATTACTTATTTAAAGAATAAGAAAAAATGATAAGCATCATCAATTTACAGTATCTTTAAAAATTATAAAAGTATATGATTTCTAAGTAAACTAAACAAGTAGTTCATTTTTTATTAATAACAAATTACTAAATATAGCTTCGTAGCTACAAAATAAAATAGACTATTTTTATGTAATAAACTCTATTATTTTGGATACCTTTTAACATTATTTGATAAATCTTAATAAGTTAAATCATACATTTATTTATTTATTTATTTATTTATTTTAAACCAATTTACTCTAATATTTATAAAAATGTTAATTTTTTCAGTAAGATAGTACAAAAATGAATGATAAATAAGTAAATGTTAAATAATAATATTTCTAAAAATAGTTTGTTATCTATCTGTTAAAATATACTTATTTTTTAAAATGAACTTAGTTTATTGTGTTTGCATAATTAAACATAAAATAAAAATTTATTTTTAACAAGGAAATAAATACAAAGAATAACTTTTGAGTTATCTTTTAAAGTTGAATAGATATTTCGAATTAATAAAATTTGTTTTATATATTAATGTGTTTTTCTAAATATTCTAATAATAGGTATAGATAGATATTATCGATTAATATTTTACAATTTTTTTGTTTAATTAAACTAATATGAATAAATGAATGAATGATATTTATTCTATTTACAAAATACTTAAAATAAAATATGAATTTAATTTTAAATATAATCAACATCAAATAGAATTATGAATTTGACTATCACCTTTTTAGTATTGAAGAGAAGATATAGGATTAATTAATTTATTTAATTAATTAATTAAGAAGATTATAAATAAATAAATTATATTTGTTTTCTAATCTAGTTTTAAAACTAATCTGTCTATGAAATTGAGATATGTTTGTAATTAAGTAAGATACACTAACTAAATAATGAATTAAGAAAAGCGATTAATCTGTTGTCTAAATTAATTAACTATTTTTTTTTTTGAATTAAACTTTTAGCATATTTTTTAACTCTCTTAAAAAAACTCTTTAAAATATAAACATGTATGTTAGAAATATAGAAATATACATTAATTGAGTAAATTTTTTATAGTTATAAGTATAAAAAAGTGTTAGAAAAAGATTTTTTGAAGAGATTTAAGCAGTTAGTTAAATTTAAGCAATATTTTTAATTAGAATCACTCATCTTCTTCTGATGATCCTTCAGCTTCTTCTTCATCATCATCTTCTTCTTCAGCTTCTTCTTCAGCATCTTCTTCATCTTCTTCTTCTTCTTCATCATCTTCCTCTTCTTCTTGTTGTTAAGGAACTTATTTTTTAGATTTTTTAACTTGGGCTGCTTAAGGTTCAGATTCATCTTCCTCTTCTTCTTCTTCATCTTCATCGCCTTCTTCATCATCTTCGTCATCACCTTCTTCTTCTTCGTCGTCATCATCTTCTTCTTCATCATCATCATTGCTTTTTTTGGGAGCAGGTCTTTAAACTTGTTCTTCTTCACTGCTTTCACCTTCTTCCTCTTCTTCTTCATCTTCCTCCTCTTCTTCTTCGTCTTCATCATCATCTTCGTCTTGATCTCCTTAAGCATCAGAGGGTTAATCGGGAATATCATCTTTTTATTTTAAATATTCTTCCATATTAATTTCGGAATGTTCAGAAGTGACTTCGCCTATGAAAAAAATGAGAAAAGATTAGAAATTGGAAGTAAAATAAATAAAAATGTTGATAAATGAAAGGAAGAAATAGTAAATTATGCTAATAAGCACCTATTTACAAATTTTTTATGAAATAAAAATTTAAATACGAAGTTTCAGAAAAAAATTTAAATGGATAAATATTGCCTAAATAAATATAATTAAATAATAAATAAATAAATTATTTTATTACCGTCGTCTTCTAAGACGTCTACTTCTTCATTCAATTCTTCAGCATCAATATCACTATCTTCTGATTCAGATTTATTGCCTCTTAACTTCTTTTTCAATTCAGGCTCTTCACTTGAGTTTAAGTTCTTTCTCTTATTAGATGACATTTTTATAATAATTTTTTTTGTTGGTCTTGTTATTTAATTAAAACTATATTGTTTGCTTTTATTTATGTATGAAAGATATTTATTTCAATATAATTGGTTATTATTTAAAATATGATTTCTCCTTTATTTGTATATATCTCATTCTCCTATCATCTGATTCAATTTACTTTGATACTTCTTTATTTTAAAGTCAAAGAGGGAATATTATTTTCCCGCATCTCAGCTATTTTTTGAGTTTATTTTCATCTCAAATGATACATTTGATTCATTCATTCATTATTTAATTAATTAATTAACTACCTTAAAACTTTGCTTATTATTTGGCGTTGCAAATTATCACTTAATTATTTTTAAATTCCAAATGAACAATCAAAGAATGAAAGAAAACTGACTGTATATAGGGTTTAACGAAAGAAAAGATAAGGTAATAGATAATCAGGAACCTTAACAAAATTAATTTTTGTTATGAATGTTTTGAAAAGAAAATTTAAAAAAAGTTACTTTAATAATATTCTAAAATACATAAATTGAAAATCTATCTATCTATCTAGAATTCTGTTTAACAATTTCTGATTATATCAAAATGATTGTTTTTTAATGAAACTTTAAATAAAAAAATATTAATCAACCAATAAAAAAACGAATATTTTAACTTTTAATTTCACGCATTACTGAAACAAATAATAAGTTATTTATTTGTAAATTAATGATTGGCATTCATTATAAAAACATATCAATCAAATAATTAAAAAATTTAAATAAATTTTAATAGTATTTATTATTAAATTTAATCATTTCTGTGAGCACTCACTATTTATTATGAAAAATATTAATCTAAATTCAAAATTATTTTATTTTATTATGTTTATAATTGAATGTCTTTTAATTTATTAGATAATAAATGGATAGGAAAATATTTCACAATAATTTTGAAATTAATTCTAATTATTTTGTTTGTTTTTGTAAATAATTTAAATAATAATTAGTTAGTATAAATCCCAAAATTAATTATTCTTTATTTTAAAGTTAGTAAGATTTAACAAATAAAATATTTTTTATTTTTTAGACGTAAATTAACATTAAAATGAATTTTTTTATTTACAAAAAATGTTTATTAATCTATAAAATAAATATGCTTTTAATTATTAATGAAATTAGAGAAAAAATTTCATCAAAAAATGTAATATTTACAGAAGTTTTATAGATCTTTCAGTATTTGATAAAAAATACAGAAAATCCATCCCAATAAAGCCGAAGTGAATTTGAACATTCATTATATTTTATTATATTAATTTGAAATATACTTTCATTTTAAATATTTTCCCACAATTAAATTAGTGTGAACATTCATTTTTTAATCTAATTAATTATTTTACATCTAAAATATAAAATTTTAATAACTAAATAATAATATTTTTAAAATTAAAATTATATTCCACTATCCTTATTAGATAGATATTGATTTAAATCTATGTTTCCAATAAAAATTGATTCTTTATATTTTTAAATAAATACATATATATTCCAACTCTGTATTAATATTGGTATATCCATACATACATTTATTTATTTATATATTGCACATTAAGAGCTCATATATTTTTTAGAATAATTTCTGTTTAAAATTTATTTAAAAGTTTTATTATGAATAATAAAAAATATTTTTACTCCAATACACAGCTACTGTTAATCACTTTATATAAAAACTAATATTTTAAGTTATTATTCAAAATATTTTTTATAGAAAACAAACTTGTATATTAACAGTATGTATGAAGACTTTAAATAATAAAAAATTAATGAGTGAATGGATAGATGATTGGAAAAGCCTATTTAATTTATAATATAAAAATAGATGAATTGTTTGAATTATTGATTATAAATACACGAGCAATATAAATAAATTAATTTAAAGATTAAAATATGCGATTACTTGTGTAAATAATATATTTTATTATAATAGCTAGATTTAATTTAAGGTATATTTAATATATAATTTCTTTTAATTTAAAATTATTTAGTTAGTTAGTTATTTATTTATTTAATTTTCTTTATTAAGATTTATTTTTTGCTTATTTTGAAATCTACTTTTACTTTTTAAATAAATATAACTAGTTGTATTGATTACTAAAGCAATACAACTAAAAAATATCTATTAACCAATCAGTCAGAGAATTCTTAGCAGAACTTTTCAAAGTCTTAATATTTAATCTTAACTGAGGGGATAGAGTTAATACTTTTGCGAGATCTAGCACTGAATTACTAATTAATTTATTTAAAATTATTTTATATTTATAATAGTTTGAATCAATTTACAGATAACATTGTAGATGCTCTTGAGCTTCTTCTTTTTCTATCTTCATCTTGGTTTTCGAATAAAGCACAGAATGTCTAATAATCAAGTTCTTCTGAACTAGCTTCTATTCTTTCCATAATCTTTTCCATATCAAAAGTTAAGTCGAACTCTTCCTTAATAATTTTCAACATGGCAGTTTTCATAACTCTTCCTGTGGAGTCAGGATTTCCTCCTAAGGCTACAAAAGCATCAACTATTTTTTATGTTTTAATAAATTAATTAATTAATAAGTACTTTGAAACTAAAACTTATCAATTAAAAAATTTAGTTTTTTAAAGAAAGAATGTAATATGATTTAAAACAGTTAGTTTTTATGGTTTATATGTTAATTTTTATTTGCAAAATTTGTATTTGATAATTATTTCGTATCCATTTCATTATTTATATCCAAAATAAGTATAATTTATTACTGAATTCGCTCTAGTAATCATCGTCGCCTTCTTCCATAAGCTTTTATTCCTTTTATCTTAAAACGCCTACAATTAAAAATACTGTCTCTAATTCTATTGATTTAATTCCTCTGTCTTCAAGTTCCTTGAAAATAGCCTTCTTAACTCCGTCATCTATTGAGAACTGCATGTCTAATTAATTAAATAAGAGGATTAAATTAGTTCTTTTTATTTTTTACAGATCGATCAATTCATTAAGTATGGAATTTAAAACAATTCTTTATAAATAAAGCAATTGGTTTGCTTATCAAATTATAAAAAAAAGTATTACTTTTAAGGATGCTGAGCAATTAATGGAATTAAATCTTTCCGCTGTCAGTTGAATCATATTTTTTGAAGTTGAAGTTGATCATTTCTAAATCAACTCTCTCTATTCCATATTTTTGCATAATTCTAATTGTAAGATCATCTTGCTATCCAATTAATTTAGATTATCTTCTGAAGAGAGCAGCAGCGTTAGATACCTTTCTTTGGCCATCTCTATTTGCATTAGATTAGATATTGCCTTGATTTTAAGTAGAGGATTGCTTTGTATCAAACTCGTTTGACTCTTTGTTAGGGCCCTTTGTAATTTTCTTTGTGTTCATTTGAGTATTTGTTAATATTTATTTATTTATTTTGATATGTTGTAAATGTTTTTAGTAAATATCTTATTATACACTGACTTTTGATTCTTCAAAAATTTGTTTTTTAATATCTGCCAATGTAAAATATGTGAATTTAATTAAATATCAAAATCTCTTTATAAATAATGATTCAGTAGGATTGACGAAAAACTAATTTCAATAATAATCAAACAATTTATAAGTATCACTTGATATCTCTTACTTAATATTGCTCAAGCAAAAATTAAGTTTTTCATTATAACTTTAATACAATACAATACAATACAATACAAATCAAATCAATAAATAAATATTATTTACTCCATTAAATTTTTTTATAATTTTGTTAGTAATATATAATTAATAATGATTAGCTCACTCATTAATAATCTTTGGTGAAATTATAATTCTGTTCTTTAGATCAATTACTTAATAAAAAAAAAATATTTATTTGAAACTGAAATAAATTACTTTTTTTTGAAAGTAATAATGTAAAATGAATAAATAAATAAATTATTTATAAAATTTTTTAGATATACTTCAAATTTGTCATACTATTTGTAAATTAAATCAATTTTTTATTTTAAAAGATATTAATTAATTAATTATTCAATCAATTATTTTTATTAATTAAAAAAAAATATTATAAATTTTTTAATGAATAAATTTTTATTTATTAATTAATTTTTTTATTATTTGATAATAAATACTGTAAATTTAAAAAAATGGTATTTTTTTTGATATGATATTGAAAAATATAGTATCAAATAAAGAAGATATATTAAAAAAAATTATTTATTTATTTTTTATAATAATATCAAAAATGAAATAATTATTTGAGGATTGATTGATAATGTATGAAATGATATTTAGCTATAATTAAATATTTACTAGCTAGCTATTCACTCCCAAATTCTATCTAAACCTTTTAAAAATTAGATTTTTATCAATTTTTTAGAATTAAAATAAAAAGGGTAAGATATTAAATAGTTAATAATAAATCTTTAGATTGTGGCAGATGAATTTATTTTTCTCAACAATCATAAACTAAACAATTTGTGTATATTTATCTATTTTTATTAATTAAATTAATCTCAATACTTATTACAAAAACTGATGAAAATAAACACAAGAAATATAGAAAAAAACATTTTCTAATGCTACAACTAGAAAGGTGTTAGTTAGTTAGTAATCTCTCTGTACTTAAAGGAAACTTGCTAAACAAATTTGAAACTAGTATAACAGTTGATGGGAACTTATTTTTATCTAGAGTAAAAAAATGAATAAAAAGAATAATAAGAAAAATTGTGAACTACAAGAAGTATATGCTTAATGAAAAATGAAATACTTACCTAGGATCTTGAATTTAAATTAATTATTGAGCACATTAATAAAAATTAAAATATAATTATCTATTCCTAAGTTTAAAATTGTGGAATTTCTGATAAAGTATTTGAAGTTCTAAAAAGTTTAGTGATTAATTAATCCCTTATCGGTTAAGCTGATCACAGCAAATTTTATCAAAATAGAGAGTCATTACATATCAATTATAATTCGCCAAGCAGTTACTGAAGTAAATGAATTAAGTACAGAAGCAGATATATATAATGAAATGAGGTGATGCTTTAACTAATAATATTCTTGATGTTTGTTGTAATAGACCTTTCTTATTTACAATAATCTATATATCTACTCATACAATACTATTTTTTAGAATAATAAATGATTGATAAAATCTCAAATTATTGATTGATTATGAGTTAACAATAAATTATTTTTTTAAAGTAAAAAATTTTATAAATAAGTGTATGAATGAATGAATAAATAAATAAATTTACATATTTAAAAAAATGATTTATTTTAGTAAATATGTTTTTTTATTATAGAATTAAATAAATAAATAACTTTGTTTTTTTGAAAATATGAAAAGTTTATAGCATGAGACTATGTCAGGTTTTCTTTTGAATTACGATTATAAGTAAATTGGATATGTTTAATTATTCTTTTGATTATTGTAGATGCTTGATGTAGAAGATTTTGTATGATCATAAATAAATTAATCAATATTTATCGATTTTATTAATACATTGATTACTATATATTAATGAAGCGCAATACATTCTTTTTTGCTTGGAGTGCTTTAGAAAATATGTAAGAAAAAATTTTGAAGAAAAAATTTTTAGAAATAAAATTAGGCTCAAAAAGGTGAGGCTGGAATCCTACCAGAATTTAGTTAAAATTTGAAATAGATTCTCATGATTTGAAAAGAAAACAAATCTTTTAATTTTATTGTAGAGGTAATCATATTGTAGACTGAATTTGATCATAAATTAATTAATATTTATCTATTTGATATAATAAAATATTGATTAACAATGTTTGATAAAAGATTTATAAAATTCTTATTTTTGATATAAAGATTAGGATTTATTTACTTATTTGTATAATTTATTAATTAAAAATAAAAATAAAAAGTGCATAATACATTTTACAAATATAGAAAGATAGATAAATATAAATAGAAAAATGGACGTAAAATCTCATCCTATTAGCAACTTCTCTCTCAATTACTTTAAATTAATCTCTGAAAAAAATAACTTCTTCTTTTCCCCTGCTTCTATATACCTAGCATTAAGCTTAACTGCTGCTGGCTCTGCAGGTTAAACCCTCAAAGAATTCTAAAATGTATTAAATTTTTAGAATGTAGAAGAAATGGGAAAATAAATAAGTTCATTAAGTGAATAGCTTTAGCAATCTTCTTAGTCATTCACTGTTTCTTCAGCTAATAGAATCTATACCGGAGTTTCAGAAATAGTAAACGATTATAAATAATTTGTTGAAAAATATTATAAATCAGGATTTGAATAAGTTGACTTCAGCTAAACCGAAGCTGTTAGGTAAAACATAAACTAATGGGTCTCCAAACAAACAAGAGAAAAAATCTAAGAACTTTTACCAAAAGATAGTATTAATGCTGCAACTAGAATGGTATTAGTAAATGCTCAATACTTAAAAGCAGATTGGCTAAACAAATTCCAAAGCAATAAAACAGCTGACTAATACTTTTATCTTGAGCCAAACAATTAATAAAAAAAAGTAAAAATAAAAATGATGAGTAATGAAGGAATTTATGGGTATGGCAAGTTTAATGACTTTGAATATGTTTAGCTTCCTTACTAAAATCTAAATTTTGCTATGGAAATATTTTTGCCTAGTAATAATATCTAAGATCTAGAGTCTTAATTAACTGCAGAATAAATGCAAAATGCTTTGAAAAAATCATAAAAGACTAATATAAAACTCTCCATTCCTAAGTTCAAAATGAGTGGAATCTCTCATAAAGTATTAGAGGTTCTAAAAACTTTAGGGATTAATGAAGCTCTGACAGGTAATGCTGACTTCAGCAAACTATGTGAAACAGAGAGTCTTTTCATATCAGATGTAATTCATCAAGCAGTTATTGAAGTAAATGAATTAGGTACAGAAGCAGCAGCTGCAACAGCAGTTATTATGAAAAATTGTAGTCTTAAAGTTAATAAAACTCCTTTAATTTGTTGCGATAGACCTTTCTTATTTACAATCACTCATATTCCTACTCACACAATACTATTTATGGGAAGAATAACTGATCCATCAAAAATTAATTGAATAATAATATATAAATAAATTAAAATTATTAACTTTTTAAGAGTTTTAATGAATGGAAAATGATTGAGCAATAGTATAAATCATTTTTTTTAATTAAAACTTTTTTATTTTTTAAGTATCAAATTAATAAATTTCTCATTTAAATATATTTCAACATTTTGTATGATTAAATAAAATTTTATTTTAATACTAGAAATATTTAAAGAATTATATTGCTTAATAATAAAGTATTTATTTCATAATAATGTATTTTTATTCAACATTGTATACATTTAACCAAATAATTTGTTTATTTTCAGCAAATTTAATTTTTATTAATGAAGACGCATAGGGTGTTAAAATATAATATTAAACAAACATAAAAAATATTAAATGAATAAATATTTTCTGACAATGTGAATATTAACAACTTACAAAATATTTATTTTGTTTTCAAAATTTTCTCTAAATAGTAAAAGTAAAAAGGATTAAACTAAAATTATATATCAAACAAAAAGTGCGTTTAATTCTAAAATAAATCAAGCAATCTGATTTATAGAATCTATTTATTTTAAATATCTAAAGTTATTTAATAGAATTAATTTATTTTCTTAATAATTTTTTAATTTAATTATTTTATTAAAATATTAAATAACTAATTTGATATAAATTTTAAAGATTATTTAGTTATCAAATAATAAAATTTATCAATAAAATAAGTATTTCGTTTTAAAATAATATCTTTATTATGCATGTATATTTATGTCTGTTTATCTATCAGCTTTTTTTATTTATATATCAATAATCAATATGGGTAGAGTAGAATGAATCGTTGAAATTTTAAATATATAATGATATGAGGTGTTACTATAATTAATACAATTTTTGAGGCTCTTTACAAGAACCCATATACTTATTAATACAATACTATTTTTGGATAGAATAAATGGTCAATAAAATCTCAAATGATTGATTGATTGATTCTGAATTAACAAGTGTATGAATGAATGAATGAATGAATGAATGAATGAATGAATGAATGAATGAATAAATAAATAAATAAATTTACATATTTAAAAAATTTGATTATCTTAGAAAATATGTTTTTTTATTTCAGAATTAAATAAATAAATTTGCTTTTTTTGAAAATATCTAAACTTTAAAGAATTAGAATATGTAAGGTTTTTCTTTTGAATTACTATTGTAAATTGGATATAGATATTTTTAATTATCAAAAAATATCTTTTGATTACTGTAGATGCTTGAAGTAGAAGATTTTGTATGATCATAAATAAATTAATAAATATTTATCTATTTTCTTATATTAAGATATTGATTATTATTATTGGAAGAGGAATTAATCAAAAAATTTCATTAAAAAATTACAAATATTTTTGATATTAATAGATGGTTAATCCTTATCTTTTCATTTGCATAATTAATTAATAAATATAAATAAAAGATATCTCATTATTTTAAAATTAAAATTGAATACTAACAACGAATATGGACTTAAAATCTCATCCTGTTAGCAGCTTCTCTCTCAATTACTTTAAGTTAATCTCTGAGAAAAATAATTTCTTCTTTTCTCCTGCTTCTATATATCTAGCATTAAGCTTAACTGCTGCTGGCTCTGCAGGTTAAACCCTCAAAGAATTCTAAAATGTATTGAATTTTTAGAATGTAGAAGAAATGGGCAAATAAATAAGTTCATTAAACTAATAGCTTTAGTAATCTTCCTAGTCCTTCACTATCTCTTCTGCTAATAGAATTTACAGTGGAGTTTAAGCAGTAACAAACGATTACAAATAATTTGTAGAAAAATATTTTCAATCAGGATTTGAAAATGTTAACTTCAACCAAGCTGAAGCTGTGAGGGAAAATATTAACGAATGGGTTTCCTAATAAACAAGAGAAAAAATTAAAGAGCTTTTAAAATAAGGCACTATCGATGCCTCAACTAGAATGGTACTAGTAAATGCTCTTTACTTAAAAGCAGACTGGTTATACAAGTTTTAAGGTAATAATACAGCTGATAGATACTTCTACATTGAGCCAAACAACGAATAAAAAAAAGTTTTAACAAAGATGATGAGTAACTCAGCAACATATGGCTATGGCAAGTTTGATGGCTTTGAATATGTTTAGCTTCCTTACTAAAATAAAGATTTTGCTATGGAAATATTCTTGCCCAGCAATAGTATTTATGATCTAGAGTCTAAATTAACTGTAGAATAAATGCAAAATGCTATGAATAATTCTTAAAAGACTAAAATAAAATTATTCTTGCCAAAATTTAAAATGAATGGAATTTCTCATAAAGCATTAGATATTCTACAAAACTTGGGTATTGTTGAAGCTCTAACTCCTTAAGCTAATTTTAGCAATTTGTGTTAAACTGAGAATCTTTACATATCAGATGTTATTCACCAAGCAGTTATTGAGGTGAATGAATAAGGAACAGAAGCAGCAGCAGCAACAGCAGTCCTTATGAGGGAAAGGTGTGCTTTAATAATTAATGAAACCCCTGAAGTCCATTGTGATAGACCCTTCTTATTTACTATTACTCATGTTCCTACTCACACTGTATTATTTTTAGGTAGAATAACAAATCCATAAAATATTAATTGATTGAATAATTGATTAATTATTAATAGCACAATAATTGTTTTATAAAAATTAAAAAAATAATATGTATTTGTACTATAAATATTTTAGTTAAAATCGATTATTAAAGAAAATATAAAATTTTTAAATAAATAAATAAAGTATTTATTATTATTTTTGCTATAACTTTATTTTTTACTTTTTAAATAAAATAATATTTTTAGAATTTTTAATCGAATATATATCCTAAAATTAAATTTAAAAAGATTTTAAAATGAAAAAGTATGAAGAATATTTTTCAAATATTGTTAGGAAATATATTAAATAATAGTTTTAAGATATTAGAAAATATTATTTTTGATTCAAAATATATCTTGAAAATTATATGTAATTTTTAATAAGTATCAGCAATAATAAATAGATTAGCTAGAATGAAATTTATACCAATAAAAATAGATTTTAATATAAAATTTAACTCTTTGTTAACTCTTTTTAAGTTTTATTTTTTTATTTTTTATTTTTAAAGTTTAATAAGTTGGCTAGCTATTCACATTCATTTTCGTTCATATAATTTGCAACTATTTATTTAATTATTACCATAAATCATCATTAATATAAGTGATTCATTTTTTATATAACTAAAGCTAAAAGTTAATATTGCATTTATAATTTTTTACTAATATCCAATAAATTATTCATTAATTTACATCAATAAAATTTATTCATCAATCAGACAGAATTAAGATATTTTCACCATAAAAATAATCCATAAAAATATAATCAAAAAACTTAATCTAATTATTTATTATTTACCCGGATCTATCAATAACATCAATTGAATTCCTCAAAAAATAGTAAACTATTATTGGCTTTACTTTTCATTTTCTATTTTTATTTATTAATTCATAATACTAACTATTTATTTATTTATTTTTGTAGATAAAAGTTTTCATAAATAAAACTATAATTCTTAAATAATAAATTTAAAATTATTTTTGTGTCTCTTCATTTTTTATTTTTAATATTATTAAGTATATTCTACATTATTGTTAATCAAGACATACAGGGGGAGGGAAGCTAAAAATCAAATGGATCTATAAAAATCTATGATAACTCTTAAAAAGTTTTTAGAAATAAAATTATGCTCAAAAATTTGAGGCTGAAATCCTACCTAGTATTTAGTGAAAATTTGAAATAGATTCTCGCAATTTATAAAGAAAACAAATCTTTTAATTATTTATTGTAGAGGTAATTATATTGTAGACTCAAATTGATCATAAATTAGTTAATATTTATCTATTTGATATACTAAAATATTGATTAAGATTGCTTGATAAAAGATTTATAACTTAAATTAATATCATTCTTATTTTTGATATAAAGATTAGGATTTATTTACTTATTTGTATAATTTATTAATTAATAATAAAAATAAAAAGTGCGTATTAAATAATACAAATATAGAAAGATAGATAAATATAAATAGAAAGATGGACGTAAAATCTCATCCTGTTAGCAGCTTCTCTCTCAATTACTTTAAATTAATCTCTGAGAAAAATAACTTCTTCTTTTCCCCTGCTTCTATATACCTAGCATTAAGCTTAACTGCTGCAGGCTCTGCAGGTTAAACCCTCAAAGAATTCTAAAATGTATTGCATTTTTAGAATGTAGAAGAAATGGGAAAATAAATAAGTTCATTAAGCGAATAGCTTTAGCAATCTTCCTAGTCCTTCACTGTTTCTTCAGCTAATAGAATCTATACCGGAGTTTCAGCAGTAGTAAACGATTATAAATAATTTGTTGAAAAATATTTTCAATCAGGATTTGAATAAGTTGACTTCAGCTAAACCGAAGCTGTTAGGTAAAACATAAACTAATGGGTCTCCAAACAAACAAGAGAAAAAATCTAAGAACTTTTATCAAAAGATAGTATTAATGCTGCAACTAGAATGGTATTAGTAAATGCTCTATACTTAAAAGCAGATTGGCTAAACAAATTCCAAAGCAATAAAACAGCTGACTCATACTTTTATCTTGAGCCAAACAATTAATAAAAAAAAGTAATGATAAAAATGATGAATAATGATGGAATTTATGGATATGGCAAGTTTGATAACTTTGAATATGTTTAGCTTCCTTACTAAAATCTAAACTTTGCTATGGAAATATTTTTGCCTAGTAATAATATCTAAGATCTAGAGTCTTAATTAACTGCAGAATAAATGCAAAATGCTTTGAAAAAATCATAAAAGACTAATATCAAACTATCCATCCCTAAGTTCAAAATGAGTGGAATCTCTCATAAAGTATTAGATGTTCTAAAAACTTTAGGGATCAATGAAGCTCTGACAGGAAATGCTGACTTCAGCAAACTATGTGAAACAGAGAGTCTTTTCATATCAGATGTAATTCATCAAGCAGTTATTGAAGTAAATGAATTAGGTACAGAAGCAGCAGCAGCAACAGCAGTTATTATGTCAAGAAGTGCTATGATTAATAAAAATCCAGAAGTTCGTTGTGATAGACCTTTCATATTTACAATCACCCATATCCCTACTCACACAATACTATTTATGGGAAGAATAACTGATCCATCAAAAATTAATTGATTAATAATATATAAATAAATAAATAATATTTTATAAATATTAAAAACTTTTAAGTGTATGAGTGAATGGAAAATGTTTGAATAATAGTAAAAAATCATTTTTTTTAATTAAAACTTTTTATGTTTTAAGTATCAAATAAATAAATTTCTCTTTTAAATATATACTAACATTTTTTGATTAAATAAATGCTTTTTGTTTATAATAAAAATATTTAAAAAATTATTTTGTTTAAGAATAAAAAGTATTTTTTGCAAAATAATAATTTTTTATTTAATATTCTGTATGTTTAAATAAATGATTTGTCTTGAATAAATTTAATTTTTATTGATAAAGACGACATAGGGTGGTATATTATCCAAAAGTAAAAAATATTAAGGAAGAACCAAAATATTTAACTCTAAAAATTAAATGTTTGATTAAAAATTTAGATTTCTTCATCAAAAAATTAAATCTTTGATTAAACATTTTTTACTTATTTTTTTTGTTTGTTTGTTTATGTTCAAAGCCTATTTCGATATATTCTTTATTATTTTATATTTTCATTAAATAATAATATTTACTATTATACTCCTTATTTATTTCCTACTAAAGAAATAATTATTAGAGAATTGCAATGCTTATCTAACAAAAAATTATGTGTTAATTCTAAAATAAAACAAGCAATCTGATTTAGAGAATCTATTTATTTTAAATATCTAAATTTATTTAATATAATTAATTTGTTTTTTATAAAACATTTTAAATTAATTATTTTATCAAAATATTAAATAACTAATTTGATAGCAATTTTAAAAGATTATTTCATTATTAAATAATAAAATTTACCAATAAAATAAGGCTTTAGTTTTAAAATAATATCTTTATTATACGTGTATATGTCTTTTTATCTATCAATCTTTTTATTTTATTTATACATCAAAAAAAAAAATCTATAAAGGTATAGTAGAATGAATCATTAAAATATTGAAAAGATGAGAATTTAATTGTTGATTTAATTAATCAAAAAAGATATTTAGTTGCCAAATAATATATTTAATTAACTATGTGTTATTTAACATTAAAAAAAGTTAAAAAATTGTTAATTTTTGATATCTACTACTGAAAATTAAAAAATGACTGATAGATTATAAATCAAGCAAGCTAAAGAATCAATACCAAGATATGAAGTTCTTGATGATTCATAAACACTAAACCTAATTTTTGATGCTTTAAATTAGATTCATCATTAAAAGGATTTGTTAATCAACTAAAATTTAGATTAATTTTTAGATGTCATAAATCTTAATATTTTCGTGAAGTAATTCGAGCATTTAATCATTGAGGATTAGCAATCATTTTTATAACTATTAGAAAATATGAATAAGGTTAAATGTTTTAAACTTATTGTTGAGTCCTAATCTTTTATAGAATAGGATAGCTTTTTTAAGATAGTTTAAGTAATCCAAAATAAGGAATAGTTAGAAGAAATAGAGTTAGACTTGAATACAGCAATATAATTCAACTTTTTAGAAAAAATTGGCATTTGTTTATAAAATAAATCTAATTTAAACAAAATTAGCATTAAAGTTTAAAAAAATATCTTTGAGGAAGATTAATTCTAATGTATAATAGAATAAATAGCTAAGTTAGAACAACTTTCATCACTTAGTTTAGAGTTAGATTTCTCAAAACTCGTAGTGAATGGAATTACTATTCTTTCTTAAAATTTAAAATGCTTGAAGAATTTGAAAAGTTTGAGCCTTTCTTTGAAGACTTCTGATATCTTTTTACGAGGATTTTCTGAATTTTTTAAGATTTTAAAAGAATTAAACATGCTCGATTCTTTGAAGATTAAAGTATCTGAGCCACCTGTTTTTAGCTCTGAAGAAATCGATTTATTTATTGAAGGATTCTAAAAATTAAATTAGATCAAATCTTTAGATTTATCGAATTTTTTTGGAAATGTATTTTTGGATGATGAAATTAGAATATTAGATGCCATCAAAGAAAAATAATTAAAAAGCATTTCATTGCATTTTGGTTTATTTGGGAAATTAAATGAGAAATAAAAATCTGTAATTGGATAGTTTCTACAGAAAGCCAAATAAACAACTCAAGAATTTGAATTAGGATTCAGTAAAATTGCATAAATAGACACTGATTTTGCAAATTAAATATCTTAATAAATTTAAAATTTTTAAGAAATCAAGTAATTAACTTTAATTTTCAATGGAAACTTTTCTACGAAGGGACTTGAATTTATTTTATCTTCTCTATAAAATTTAACAAGCCTAAATACATTGAATTTGCAGTTCTCTATGATATTAAGTTTCTACAACTTCAAATAATTATTTAACAGTATTTCATAGCTAGTGAATTTAAAAAAATTAGATTTAGCATTTGATAATATAAACTTTGAGAAGAGCTATTTTAATGGAGTTATTCATCCTTTTTATAAGCTATAGAATTTAACAGAACTTACATTCAATTTTACTCATTCAGAGTAAGTAGAAATTTTAGAGTTTTTTTTCGAAGGATTGCAATATTTGCATTAATTAAAGTATCTTTCTCTTGATGCTATCTTTTTAAGCAGACATTTAAATGAAAGAATATTTGTAAACTTAATTAATTCCTTAAGTTAAATAACTTAACTGAAATATCTTAAATTTAAAATAATTTCTAATCCTTTTGATGATGAGATAATATTAGTAAATATGTTTGAGTAGCTAGGGTATTTGGAGAAGCTAGAACATATTGAGTTTGAAATAAATACTAACTATACAATTGACATTATTTCAGGATTTGGAGGTTGGTTGAAGAAATTATAATTGTTGAAATATCTGGACATCACATTCAAAAATGTAGTTTCTATAGAGGAACTTCATTGTTTGATGTCTTATTTGAATCTTTCAAACTTAACTAATTTATACTTGAAATTTGAAAAGTTGAATAGCGATGATGTCAGAGAAAACATATTAGAATCAGACTTTTAACCTCTAAAAAAACTAAATGTTTTATAAATTAGCTCCCAAGCTTAGAAAAAATAAAATATAAATCTATATGTGCTATTCTTGAAAGCAATTTAATATTTATAAAATTTATAATTCCTAGACTTAAATTTAGGGTCATGTATGCCTATCGTGGACCAAGCAACATTTTATTTAAAATAATGTTTTAATGCTTTAAAAAACCTCAAAGAATTAAGGCTAGTTGTTTATTTCCCAGACAATAATTTGAAAAAGCAAGGATTTTAAGATTTTTGCATATCTTTTTCATACTTGGAAGAACTAACAATTTTATCTGGAATATTTTCTTTCCCTAATAACATAAGCTCAAATATAATTTAATCATTTTAAAGTTTAAAAAATATCAAAGAACTAAATTTAAAATTGGAATCATATCAATATTCTAAAGGGAATCCTTATATCTAATATGCAATTTTAGATAATCCTTAGTAATTCTCTAAACTAACTAAAATGTAATTAACATTTAACTATTCATAGAGTGATTACTCTCTTTCGAATTTTTTGAAGATCCTATCTAATCAAAGGTAATTAACTTCTTTCCTTTTACAAGTTGAAGAGAAATATCAGTTAAGCAATGAAGAAATAGAATAACTTGGTAAAACACTTTTAAATTTGACTTAATTAAAATAATTTGATTGCTATTTATTTTCTGACTGCTAAATTGAAGAAGAGTCATTTAAAATTCTTTCTAATGGTGTTTCATAGCTGTAAAATTTACATTCGCTTTCTTTTTAAACTGATCATTATATGAGAATTCCTTCATTAGCAATCGATAGCTTTTATTAGTATGTCACAAAATTAGAATACCTAAAATTCTTAAATCTAGAATTAAATGACAATCTTGGTTTATCAAATTTTTCATTTGATAAATTTATACCTAACTCTAATTATATCCCTCTTTTAGAATTAGAATTTATAGCTACTAAGAAATAAAAATTTATAAATATTTTAAGTGACTTCTTAATTTGTACTCTATAAAGATCTAAAAATATGTAAAAACTTACTATTTCTTTTGAAGGAGATAATTATTTGGGGAGTTAATCAATCGATAATCTTGCTCAATGTATTTCTAATTTACATAATTTGCAGTAAATAGATATTGAAATAAAAGCATAGAATTATCATAATGTAAATGACGAAAATATGCAAAAGCTTGTTTAATCATTAAATAATTTGAAAAAACTTCATTCGTTAGAATTTAATTTTAGCACTTCAATTTCATAGTCTGCTTTAACTTTCCTAAGTATTAAAGAATTGTTAGTCACTTAATAAAATATCAACAAATTATCAACTAGAGTTTCTTTTGATAGACCAATAACTTTGGAAAAAATTAATGATTTTGGTCTTTTCTTGGTTGGAAAGTAAATAAGCATAATGGAATTAAACCTAAACAAAGTAGATGAATGGTTTATATTTGACTTCAATTTTAAATCTATTTAAAATTAATAATTTAATGTAAAAGTAATATTTAAAGATGAATAATTACCATGCTTTCTATTTATGTATGAGATATTAAAACGCATTCCAGAAAATTGCTCTGTTGCACTACATATTAATCCTAAATTTTACAATGAATTAAAATAGAATGATTTAGATATTCTAGCAACGCAAGAGAAGATAATCAAATTAAAAAAAATATTAATTAATTTAAATAAAATGAATTAAGAAATATTAGTTATGCTTTAACCGATATTATCAGCTAATAGGATTTAAAATATTGAATTTATATTTGATTTAAGTTAGTACCATACCACTTAATAAGAGCTATAATAAATTTTTGATAATCTCATGTTAATAGAGCATCCAATAAAACTATCATTAGATATCATATTTTATAATGGAAATTAAATGCAATTTCTTAAAAATTTAGTTATTTTATTAATGAAGAAATTAAAATAATTAAGAATATTTTAATTATCAATTTTTTATTTTCCTTTTCACGATAAAACAATTCAAGGTGAAATCAGATAAAAGATAATCAAAACTAATCCTAGATTAGTTGATTTAAAATCAAAATTGAATAGTTGAGCTCATAAATAATTTATTATTTAATTTAATTTAATAAATGTATATTCTTTTTATTTATTTATTTAAAAATTTCTTTTTTTTACATTTTCAATATTTATTATTTTTTCTTTTTTTTCAGTTTTTAAATTTTAATAAATTTTATAAATTTAAACAAAAATGTTATATAAAACAAAAAATTAAAAATTATCTATTAGAGTTTGACTGTTGTTTAATTAAATGAATAAATAAACAAATAATTAAAAATTTATACTTAAATATGTTAATTTTAAATTTAGTTATTTGTTTTTTTATTATAAATTCTTGGTATAGAATGTATTTTTAGGTACTTTCAAACTCAATTTTGACTCAGAGAAGCTTTATTATATGTTGTTTTGGAGTGTATATTGAGTGTTTGTTACTGTATAAAGTATTCCTGTGAGTATTTTCGAATAAGTCTATCAAAATTTTAGTTTTATCTAAGTAAAATGATTGTATGTTATCTGCTACAATTTGTTTTTCAAACACCAAAATAGAATAAAAATATGAATTAATTGATTTCATTTATTTTTAAATTTGTTTTGAGCAATCTAATTTTGTAAGAGTAGATTAATTAATCAACCCATATCTGAAAAATCTTTCAAAAAGAATCTAGCTTCTGCTCAATGGAGATATTTAAATTTTGATGCCACTAGGGAAAATTTGTGTTTCGCTTAAAAATTGAACCATCATCTATTCAGATATTCTAAGCTTTTAAATATTCAAAAAGAATTGACTTTTACTGACTGAGATAATTTCATGAACATGGAAGAAACCTTTATCTACTTAAACTCTCACCAATCTTGATAAAAAGCGAATGGAATTCATGGCATTTAAAAATTATGAATCATATTTCACGAGCATCCTTTCTTTGAGGGCTTTTTCATTCTCAAGTTCATCTTCATCCATGAGCTGCATTAAATCTTAAGACAATCTAAATTACTCAAGCTCTTAAGACTCAAACTTGTCTTTGGCTACTTAAAAGATGATTACGAATTGTACGTTAGAGTTATTAAGTATATGAATGATGATGCTATCAATGGTCATATCTCCTTAATGAACTATCCAAATACTTCTTGATATATAGAAAGCAAATATAAATTTCATAACTATATAAGTAGCTACTATAATTAGTATTGCAGCGTTCTAGTAAAGCAAAAAGGTTTCTTTGAAAGATTAATAGACATCACTAGACTTATCTGAGATGAAGCTTACTTCTGCAACAAATAAAATAATGCAGACATGAACAGTAATATCAATAATTCCTGAAAAGTTTAATGCATTCTTTATATAATTTGGGATATCTAGATCTTTTTCTATTTAAAAAGCCTTTAACACACCTGTGCTTCTTATGAAATTTAAGGTCCCATATTCATTCCAGTTCAAAGAAAAATTTAAAAACTTTTTTAATAATTCAATAGAAACTTAGTAAGCAATGCCATAAAGTACTACACAAACTCCAAAAAATCTGTCACTCATTTAAACCTGAATTGTATATAAATTATATAAACAAAGCTAATAGCCAAAAGGACTCATAAGCAAGGAAAGAAACCTAAATTTATTTAATGCATAGTTAAGTTCCTCAGAAGAATTATCTACACTTAATTGATACAGACAAAAGGAGTATGCCAATACAGTGATATTACTTATAATAGTGAAATCCATTACTGCTGGTCTCCACCAGCCATACTACTTATAGTCTTTCTCAATGAGCTAATACCCAAAATAAAACCACATCTATAAATACACTATAGGAATAATGCTTAAATAGAATTTGGCAATGAAAAATGTGCATATATCTCTAACTTTCTTTTGCTTGCTTAAATAAAGGAATCCTAAGTTCAATATATCAGTCATTACAAGCTATTCAGGTTTCTCATATCCCATTCTTCTTAGAAAGAAGAGCAAAATTATTTTTTCTAATACATAAAAAGTCGTAAAATAGATAAAATAGAAATAATGCCTATTGAGTAGTTAAAGTATTGCCATAAGGACATTCAAAGCGGATACAAAATAATACAAAACGCAAAAGAAAATAGACATTTTCCTAAACAAATCCTCTCTTAACTCTTTATTATACATCGTCATTTTGCTAAGTTTGCTATTTAACTAAGAATATATACAAAATTCCCTTAATTTCTAAAGATATTATAATTTATTTACTGCTACTTTCTCAACTTTTAAATTAATTCAAAAAAAATAAATAATATCTAATGATCGCATAAAAAATAATTAAAATTGCGATTTTAAATGCTAATCAAATCAAGCAATAAAACCAACCAACAATTTTCTAACTAAGTATAAAAATAATTCAATTAATTATTATTTATTTTTACTTTAAAATTATTTCTAAAGTATTTTCTAACAAAAAATACTAAAATATTATAATTTTAAATTATTTCTGCAATAAATTTCTTTATTTACTTAGTTAAATTAGTTTTTTGATTAAAAACATTTTTATAAAAATTTATTTTTATATTTTGTAATCTATTTTAAAAAATTATTTTTGATTATTAATAGTTTAACCTTAATTAATGAGATACTAAAGTATATTATAAGCAAAATTAATTGAAGTTTTTGAATTAAATCATATATATTTTATTTATTATTAATAGTACTTAGTTATAACAATAAAATATATTTGAATGATTATTATTTTTTATTTATAAATTTATAATTAAAAATTATTTTAAAAATTAAAACATATTTAAAAATAAATAAGCATACAAGTAAGCATCATAGTAAGTAGAAGCAAAAAAGTATTCGTTAACTTTTGAATGAAGAATAAAAAGCAATTATTTATATGAAAAAGAATCAATTTATGTTTAATTAATTTTAAGCATTTTAATGATTTTGCATATGAAAATCTGCAAAGAAATAGTTGATTAAGATTGGTTCTTACAATAAATGAATGATCTGTTTATTTTAGAAAGATAATGCGAAGCAATAAATTAAGGGTAAAATTAAAATAGTAGAAAGTAAATTAATTAATAGAAGCAAAGATTTATAATTAATTGTTTGAATAATCAAAAATTATCATTATAAAAATAGATAAGGTTTTGTTTAATCAATATAGCGAATAGCCCATTATTAATTATTTAATATATACAAAAGCTTAATCAAATTAAACTTAATAAAAATGCCTAGAAAAGAGAAGAAGGGAAAGACAAGAAAGGATGTCCATTATTATATGGCCAAGGAATACGGTTACCGTTCTAGAGCCTGTTTCAAATTGATTTAGATTAATAAAAAATATGGTTTTTTAGAAAAGGCTAATGCCGTTATTGATCTCTGTGCTGCTCCTGGTGGTTGGTAAGCATTTACTTTCACCATTCTTTTTATTAAATCATCAATTTGCTTTACAAACTATTAAAATATTTTGATTTGTCTTATCATTTTTTCTATTCCTATAGGTTATAAGTTGCTGCTAAATTTTGTCCTGTTACTTGTACAAAAATAGGTCTCGATCTTGTTCCTATTAAGCCTATTCCAGGAGTTAAAACCTACGTTTAAGATATTACCGCACCTGTTACCTATTAATTGGTAATTATAAATTTATTTTTAAGAATGAAAACTATAAAATAGTCAATAGCCCAACATACATTTTAGAATTATCAATAAAGCTATTTATTATTTATCGATGCTTATTTTTATTAATTGATGATATCATTTCTCATTTTATTAACTAATTATTTTGTTATAAATTTAGCTTAAAAGAGAATTAAAGGGAGGTAAAGCAGATGTTGTACTTAACGATGGTGCCCCTAACGTCGGTGCTAACTGGTAAAAAGATGCCTTCAATTAAATTGAACTTACATTAGCTGCACTTAAACTTGCAGTCAACTTCTTAAGAAGAGGTGGTACTTTTGTTACTAAAGTTTTTAGATCTAAGGATTACAATGCTCTTATTTGGGTTTGCAACAAGTTCTTTAGAAAGATAGAAGCCAATAAACCTAAGGCTTCTCGTTTCACTTCTGCAGAAATTTTTATTGTCTGTACTGATTTCATTGATCCAGATTTTATTGATGATAAACTTTTCGATGCTAAGTATATCTTCAAGGTAAAAATAAATTTATTTAATATAAAAATCAAGTATGTATCTATATATCAATCAGTTTATGTAGAAATACATGAATAAATATATTATCCTACTTTATTTATTAATTTGTATCTTTATTAGAAAATTAGAAATAAATTAAAATAGATTTGCAATTATTGTTTTATTTTAATAGGATACTGAAGATGATTATTATACATAACAAGTTGAACATGAAGTTAATTCTATTGATAAAATTATGGCAAAGAGAAGAAAGAGAGTTGGTTATGGTGACGATGTTAAACAAACTGTTTTCCAACCAATAACATTTGAAGAATTTGTTAATATAGATAATCCTTTTGCAGTTTTCTTGACTCATAATTCTATTTCCTTCCCTAAAGACTAGTTAGAAAAATATATTCCCATGACAGATCCCCCTAAAGACTGGGAAATAATATGCGAAGATATTTTAGTTATTGGTAAAAGAGAAATAGCTTAACTTATTAAATGGAGAAATAAAATTTTGCATATCTAAAGAAAAAATAAAGAATAAGAAAAAAAAAATAAGCTGAAAGCTATCACTGACGGAGATCAATAAGGTGATGAAAAATAAGATTAAGAGTAATCTAGTGAAATGGATGTTGAAGAAAATGAAGAAGATTGGGAAGATGAAAAAGGTAATAGTGAAGAAGAAGAAGATGATGATGAAGAAGAAGAAGATGATGATGAGGAAGAAGACGAAGAAGAAGAAGATGTAGACGAAGATGTCGAAGAAGGTGATGATGAAAAAGAAGATGATGAAGAAGAAGAATAAGAAAATAAAGAAGATGTTGATGAATAATTAGCAAAAGAAATTAGAGAAGACCAAAAGAAATAATTAAAGAAATAGAGAAAATAAAAAGAAAAATTATTAAAGGGTATCGCAAAGAAAGCTATCGGTGTTGAGTTTGCAAACGATATTGTTGATGAAGAATTGTACAACATGAATTAACACAAGGAAGTCATGAATATGGAATATGTTGAAATGTCCGATGAAGATAATAAGACAAAAGAAAAAATCGTAAACAAATAATTAAATAAAATAATTTTATAATTAACAAATAAAATAATAAATAGCCTAATAAGATTTCATTCAAGAATAGTAAAGAATTAGAATAAAATTTAGAAGCTATGTATGAATAAAAGTAATTGAGATAGTAAATTTCTAAGAAGAAGAAAGCTAATAAGGTAAATAAATCTACTAATTTTAACTTCTAGCCAAATAATTAAACCAAATTTTATTATTAAGGATGAAGCATAAATGGATGATAGCAAGATTTAGGTTTAATCTCTTAATGAAAATAAATTTAAAAATCCTCATCTCAAAGAAAATGAAGAAATGCTCGAAAGCGGTATTAAGAGAAGAAAGTGGTTTGATAAGGGAGTATTCAATGATGATTTTTCTGATGATTCTAGCATGTAAAGTGAAGATGCAGGTGAATTAGATGTTCCTGATGATTCTGAAATCGATAATGATTCTCTTTATGATGAAGAAGATAAATCTAAGAATAAAGGTTTCATTAATCCTTTGAAAAAATCTCATTTATCTTCAAGATAAAATGGGGACGACGATGATGATGAAGAATTTAACTTTGGAAGTGAAGATGAACAAGATGATGATTAAAATAATGGATACATTGATATGTATGATGATACTATTTACATCGGTAAGAGACCCAAGAGTGCTCACGATGATATTGATCCTAATGAAAAAGTACCAGGAGAACTTTCAGATGATGATGCATATATTATTTAAGTAATAAATTAAACCCATTAATGATTTAACTAAAAAATATTAATTTTATTCCTAATTAGGTACCTAAATCTGATATGGAAAAAAGAAGAAGAGCTATGAAGAGAGCTGAAAAGAAAAAATTGAAAAAGGAAGAAAACCCATAAGTGAAAGATGATGGTTTTGAAATTGTCCCTAAATAAGAAGATTACGATATTGATAATTTAGCAGAAACATTAGCTTTAGCAAAGAAAATGCAAAGAAAAAGAGCAAGAGAAGATATTATTGACTCTACTTATTCTCGTTATGCCTTTGAAGACCAAGATAATCTCCCTACATGGTTTATCGAAGATGAAAAGCAACACAACTTTAAGCATCTCCCAATTACTAAGGAAGAAATATAAGCTGAAAAAGAAAGATTGATGGCTATTAATAGAAGAGCTCCTAAAAAGGTAAAAAATTTAATTTTATTATTTGAATAAATATATCCCAAAACTATACTTTAGATATAATCAGGATAAAATCTATTGATTAATTGTAAAATATTTGTTAAAAAGCAATTTAAACGAAATATATTTTTAAATTTTGGATCATCAGGTTATCCATTAATCTATTTTAATATTTTTAAAAAATAATATTTAAAAATAACTAATTAATTATTTCGTTAATTTAAAAATAGATTATAGAAGCTAAGATCAGAAACTATAAAAGAATGGAAAAGAAGATGAAGAAGGCTAAGAATAAAGCAAACTAAATTATGGAGACTGAAGGTATTTCTGAATAAATGAAAATAAAATAAGTTAAAAGTCTATACGCTAAAGAAAAAAGAGGACTTAAGTAAGAAAAGAAATATATAGTTGGTAAAAAAGGTACTGCTCCTGGTAAGAATTCTAGATTTGTCAAACACGTTGATAATAGATTAAAAAAAGATAGAAAGGCTCTTTCCAGATTGTATACAAATAAAGGATCTAGAAAAAGACAAGTTAAGCGTCATAAAGGAAAGAAATAAAAAAGTTGATTAAATAATAAATAAATAAATAATTAATTAATAGTAAAGCCATGCTTTTATTTTAAAATTACATGTATATATTTGCAGTATGTATGTGCTCTATCAAAAATCTTTCATTCTAATTCTAATCATTTACTTATTTATTTGTTCATCAACTCATTCATTCATATGAATTATCCCATCATAATCGTAATAAACTCGAAACAATATTAAAAAATAACAAAATTTTATTTTAATTTCAAAAATTTTGACCAGTTATTTATTTAGTCAGACCGAATAATTATATATTATTGTTTTGTACTAAAAGTGAGTGCCCACCAATTATAATAAAAGTTTAGAGAAACCTACATTTATTATTTAAAATATTCAATCTTAAAATTTTCATTTTTGGAAAAGAAAAACGAAAGGGTAAGTTGATAGGTAAGTTCATTTATATTAATAAAATATATAAATATTTAACTCTAAATTAGCTTAATTTATTTAAATCGAATAAAGAGAAAGACATAAAATGAATAGATAAAATTATATTCTTACACATAAAATGTTATACATTTAATTATTTTAAATTTGTAGACTTATTAATTAGCTAGTGGTCGAATAGAATTAAATTGTATTATTCTGATAAAACTCTATTTAAAAAAGAGATTTAATAAAATTTTCCTCCTTTCTTCCAAAAAAGCAGTTTTTATTAATCCAAAATTTTCCAGAATTTTTCTATTTCAATAAAAATAAATTGTTTTTTAATTTATATTTAAAATCACGTAATAAAATATCTAAAATGAAAATTATATTGAATCTGATTTATTATTTCGACATTAAAATGAGAAAAATAAAATTTATATTATTTGTTTCATTTTTCTCATTAACTTAGTTAGCTCATATTTTTGGAAATTTTTGAAATATTGTTTATGGAATAGAAATTTGTATAATTAATTTGATATTATAAATTAATTTATTACTGGCGATAAATTTAAAAAGGATAATTTAAAAGCAAAGATAAACTTAAAAACTTAATAATAATAAATTATAAATAGATAAATAAATTAAATTTACTTTTAATAAAATAAATAATTCTTATTTATTTCTAGCAAGTATAAATAGAATCAAAGTTTAGTTACTTTATGAACAGATTAAATTATAGAGATACAATTCTGAAGAAATAAAATTATGCTAATAGGAGTTTGTTAAAAGAAATTTCTTTAAAAAACAAAAAAAATTCAAGGGAAATCTTAAACAATTAAGAATATAGCAAAGCTTAGACTATTTTAATAAATAAATTTAATTAAATTAGCATAAGAAATGCACTAGAAAGTAAGATAAATATTACAGTAAATTATTCTGGTTTGACCATCAATAAAAAACACAAATAAAAACAGACATTAATTAATCAATAAAAGCTTTAAAGCTTTCGCCAAGAGTATGCTGAGAATAAAGTTATAAACAGAAATGATTATTTAACTTATAATGAGTTCAATATATCAGAGGATTAGTTATACTATAGCGATTAAGTAAAGTTAATCAAGATAGGATCTACAATTAAAGTTGAAGCTTTTGAAATGAAAAAGCTTTTAATTTTGATAAATCATTTACTTTTTTTTGTTTACTTAAAATTTCTTTCAATTTTCAACATACTAAAATAAATTTATTTAAAGAAGCATTTTAAAAATTAAAAAACATAAACTTTACATGCAGTAAATCAATAAATTTAATAAAAATTAAAAGTAAAAAACTACATAGTAAGCTAAATACTTTATTAATCAGAAGAATAAAATATTTTTGGTGGTTTTTAGATTAACTCAGATCAGTAAAAATAAGAATTTATTTTCTAAGAAATTAAACCCTCTTAAATATAGTGTGTCCATAGAGATTCTGCTATTATTTTTTTGGAAAAATAACTAAGTCTCAAACAAGTAGAAAAAATTAAGATTGAAGAAAATCAAATAATCGTCTTTAATAAATGTGATATTTAATTAATACTGGATATACCTAAACAAGTTTGGAATAAATAATGGTTTGAGGTATTGAATGAAAATATTCGTTTTCCAAAAATAAAAAGTTAGCTATAAAATATTTTAAGCTAACTGGAATAGAAGAATTATTATCTTTGTCAGTATATAGCAAATGGAGGAGAAGGAGTTGTTTTCAAAGGATATCAAGTTAAAGATGGTAAATATGTGAATTTGGCTTTCAAAATTTATAATTTAGGAGATACAAAAGATGAAAAAGAGATTGAAGAGGAGATAAATATTATGAGTATATTTGAGAAAACAATAAATGTAGTTTAAATATTTGATTTCATTAAAATTTCTTAAAAAGTATATATCCTCGTTTTCGAATTATGCCATAAAAGTTTAAAAGATGAATTAAATCAAATAGAATAAGGTGAATTTTCCTTATTTAAATTGCTGAAAATTATTTTTGATTTAATTGATGGATTAATAGAGCTAAGAATTTATAATATTTTACATCTTGATATTAAACCTGATAACATATTAATTAATAGTGATGGCAACTATGTTTATGCTGATTTTGGTCTCTCATCACTGAAAACAAATAAAGAATAATAGTATATTAAAGGATATTCCAAATCTTATTCTCCTAGTGAAATAATGAAATTGGAAAACGATTTAATTGATTTTAAATCTGATGTCTATTCCTATGGATAAACTCTGTTATATATAATAAAAATTTTTTTAAAAAGTTGTCATGCTTCTGATAAAATAATAGCTGAAAGCATTGAAAACATTCTTCGATGTCATGTTGTTTAAGAAAATATAAATTAGAGATTAGATTGTTTTGAATTACACACAAAGTTCTTAGATTTTTTATTTAAAGTTAATTGTAAGCCATTTTTGGAATAATATTTAAATAAAATTCCAAAAATCTTAAAATTATCTCCTTACGATAAAAATAAAGATTCAAAATTTTTTCTAAAAATAGAACTATATTTCCACACCAACATTTTAAACTTGTAAAAGTAGTAAATTCATTTTAATTTTATAATTATTTAAATTAATTAATTAATTAAAACACTAGGTATTTATATGAAGGAAACAATGCTGATATTGCTAGAACTTTGAATAATGTTGGACTATGCTACAAAAACCTCGGAGATAACAAGAGATCAATGTTATATTTGTAGGAATCTCTTGAAATGAGGAGATAAATTTACAGCAAAAACCACCCTGAATTAGCTAGATCATATAATAATGTTGGGATATGCTATTAAAACCTAGAAAATAATGATAAAGCTTTAATTTATCTTAAAAAATCTCTGAAAATGAGAAATTAAATAATTTAGGGAAATCATTCAGATGTAGCCAAATCTTTAAATAATTTAGCTTTATGTTATATAAATAAGAAATAATATGATAAAGCTTTAAAGAAGTTGGAGAAATCACTAGAAATTAAAAAAAAAGATCACATAGAATAGCATCCCTGTGTTGCAACTACTCTAAATAACATAGGTACCTGTCATTTTAAACTGAAAGATTATGAAAAAGCTCTAGAAAACTAGTAAAAATCTTTAAATATCTATAAAATAGCATATAAACAAAATTCGAATCATGTAGATATAGCAAACACTCTAAATAATGTAGGATTATGTTATTTAAATAGTGGCAAAATAGATCAAGCCTTAATAAACTTTGAAGAGTCTCTTAATATTTATTAAAAAGTTTATTAAAATAATCATACTTAAATAGCAATTCTTCTATATAATATTAGTTTATGCTATAAGGCAACAGCCAATCAAAATGAGCAAATAAATAACCTAGATAAGAGTTTCAATAACATTTAGTAAAAAGTATATAATAAATAAACTGCCGTTTTATATAATGATATTGGGTTATGTTTTTTCGATTTAGGGTTACAGAATTAATAGAAGGAACACTTTAGCAAATCTTTGTTATGCTTCATAAAATCCTTAGAAATAGTTTAAAAAGTAATTTAAAACGATGTTTCCTTAAAAAACACTTGCTTGAATAATATTTATTAAGTAAATTTGAAAATCTCATGATTTCTTTTTAACTAAAGTGTATCTAAATACTTTAATTAAAATGTATTTGTTATAAAAATGAAGGATTCAATAAATCAAATATTGCTTATTATTATATAAATAAATAATTTAAATTTCATTAAATTATTTTTGTTGCTAATTCATTTTATTTTATTTTTTATGTCTATTTATGTTCATTCTAAATGCTAGATATTAAAAAAAATATTTTAAAGATGATATAATCTAAATCTTCATGAATTATCTTTAATGTCTCCCCAACTTTTTTAAGCATTAATTAATCCCGCAACTAAATTTTGTAAAATTTTGTAGGAGGTGATGAATAAGATACTTAATAAAAAATTATTTACCTTTTGATATTAATTTAATAAAAATATTTTTACTTAAATGTGAGAATTATTGGTTAAAGCAATAAAAAAGATTAATTATGAGTAGATTTATTTGTTCGTAAAAAAACAAAGAAAAAAAATTAATATTGTTCAATGAAAAGATATATTTATGTATTATATATTTATTAGATTATATATTGTGTATCTATCTAACAATTTATTTATATTGATATTTAATTAATTAATTATTATTAGTCAGATTTAGTTAATAAAAAAACACATTTATATTTATTTAGAAAAAGGAATAAAGTAATTAATGGTAATTACAACTTATTAATTATCAACAAACACATATTTTTTAAACAACATTTATAAAATAGAGCTCAATAGTTTAAAAAGAATAAATTGATTTACAAGAATGTATTTCTTCAATTGATTTTAGTCCTTCAGGAGAATACGTAGCAGTTGGTTTAATCGATGAGAGCGTAAAAGTTTGGTAAATCTATATAATTTGACTTTAATGGAGAATTTAATCTTTAGTAGAGTCTGATGGTAATTTATATATATATTATAAATAGGAAGGCTGATTTTTCACAAGATATTTCAAAGCAAAAATTACATTCTTTTGAAGGCCATATGATGGGAGTAGTAGATGTTAAGTTTAATTCAACTGGAAATAGTAAATTTAAAAGCCATAAAACTAGTTAAAACAATTTTTATATCTATTTTCTTTAGGATTAGCAGTTAGCTCATTAGATTCCATGATTAGAGTATGGAATGTAGATGATGGAGAAAAGGTTTGTGAATTATAGTGCAACCCAAGTAATAAATTTGCATTTTATAAATTTTATTTAACTTTAATTAACTTAACATAGTGGAAAACTGGAAATTAGCATTTAGAGATACAAATACTCTTCTTACTGCAGGTGAATAAGGTAAAGTATCTGAATATAACATAAATTCTAAGTCTTTAATTATCACTCACTAAACAAGAGATATATTTGCAACAGCTATTGCATCAGTAAAATTTATTCAATAACTTTTTAATATTACCTACCTTATTTTGATAGCCTTTTAGAAAATATTCTTCTTAAGAATTGATTAGATTTAAAGATATTTAATTATAAAAATATTTTATTTTAAGAAACCAATAATAATGTTTATCAATAAAAATAATCTAATCTATTAATTAATAATTTAAAAATAGTCAAAAGACAATAGCAAGTTTGTTGCTATTGGTAATAACGATGGTTAGCTTTTTATTATAAACTATACTAATAATAAACATATTACTACTTCCAACTATCACGATAAGAAGATCAGATCAATCTGCTTTTCTAATGATGATATGAAGTTATTAACTGCATCTGATGATGGTTCTGCTAAGCTAATTGATCTTACTAAAAATGAAGCAATATTTACATTTAATGGACACTCAGGTAATGTTAACTGTGTAGACTACTGCCCCATAGATGAAAAATTATTCGTTACTTGGTAAATAAAATATTAATTACTTCATCTATATTTAATTAATAGATTTCTGCAATTAGAGTTAAATTAAATTGCACATTAAATAAATTGGTATAAAATATGATTGTGAATTATTTTAGCAAATATTAAGAAACTCATTTAAGAATCTACAATTTAAGTCGCTTTAGTTTATAACTTGAAAAATTAGTTAATATTGAAAGAGAATTATTCATAAATTAAATTAGATTATCCAAAACAACCTTAACTAATATTAACTATTAAAAGCAATTAAAATTTAAAAAATAAATAATTATTTCTCATTTATTTTTTGACTAATATTTTCATTAATATAAAAAGGAATAAATTTTTTATTTCAAAGGATTTAAGTATATAAAAAAAGACTTTTATGAAATAAAGCAAAAAAAACTTTTTTAAAATATTTAACAAACATAATTTAAAATGAATAAAAACTAAAATATTGAGAAAATTAATAAACTATATTTTAGATTTAGTAAATTATTTAATTTTCATAAAAAATTTGATAGAATATTCTTTGATTGAAAGATATTTCCTTTGTTAAATTTTAAAAATGAAAATATCTTTAATTTTATAAAATAGCTCATATGATTAGACTGTTAAGGTTTGGGATATAAATAAAAAGAGTTGTATTGAAACAATAAAATTCCATTAGGACAATGTTTGGGCTGCTAAATTCCATCCTACTAAAAAGATTATTGGTTCAGGTAAATAAAAATATTTTAATTTTTATATGTTCATTCTTTCTGAATAATTAAAAAAATTTATTTCTCATTCAAAATTATTAATTTAATAAAAATAAAATAATAGTTTCTGATGATGGCTTGTTAGCTTTCCATGAACTTAAATGATAGAATTAATAATGGCTAATATGAATATTTCTTTTAAAATTAATAATTGGATTAAAAGTGTATGTTTATATGTTTACTAATAAAATGTAATCATTTAATAAATATTCTTCTACTTATATATTTTGATTGCAAAAGCCTCTCGCATTTATCAAAGAAAGAATATATTATAATTTTGTTTGAATGTATATTAATTGTTTCTTACTTAATATTTTTACACGCACTTCTATTTATTTTTTCTAGTCAATAAAACTTGAAAGAATTAAGAATAATATGGACATTTAGAAAGGATTTATTATTAAGAGAAAGAATTTTAATGCATCTAGAATCATTCTAAGATTTTTGTATATATATTTAATTTGTCTTTTTGAGTTTTCATTAGTTTTCTATTCCCTTTATTTGCTTATTAATATAACAAGAATTAAATGGAATTTTATTTGTTTCTCTTTTTCTTTCATTTATTATTCATTTTGTTTATTTATTTATTTAATTTTTTGCATATATGTTTTTTCTTTATCATTTTAAAATTAAAAGAAGAGTCACCGAAATAAACAATAAACAAATAAACAAAAAAAATCTGAACATACTCATTTAATAATTAAATAATAATTTAGTTAAATTAAAAATAAGAAAAAAAGATTTGTTAAATATATAGATAGAATTAACTATTCATTTGTTCTTTCTAAGCAATTATTAATAAGTAGTCAAGCAATCAATTAACATATAAAATGGCTGAATCTAAAAAAAAAGAGTGTGTACTTTGTTACGATGAGATTTAATACATCGGTTTAGGTTAGTGCAATCACAAGGAAATGTGCTATAAATGTCACTACAAGATGAGAACATTTACTTAAAATATTTCTTGTCCTTTGTGCAATGTAAACTATCGCGCTATTTTTTTCATAATCAAACTTACTTAAAGCATTTAAATTTGTATTAATTTCTGGTTATTAAAATAATTAGAGTTTGAATGGTGATTTGATTATTACAGATGATTTTAATGCTGACTTTGATGACTTTGAGTTAGATGGCTTAGAAGTATTTGATGTAAGTCATTATTTTATATCTATCTATTCCAAATAGCTAATTGATCTATTTATTTTGTAAAAATATAGTAAAAAGCAGGAATTTATGCTACTACTGAAGAAATTTATCATGAACTGAAAAAAGTAAATGAAAATAGTAAATTTAATATCATTTTAACTTATTCTCTATTTAAAATAGCTTGTAGAAATTAAGTGTTTCGCATCTGGATGCAAAGAAGAAAATAATACATTTTAGAGTCTTGCAAATTTAAAAAAGCATTTGAAGGAAAAGCATTAGCGTTTTTTATGGTAACTTAATTTTTAATGAAATTATTGAGACAAATTTATAAACTACATCTTTAATACATAGTGACATCTGTTTAGAATACAAAACATGCGTCTTGTCTGAATAGAAATTGTACACATAGCCAGGTTTAGAAAAACATACCAAAAAGGGAGACTTCGATGAAGATGGAAATGTTTATTTCTTCCATCCCGAATGCAAAGTAAAATATGACAAAAATATAAGAAGATGTTAAAATAAATTCTTTTTGAATGATAATAGTTTTGCTTGAAGTAATTTTATGATGAAGAAGCTATCGTAAAACATATGCCTGATCACTTTACATGTCATGTTTGTGGTCCTGATTACAAATACATTTATTATAAGAACTACTAAACTTTAGAAAAGCACTTTAGAATGTCTCACTATCTTTGTGAAGACTAATCTTGTAGAAGCAATTCATTTATCGTTTTTAAAACAGCTCCTGAATTAGAAATGCATAATTGTAAAGTTCATAACTAAAGCAATTCCAAAAAGCACACTGTTAAGTAAATAAATTAAAAGAAAAAAAAAATATTACCTATTTTAATTTTAATTCTTAGCTAAATTAATCTTACAACTATGACTGGTTTTGATTTCGGAAACGGTACTGAAATCAAAACAAAAAGCAAGGATGATTAAATTAAAGATAAGGAAGGTTTGGATTTTGAAAGTCAATTCCTTTCTTTAAGAAAAACCAAAATGAAAAATACTTAAATTGATTCTCATGAAGATGAACCTATTGATTACAGAGACTTCTACTGCTAAAAGTATGACGAAAAGTATATCAAAGAAGAAACAGAAATCTTGCAACAATATTATGAAGAACACTATGGTGAATAGAAATAATAAAAAGGTGGTAGAAATAATAATAGATCCAAAACTAATACCAAAAGAAAATCTTCGTAATATTAATTCATTTTTTTTAAATTTAATTTATTTATTCTTAATAATGTAATCTTTGTCAAAAAATCAGTCAAATAATTAAAATTTTTAAATTTTTGATAAAGTTAAAATATCTACTATTTTATAATTATGATAATAAGTGAAAAAGGTTTATTAATTATATATAAGGTATATTTAAATATGCTTAATTATTAAAATATTTTTAATATAAAATAAGTACTAAAAACGATGAAGTATTTTAAGAAGATATTCCACTTCTAAGATATCATTAAATTCATCATTTAGATGATGATTAAATATTAGGAAAACTTGGATTTGTTTTAGATTAAGAAAAATATGATTAAGTTGAATAAGCAAAAAGTTTGATGTAGAAGAAGAAAATAACTGCTCTTGAATTCTATAATAAATTTGAATCTTGTGTAGGAAAAGCAATAGCATTAAGATTACTTCCAGTTTTGGCAGCAAGTTTAAATTCAAAGTATGAATCTATTTAAAAAGAATTAGATGATGTTTACATGGCTTAAATTAAATTATTACCAGCAAAGGTATACATTTTTATTATTTTTCAAATAAAAGATATTAAAAAATAACAAATATTTTTTAAAAACTTAAATTTAGAATTAAAATTTGATAAACAGCTCCACTACTTATAAAGAATTTTTCTCTAAATTTAGAACCATTATTGAGGATTAGCTTTCTAGTCGTATTAAAAGTGGTGCACTAAAATTAAACTTAAAAGATTTAAAAATGGATAGATCAAGAAGATTCTAGCTCATTGAAATTTTAAGAAGAGTTAAAACAAAAGAAATGGCTAAGCTTAAGTTTATTTCCAACTTTGGTGTCTCTGTTGATGTCAATTCTATGATTTTAAGAAAACTTTTCTTCTCTGACTTTAAAAAAATAAACGATCATTTGGATAAGATTCCCAACCATGAAATACTTCACCTCTACGTATACGTGTAAGCTTTCTCTTTCTGATTATGCTTAATTCTCAATAAAACAATTTCTAAAGCTACTTTTAAAAAACAAAAAAATTAATATATAAAATTAATTTATTTATTTCATTAATTTATAAATAAATAAATATAGGAGCTATTGTGATGATTTATTACATGGAAAAGATATTCATAAAGATAAATAGCAAATTTCAGTTAATATGTTAAAAGATTACTTCTCTACTCATCCAGAAATATATAACCAATTCTACCCTAAGGGAGAAAATGTTGACGAAGAGTACTAAGAAGAAGAATAAAAATAATAAATAGGTATTATATAAAAAACAAGCGTCATTTCAAAATCAAGTGGCCAATCTAAAGCATAGCAAATTGATACTTAAGATATTTATGAGTTCCCATCTATGAATCCTTAATAAAAGAAGGTTGTTCCTGCATCTTAAATTAAACCAGAACCTACTCTACCTGTAGAAAAGCCTAAAAATGAAAAAGAAATATAAAAAAAACTAAATGTTTAGAATAATTGGGAAAAAGCAAATGAAAATCCTTTCCTCTATGAATCTTAAGATACCAAAATTAGAGTTAATTAAGTTTTAAAAGAAGAATTCCCCACTTTAGGTGGAGGAAAACCTCTTCAACCATTCACTGTTCCTAAAAGTAACTCATTTATTTCCAAATAATATTTAATTATGAATATGTAAAACAAATTTATTAAATTACATTTTAATAAATAAATATAATAGAAAAATAACCAACATTATTTACTGAAGAGGAGAAACCTTAACCTAAAAGTCAAGCAAAAAACAATGGTAATCCTACTAAATAAGAGTCTAATTAATGGAATGGCCCAGGTAGCGAAGATGTAAATGAACACGATATAGCTAACTTAAAAGTTGTTGGAGTTAAGAAGAAAGGTAAAAAGGGATAAGTTCAAGTATCTCTTGCTGGTTACTTTAAATGAAACTAATTAATCTGATAAATTTTAATAAACGAAGATATTTAAGAGCATTAATTAAATATCTTTCTAATAAACTATTAACAAAAACAATGGCAAAGACTATCTATCAATTACTTACTTAATCAATCAATCAATCACGCTCACTCACTCACTGTAAAATATTATATAGAACACAAATTAATAATTCCATAAATTATGAAAAAGCAGATAAATGAGTGAATTTGTAAGCTAATTAGTTTTTATGCTATCCTTTAATAGTATTTATAAAATAAATCTATTTTAATAACATAACAAAATATAAATAATACAATAAGCAAACAATTTTTGGTAGATAGATAGGTTAATTATATTTATGTTTTATCTAATATTAATCAATTTAAATACAATTGCTGTATGTATCAATAAATCAATTAATGAATGAATGGTATTTTTTATTTGCTAGGTAAATAAATCTAGTTTATTTTATATTTATTGCAAATATCTATTTAATTTAATATTATCACAAATAATCTTTCTAATCCCTAAAAAATTAACAAAATAAATATTTTTTTGAAATTTAATTATTTTTTTGCTTAATATTTTAACATACCTACCTATCTATTGTCTATTTCTTACATGTTAAATTTTATAAAATTATTTTTTTTATCATCCTCTTTAGGAGACTTTAACAAAAACCCCAAAAATTTGAAAAAATATAGAATATTGTATTTAAACGCTTTATACACTATATATATAGATATTATATTAAATTTACGAATTTATTGATTGATTAGTGCCTTTATTTACTTTATCATAAATATTTTTTCATTTATTTTCATTTTAAATTAAACCTACCAGGATAAGAAATATTTCAAATGATTAATTTCTTCAAAATTTGCCGCATTCTTCAGCTTCTTCAATAGTATAAGGTTTTTCATTAGCTCTTTTTACTGATTTCTTATGGACCTTAGTAGTCTAGTGTGTCTTTAAAGATTCATCATTATTGAAATATCTAGCGCATGGAATACAATAATATTGACCAAGACCAGGTAAGTCTTCGTTAACTTCTTAATTGAGCCACTTTTCTTGATTTTCAGGTTTTATATCTTCATGGACTTGGTCCTAATCTCTTTTATAATGTCTAGTTTTAAATGTTCTGTGGAAATTTTTATTCTTTCCCTTAGTTCCCTTTCTTCTTTAAACTCCTCCCATTTATTTTTACTTAGTTGATTTAATAATATTGGTCAAAAATAATTAATGAATTAATAGAATAAATAATTGTTTGCCAATAAATTCAATCTCTAATTAAATTTAAAACAACTGAGGTTGATAAGAAATATTATCATTATTTATTAAATTCTTATCTTTAATCACTAATAGCAATTTTAATCTGTACTTTAACAAATTTATATTCTATTACTTCAAATATTAACTTATTCTATTCAAAACCCAATTTAAAAATTCATTTATTATATTTAGTCTAATTAAATCATCTTTTTTCTTTTTAAATATTTTGCTATTCTAATAAAATTAAATATAATTATTTTTATTTTCAAATTACTATTAAATATTTTATTCTTTATTTTTGAAAAAATAATAAATTTAAGTTTTATTTAATTTTCCTGATTAAAAAATAAATCAAATAATTTTTTGTTTTGATATTTATTATAATTTAAATTTAAATATTTTAATTATTTTATAAATGTCTCATAAAAGTTTTTAAAAAAAATCTAATACGTGGCTTTAAAATTTTAAAAGAAAAAGTTAGTAAAAAGATAATTAATAAAAATATTAATGATATTTTATTTATTGACTTGTCTAACAAAAAAGATACAGACACATAAAAAACAATTTGTTGTTAATTTAAAAGCTTTCTTTTCAAATTTTTAATGTTTGATTTTGATAATTAATTAATTTATCAAATAATTAAAATACTCAAATATTAAATCCGAAATGTTTTAGAAGGCTGTTACAACATTAGTTTTTGCTTTATTAGCAATAAAAGGTATTACTTTCATTAATTTTGAATAGTAATCATAAACAGAGCTCTATACCTAGTCATGGAATTTATCATTGACTAGAATCAACAGTCTTTAGCAAGTTGTTTTGGGTGAACAAAAGTTTGATATGACTAAGTATCAATTAGTAAGCGATTAAGCTCAAAAGCAATTTATGGTCAATGTAGGTTTATTCTATATAATTGCAGGTTTCTCAATTTAATACAGAGCTGTATTATTCAGATATTTATCAGGATTGATATTTATGATCATTTTCTTTGTTTACGGCATTAACAAGAAATAATTCGAAACCAATGAATATCTTGAAAAATATTATCATTTTGCTCTTTCTTTGGTCTTTTTCTTCTAACATTTGATTGAACCTAAGCTATTTAGTGAAAAAATGGTTTATAAATTACTTGATGACGAAAAAGAAAGAATGCTTAAATAAATTGAAGCCAGCAAAGTAAAGAAAGTTAAAAAGAATAAAGATAAGCAAGATTAATAAGAAACCAAAGAAGAAACTCAAAAAAGAGATATCCTTTAAGAATAATAGAATTAAAAAGAAGAAGTTTAATAAGAGGAAGAATAGGAAGAAGTTGAATCCAAGAATTAAGATGCAGTAAAATCAGATAAGAAAGAAGTCAATAAAAAAGAAAGCGATGATGATAATTAATAAGAAGAAAAAAGAAAGTTTTAAGTTGATGAAGATGGTTTTTCTGTTGTCCCTAAAAAGAATATTAAAAAAGTGTAAGAAAATAGAAAAAATGCTAAAGAGAAAAAGAAATAAATGTATGATATTTGATTAGTATTAAACACTATCTCAAAAACTATTTTTGAATAATTATTTAACTGTTATTATTTATATTTTACTTGTTTGTTAAAACAATAAATTAAATTTATTTATAAATCTTAGTTTTTCAATTTTAAATTATTTTTTAAATTTTAATTGCATTTTATTCATACAATATCAATCTTCAGACAAAAAAAAAAATAAATCTTAAAATTTAAGTTTAAAATATGTATAAGCTAAAGTAGATTTTATTTAGATTTTAAAAAATTTATTATTTATATACACGTACAATAAATATATTTGTTGGTCATTTAAACAAAATTGAGTTAGTTTCTATGCTTTTAATATATTTTATAATAAAATTAACTTATTTTAAATTCAATCTAAATCAACTGCAATTTAATGAGTATTAAAAAGCCATTCAACAAACAAATTTTGCTATTTATAAATACTAGCTTTGTGAATGCTTTGAACTAATTCTATATCTATCTCAAAACTATTTAAGTATTCTAAAAATGCCTCTTACAGTTTCTTAAATAATTAGTGATAAAAATTTATTTTACTTAAAAATATTTAATTTAATAAATTACTTCAGATAAATTTATGAACTTGGGCTTATATACTTTGCTAATATTTAATCTAATATCATGCTTTTGCTCTGAAATATATTTAAATTTTAAAATATCTTCAATTTAACTATGACTTTCATATATTCCAATATTTTTAATAGTAATTTCTCCAAAAGATTCTTCGCATTCATAAACAACATATTATTCTACTTCTGGCTTATCTTTAACAATTACCTAAGCAAAAAAACAATTAAATAAATTAAAATATATTTTCTGTGCTTAATTAATTACTAAAAATGTGAAACTGTACTCTTCAAGAGGATTTCCTAAAGGGTTTTCTTAATCTAGGATGAGGTCTCTAGCTATTTTTTCTCTTTCTTAGTGTAAAGAGTTAAAATATTGATTTTCAAATCTAATATCTAAAATATCCTTAGCTTAATCCAATTCATTATAATATAAAAATCTTTAATCGTTTGGATTTAATACATGATATCTTTCACTAAAATAATTAAAAATAATTTATAGCAAAAGTTTATTAACATAAATAAATAAATAATTAATAATATAAAATTTTTACTTAGCTCTAAATAGAATTTCTACTTATTTTGATCCTATTCTTTTAATCAATTGCATAACAGGTTTTCTTGAATTTTCTAATAGGAGAAATCCTTTCTCTGAAAAGCATTTCTATTATATTAACAATCAATAAAAACATATCATTTTAATGAATTTAGTTAAGTAGTAAGTAAAATTTTATTGAAAACAAAATAAAATCTTACCAAAAGATCTTGCTTTGTTTTATCTATAATTTATTAATTTTTTAAGTAATCTTTGATTTCATATTATAAAACTCTTCTTAAAGATGTCGCAACGGCACATTTTGCTTTTATAGTACTCATAAATTATTAATATTTTTTATTTTAACTTACTTTTGATTTCATAGTTTGTAGGATCGCTATCTAATTCTTCAATTAGCTCCTTTTCATTTTCTTTCATCTAATTACAAAGACCTTATAGATCGCTATCGAGAACATTAATTTCTTTGACTTCCTCTTTCTATCTGAGAAAGCTAATTTAAAACTTCTAGGCATATGAAAAAAATCTTTTTATAGAATACCTAGATTTGTTTAAAGAAATCATCTTAAAATTTAAATTGTGCTTTTTTATTTATTGTATAAAAAAATATTTGGTGCTATGTAGATATTTAATATTTTAGCTTTAAAATAAATATATTAATTATATTAATACACAATTTTAATTATTTGGTTATGTAATAACTAAGCAAATCAATTAATTTTTGAAAACTAAGTAAATATCTTCAAAATTATCAAGAAAGAAGAGATCATAATTTTATTGTTTAATATTGGTTTATTTTAAATATGATTTTAAAATAATTAAAATATTTTAATTAGAAGTTTATTAAGTTTAGATTGATAATATGGCTTTTATTAAAATTTAAATATAATTAAATATTTGAACATTTTACTAAGTATTTCGTTAAGTGCATATTACTACGAATTAGATGAAGAAATTTATATAGCTGTTTAGATATGGTGAAATAATTAAATTTTGGAGCAAAAATATTACAAAAACGAATAAAAATATCTACAAAACCATAGAGAAATAATTATATTATAAACAAACAATATTTTATGACAGTAATCACTTTTTCTTACTAAACTCGAGTGGTTTTTCAGTATCTTAATTTTATTATGAATACTGATAATACTATTAGTAATACATTTATTGATTTTAGTACTGTTGTTAATAATAAGATGCAAATTCTTGTTGCTATTGTTAACTGTACTGCCCATACTGTGGGTATTAAGATATTAATGGATATTATTATTCTTATCCACTTTTTTCTTAAATTTCATACTCATGTCCTTCTCTACCTTTAGTTTTTTTCAACTCTCTATCTTTGCTTCTACTTCTACTTCTGCTTCTACTTTTGCTATCTTCATAACCAGAATATTTATCTCCTTCATCATCATCATCGTCATCAGCAAAAACTTAATTCAATAACTGAACATTCTATTTCATTAATTGCTATTCTTAATTAAACTTTTTTTAAGCCAAATACTATTGCCTTTTTGCAAGGTGCTATTATTTTTTGAGGTTAGCTTCTTCAACTTTTGATCTTATTTCTTAATCTCTCTTTTATTTTTCAACTACCCTTTTGAGCTACTCGTAATGCTCTTTATTATATTTTTCTTAATTTTCTGTATCGAGATGCTCTAAAAACCATTTAATATTAATTACTTCACCTTCATCTAAAGCTTAATGTTGCATAGCTTCTTTAGCATATTCAGCCATACATCTGTGTACATATCTAATGATAGCTCTACCTTAATTAGGAAGATATTTAATATCTTCTATATCACCCCATTCACTAAAATGACGATATAATATTTCATACATTTAAGTTATTACACCAATACCCTCAGTTGGAGCTTTAAAATCTTTAATTTCAATGCTACGAGTTTCATGCATAAATGAACCAACACCTCCTCTATCTTCTCTGTGCTTGTCATGCCTTTATCTTCCGAAAACATCACGACTGTTATCTATTGTCATGCATTCAGCAAGAGATGGAACACGATGAAAATATCTAATATTATTTATAAATAAAATAGTGTTTATAAGTATTGTAAACTCTAATTAAAAGAAAAAAATTTTAAGGTTTGAAATTCTCAATGAAAATTAATTACTTTAAAATATTTAAATTTAAAACAAATTAAAAATTATTGAATTTTTATTAATCATGAATGATAAAATTTCTAATAATACATTATTTATTTTTATTATTCTAATAATCCAAAATTAAATAAATGTTGATACATTAATCTATAATGACATAGCTACTAATTAATTACCTGCAATTTTAGCCTTCAGAGCAGCAGCCCTTTGCCCAGTGGTGACAATAGTAGGCACTGTAGCGATCAGTAAGATCTGCTTTAGTGTATCCTGAATCAAGTTCTGTATTACAACGAGTTTCTGCAGGAGTCTTATGATCTCTTACAGTATCTCTAGTATCAGATAAATGCTTTCCGTACCAAATATTATATTCTTGATCACCTTCTTTGTAAGCATATTTATCTGCCAAAGACTGCTCAATTTATTTTCTTGATGGTCTAAGAAGTATTTTAGAAATATCCTTTTCACCTCTTTTAGAAATCTACTATTGCATTCCTTTTGGTATATATTTGTCTAAAGTGTTTAAATTATCTTCTATATTGTTTTGTTAAACACTCATTTATTAATTATTTTCATCTGCTTCTTAATTGTCTTCATAATTAACTTCCTAGCTGTCAGATTAAGATCTTGAACGATTTTATTTTTCTCCTTCTGATTCCAAATTTTTTTGTTATCCTTCATCTTAATCATCTACATTTTTTTTAAGCTTTTCTTTTTAAATCTACACTTTTACCATTTCTAATAATTTAGAATCATTTAATTCAGATTATGTTTCTTTTGTATTATTAACATCATCTTTTTTACTTTCATTAGATGAAATATCATTTGAATTTGAATCTTTTTACTTTTCTTATTTATACACTTTTTCAAATACCTTGAGCTTTTCTAAAACTTCAGAAGGCAATTCCCATAAAGATTGACTTGTAATTGGATTATAATAAAAATATCTATTATATGCTTCATTAAAATGCTATTCAAAAGGCTTAATTAATTCTTGAAAAACCTTTTAATCCATTTCTTTCACTCACTATTAATCCTATTATATTATATTTCCCCTTGTTATTTGTTTATCCAAGTATTTCAATATTTTAAAGCGCTAAAATTATAATAAATTTTAATCTTTTTACTAGAATTTTTGTAAATTTGATAAGAATTTAAAATAATTCAAAGGTTTTTCGAACTAATTTAATTGAAATAAATAAATAGTTATTTATATAATTAATAAGATGACTTGAAAAAAATTGATTAATTTTTATAATAATGCATCTATCTATTCCAATTATAAAAATTAAGAAGATATGCAAAAAAAATATTGAAAATATTTCAATAAATTGATAACTTACCTACCTATCTGTCATATCCATATTCTATCTAATATACTCTAAAAATTATATTTATTACTTAAATTAGAAATGAATAAAACAAAATTAAAATTGATATAAAATTAATCATTTCAGATAATTGTTTATTGATTAAACTTAATTTTATAAAATATTTTGTTCTATTTAGTTTATAATTAATATTTGCACTTAATACATTAAATAATATAAATTTATAAATAAATACACAAATGTATAATTTATATATTGTAGTAAGTAGATTATGTTTAGCTACATCAAATACTCCATCTAAAAAATCATTTTTCAGTTTTTGTAGTTTAAATTCCATTAAGATTATAATTGATATATTTTGATTAGATTGATGGATAATACAGTATTATTTGTTATCAAAAATTTTATGAAATTAAAGATTAAGAATTTTAATCAAATTTTAAATTTTCTTTCTTTTGTTTATTAAATTTTTTTGAATATTGAAAGGAAATCAGTCAAAAATATTAATAATTTAAGATTAAGTATTATTTTTTAGTTAGTGTTCTAAATTCATTAAAATAAAAGACTTTAAAATGAATGAAGATTTTTTTAAGTAGCTAAGCATAAATGAATTGAAGGCATATAAATAGCGCTTACAAATTAGGAATAATGGTAAATCAATTTTTATCAGATAATAAATATCTTTTACTCTTAACTATTTAAAAATATCAGATATGAATAATATGGTTGAATATATGAAAAAAGAAAATGAAAATTTAGAGGAAATGAAATCGTTTTTGTCTAACCACTAGTAGCATATTACTCTCCTTCTTAAAAGATAAGAAACTAGAGAATTTGAAAAGTATCTATTTTACCAAATTGCTTTTTGAATTTAAGTAATAATTTAATATATAAACAAATAGGAAAGCACGCAACAAAATATTTACTACGATTATATAAAATGGAGTGAATATGCTTCCTACAAATTTAAATCCAAAGAACTTGATAAACTATTTCTCAAATCTGTAAATAATTAAAATTTTGAATAGTAAGATATCTTATTTTCTAAATAAAAATTATAAAGCCAAAATAATGATGTGCCTGATTAACAAATATCTAATGATGAAGATTATTAGAAAAAAATATCAAATCAACCTAGTAAATATTTATTAAATACTAATCAAATTAAAAATAATATATTGAATATTTTAACTAATTTTAAAAAGATGTTGATGAGATTATATACAATCCCAAACAAAATTTATCATAAATACTAGCATCAAATAATAACCTTCCTCAATAGAACTAAACAGGATAAAGATAAAGAAAAAAAATCTTTGAGGAGCAAAAACCTTTGTATAATCCGCTAGCATCAATACCATCATTTATTTAGTAGAATTAACAAATATAATAGTAGTAAAAGGAGTAATAGCTAATATAGTAATCCAATCAAGCTCAACAAAATCAATAAAATGAAAAAGAAAATGAAACTAATGAAAAAAAAAAACAATAGCAATAATAAAAACAGTAATAGCAACCACAAAAGTAATAAAAACACTTTGAAGAAGATGAGTGCTATAATATTGAATAAGATTCAATATGAAAATATTTATGCAAGTTTAAAATATATTTTTACATTTTATTAACTAAATAAATATTACAAAAATTGGTTAAAATTCATTTGAAATAACGTTTTTAAGAAACTAAAATCTATCTTTCTTAAATTATTAATTATTTTAATTAATTTTTTTATAAAAATAACAAAGTTTTTATTAAATTTATTTTACTGCTAAATATGTATTATGTATATTTATTTACTTTAAGAGTTAAATGTTAAATTGAGTCTTTAGAAAATTTAAATAAATTAAAAATTTTTAAAAATTAAATTATTATTTTGCTTTAAATTAATATATTTTTATCATTAAAAAAATATTAATATCACTTTATTTAAAGAATTAATTGAGTTTTTCCAAATATTTATAATTATCATCAGTAATAATAATAAATAATTTCTTTAGGGATCATTAAGATTTGTTTCAGAGTTTGCAAAATTAAAAAATTAACAAATTTTTTGCTTTACAACAAACTAAAAATAATTGTATGAAATTTTAGAAATTTATTTCAATGAAGAGTATAAATTTAGATTGATATTAATTTTTTAGATTTAAAATTGGTTCAACTTCAACTTTATTTAAGTAAAAATTGTATTTATTTAATTTCAATTTTTATTTACTGATTATTTTTTGTTTAATAATTCATTTATTTTAATTATCTATATATTATTATATCTATAAAATTAAATTATATATATGTTTGTTGTTAAATCCTCAGATTATAGCTATTTTCAGAAAATTATTTCTTGAGTTAGAATTATGGGAGCAGTTAGAATTGAATCAATTTTTTAATGAAAAGGGTCTGAACACATGGACACACTTATATTCGATTACATTGATATTTTAGTTGAGATATTGGATCACTAAATTAATTAAATATTATTTTTGTGAAATTTATCAATTTTTAATCACTCAATAGAACATTTTGTAGCTATTATTTCGAAATAATACTCACATATTTAATAAATAACTTTTTTATTTTCGTATATTATTTTACTAACTACGTGTAAATTATTTTTGAACTATTCTTTCATACTTTATTGTATTTATTTTGTATCTTTAAAAAAGTAAATAGGATTGTTCAAAATTAAATTACAAAATATTTTAGGAGGGATTTAGTTACATTTATGAAAAAAGTAGTTTTCTTTTGAGATATTTGTAAAGAGAGTCTTCAATTTTCACTCTTTTTTCTAGAAAATTTGATTTAGTGAAAAAAGGTATCTAGTAATGAAATAGGTTAAGTTTATTAAGCTAAAAAGATATTTTTATTTAAAATTACGTAATATGTATGAATTGGTGGGTACTTTTGTCGAAATAAGGATGATCTATTGTAAAATCAAAAAATAAAAATGAAATTTAATTAAATTAATATTGAGAGTTGATAAAAAATATGAATGCATATGTATATAAATGAATTTATCATATTAAAAATTAATTTTTAGAAAAAAATTCATCATTAAAGGTAAAAAATATACGTCACATTTCTCCTGGAAAAGATTAATTGAATTAAAGATATGTTCCTATTTTGATTAATTAACAATTTAATTAAAACTCCTATCAGTGTTTTTGTTATTAGTATTATAAATTCTGTATTAAAAAACAAAAGTTACAGCATGTAGTTTTTAAAAATAAATTAGTGAAAGAAAAATGATCGTCATTCTTGCAAAGTTGCTTTAAAAACTGAAATAAACAACAAAAAAATTAATTAAAAATATATCTTTAATAATATATTAAAAAAATCAACTTAAGGAAATAACAAACCTTTTCAATAAGCAAGTCGTTCTAAAAATGTAAAATTATTGAGATCCTTTCAAACTGTTATTAAAAATTCTTTTTTTGTTTTACTAAGCCATGCAAAGACTTCTAAATAAAGCATTTAAATAAACTTCACCTTCATTAGTTAGCAAGTAGGTGAATAACTTCGCTGTCATTTATGGGCCTCTAGCTGATGTTAAGTTTGATCTTGAACACTTAAACAAGCAAAGCACAAAGATTTAACAATTCATCAACATATATCGTAAGCACGGTCACTAGTTTGCTTCTATTGATCCTCTTAATCTAGTTAACAGGTAAATTCTTAGCCATATTTCTATTCTATAATATATCTTCACTTTTCAGATCCACTTCCCTATCACATAAAATGTAAAAATCAAATAAAAAAATAACATTTTAAATCAAAAGATCTTCAGAATTTGTAAATCCACTTGATTTTGGTATTAAGTATACTGAAAACTATTAGAAGGACATTGATAAAGATTCTTCTTACATTTCTACCCTTCCTGAAGCCTAGGAAGTAGCTTCATTAGAATAATACTTGAAGAGAGTCTACTAAGACACTGTCGGTGTAGAGTTCGAGCATGTCAACGATCCAGCTGAAAGAACTTGGCTTTACTATAATTTCGAAAGACACTAGCTGACTGAATTAACTAGCTTTGAAAAAGTTAACATCCACTCTCTTCTCAGTCAAACTGAAGCTTTAGATCATTTCCTACATAAGAAATTCTAAACTTTCGTAAAAAATACTTTTCAAAAAATAAAAAATAACCATTCAACATTTGCTTATTCAAATAGAAAAGATATGCAGGTGAAGGAGCAGAGTCTTCTATTGTAGGTTTAAAAACTATCTTGGCCAAGGCTAGCGAAATGGGTGTAAAAATAAAAATTTTCTATTTTTTATTATTACGTTATCATATTAAAAACTGAAATAAACAATCAAATAGAATTTCATAAAAAATTAATTAAACAGGGCTTAAAAATTAATAGTTTTATTTAAAAAAATATAGCAAATAAAAGAAAAAAGGAAATAATAAAGGAATTTGCATAAAAAAATATTAAAATTATTAATTTTTACAATAATATAAAAGCAGTTTATCAAATAGATTTTTCTTTTTTTTAATTATTAATTATTTAATGTTTAGGTTGAAGATGCAGTTATTGGCATGCCTCATAGAGGTAGATTAAATGTTTTATGCAACTTATTAGATTATCCTGTTGCTGATTTACTTAGAAAGATTAGTGGACATCCTGATTTACCAAATGAGTTATACAACTATATTGATGATGTCGTCTCTCATATTGCAGTTTCAAAGAAAGGTAAATTATACGCTGGTACTGGCTGTAAAGAAAGACCTATTAACGTTTCTTTACTTCATAATCCTTCTCATTTAGAAGCTGTCAATCCAGTTAGCATGGGTAAGGCTCGTGCTAAAATGGATGAAAAAACTAAAACAGAAGTCCTCAACATTTAATTGCATGGTGATGCTGCTTTTTCTGCTCAAGGTGTTGTTTATGAATCATTTGCTTTAGGAAAAGTTCCTAAATTCTCTGTTGGTGGTACCATTCATATGATAGTCAACAATCAAATAGGTTTTACAACCAATCCTATTGATGGTAGAGGTGGTTTTTACTGCAGTGATATTGCAAAGGCTTTCGATACACCTATTATCCATGTAAATTCTGATGATCCTGAAGCTATTCACAGAGTTTGCAAATTTGCTGTTGAATATCGTCAACGTTTCTAAAAGGATATTTTAATCGATGTCATTGGATATCGTCGTTATGGACATAATGAACTTGATGAACCTGAATTCACTTAACCTCACATGTACAATCATATTAAAAATACCTAAAAGACATGCCCTCAATTGTATGATTCCAAACTTATTGAATCTAAAATTGTAAAAGAAGGTACTTATTAAAAGATTAGAGAAAAAACCTTTGCCTATTGTGAGACAGAATTTGAAAAAATTCCTTCTATCAAAAAAACTGTTGAGGAATACAAAGCTGATAAGCATAATTCAGCATCTGCTTTCCGTTAAAACTGGAAAAATATGGATTTCAGTTAGTATGGAGATAACAGTAGACCTACTGGCTATAATGCTGATATTTTACGTCAACTTGCAAGATAAAGTGTTGTGTTACCAAATGGATTTTAAGTTCACAACCGTTTACAAAAGAACTTCATCTAATCTCGTATGAAAGCTGTTGAAAACAACTCTCTTGATTGGTAAAAAAATAAAAACATTTTTTATTTCTTTAAAAATTATTTTCGATACTAACTTTCTAAATAAGTTTTAATATATAATAAATAAACACTCCTTATAGATTTATAGATGAATAAATAAATTTAATTTAAATAATTAAATAAATAGGGCAACCTGTGAAGCTTTAGCTGCAATGACTTTGTTGGAAGAAGGTCACACTATCCGTTTCACTGGTGAAGATGTTGAAAGAGGTACTTTTTCTCAAAGACATTGGGTATTCACTGATTAAATTACTCACAAGCACTGGAATCCTATTTAAGTAAATTATAATTAAAATTTAAAATAGTCAATCAATAAAAATTTATATGTAGGAGTTATATGAAGGCTTCAACAAAGGTAAATTGTATGTATATAACAGTCCTTTAAGTGAAATCGGTGCTCTTTCTTATGAATATGGCTATTCTTTGGAGTCTGAAAGAATCTTTTCTATTTGGGAAGCTTAGTTTGGTGATTTTAACAACAGTGCTTAAGTAGCAATTGACACTTTCTTGACTTGCAGTGAACATAAATGGGCTAGATAATCATCTCTAACTCTTTTATTGCCTCATGGTATGGATGGTGCTGGTCCTGAACACTCCAGTTGTCGTATGGAAAGATTCTTATAAATGGGTAACACTGATGGTATTGACAGAAATCTCACTTACGCAGGATACAATCCTAATAGAAGTCCCTCAAAAGTAGAAGATCAATAATTCTACATGAGCCACTAAGATGTTAACTTCTAATTAATTAATCCAACCACTCCTGCAAACTATTTCCATGCTTTAAGAAGATAAATGCACAGAAATTACAGAAAGCCACTAGTTGTAGTTGGACCTAAAACTTGTAATTTTATTTTATTTAAATATATATATATAGTTTAATCAACAAACCAGCCAATCAATCAAAAATAAATAGATCAATAGCGCTTAAAAATTTTTAATTTAAAAATAAATTTTAATCATAAAAAGTATACTAACATAATTACTTATTGATGACCATATATAATAAAAAATTAAAATTTTAGATTTATAGGAATAAATTAGCATCAAAATTATCATGATTTTTTAATTTATTTCTTTACAATTGATTTTACATAATTAACTGAATTAGAATGAAATTATTTTAAATTTTTATATAATTTTTAATATTTAAAAGTGATAAGACATTAATTGGCTAAATCTACTTTTGAAGATATGGGTGAATAAACAAGATTCAAAGAAATCATTTAAAGATTAGAAGTTAATCACAAAACCAAAAACATTATTATTATGACAGGAAAGTTCTAATATGATGTTTATAATTAAATTGAATAAGCTAACAAATAGGATACCACAGCTCTTGTAGTCTTAGAAGAATTACTTCCTTTCCCTGAAGAATAGCTTAAAACTATTCTTGCTAAAGCTGATGCTCATCATGCAAATGTAATTATTTATTAGTTAATTAATTTATTTTTTCAATTGTTTATTTTTAAATTTTAGATTTATTGGGTACAAGAAGAACATATTAACTCAGGAGCTTATGTTTATAGTGAACCACATATAGCAAGAATAATTAGAGAACTTAAATTTAAAAACCAAAAAATAACTTACGTTGGTAGAAAGGCTTCTCCAGCCACTGCTACTGGTAGATCAAAAGAACATCCTCAAGAATTAAAACAAATACATGCTTATATTGAAAAAATTATTTCTTAATGATTCCTTCTTTCTCATATGTCTCTATCTATCTATCTAAATAAATAAATAACTTACTAATTAAATATTTTTCTATCTATCTATTTATTTTATGGATTGTAAACCATTAACTAAATAATTTAAGCTTAATTATTTCATTCTTAAATAAGTAACCAAAAATATTAAAAATTAATTCTATTGCTAAAAAGACCAAATTAAAGTTTTGTAAAATTCTTTAATTAAATTGGGTTTAAATAAGGCATTTATTTATTTTTTTAGATTTATTAAATTTATAATATTTCGTATATAATTAAATTTTATTTTAAGTTTTTGTTTCTTCTTATTGATTAGCTTTTATATTTTTTTATCAGCTTTACTGAAAATAAAAAAAATTAAATTTGTCTTAAAAATTGGTTTTGCATAGAAGTAAATTTTAAATAATCAAAAGTATTTATTTAGTTAAGTTTTATTATATGTTTTATCATTCATCAGAAATATGTATTGTATAAATTGACAAAGTAATGTTTTAATTTAAAAATATCTTAAAATTTTTAATAATCTGCATGAGGATAAATAAAATATTGTCAAAATTATGGATCTAAAAATATTTTTACTATTATTAATCGAAAGGAAATAATAGATCTAATTAAAGAAACCTATATAAAAAATTAAATTAAATCGCTTTTAGGATTATTTTTATTTCAAAAAACTAAGGCGAATTAAGTGATCTTTTTGACCCTTTTATTTGAATATAATCGAATTCATACTATGATAGTGTTTCTTTATTTCTATAAATTTATTTTTTTAATTGTAATATTTTTAACATTAAGACTTGATTTAAAATATAAAAAGATTATGACCATATATTAATTAGTGTTTAATGAATCGATTTACTTATATAAAATTAATTGATAAATTTTAAGAATAAAAATGTGGGAATATTATAAGCATATAAAATGCTATTAATTACTTTCTTCAAATAAACTTTTTTATTTAAATATTTTTTATTTTTTGGATGCAGTAGATTAAACTTGATATTTGATTGAGAAAAAATTACTTTTAAATTATATAATTGCATAGAATTAAAATAAGTTAATGAGAGAGTGAAATTAGCTATAGAGAAAGAAATATAGTCATAGAGAGTACTAGTTTATAAATATTCTTAAAGTGTTTTTATTTATTTATTTATTTATTTGTTTGTTAATTACTTGCCTAAAAAATTTCTAATTAGTTTGTAGTTTGCAGATTAAAGTAAAATTTGCTCTAAAATTTAAAAAATCAAAATGAATTAATCATTCATTATAGATTATTTAATTGGTAAAAATAGATGCCGATGAAAAGAAATAAAATTTGAAAGCAAATAAATAAAGGTCGAGTTAATATTATTATTTTCAATATTTGATTAATTAAGTAAATAAAATAAAAATGATTGAATAGTAAATAGGATTAATAAAAGCGATTACTAGTTTATTAATGAATAAATTAATAAATAAATGAATGAACGAACGAAGGGTTAAGAGATTATTAATCTATAATTTTAAAAGAAAGGAACTTGGTTGTATTTTTTTATTAGTTTTTTTAATCAATTAAATATCTTTACTTACCCTTAATATTAGTTAGTCAATTTAATTAGCAATATACTGAATAAATAAATAAACAATCTAGCAAGCAAGCATAGAAGCTAATTTATAGAGAGGTGTTTGTAAATTGATTAACTCTTATATAGGTGCAAGAGCAAGAACATTCATCAGTAATTAAGGATGAAGAGTAGCAAAATTAACAGCCAAAAGAGTTAAGAATATAAGGATGAAAATTTGACTACATTAAATACTGAGTAAAGTGCTCATAATCACACTCAAAAGAGATAGTCAGTCAAAAATTCTACATTAAAGAGCTAGCAAAAAATTGGAGATAGCAGCAAACCAATAATTTCTACTAAGACAAATATTGAAAATTTTAGTGGAAATTCAGCAACTATTGGGCAAAATCATAGTGGTTCATAAAATGCTGCTAGTTTTTAGCCATCTAAAACATTTTCTATTATGAGCAGGATCTTTTAGAAATAAGGGAATAATGCAAGTTCTAATGTCAAAAGCAGAGTTAATTTTGATAGCAAGACACAAGTTAACTTCATTTAGAAATAACATTCTCTTAAGAAAATAGACCTTCATACAGACTCAATCATGCGAGATCCACTTGTAAATGTATTCCCTGAAGGAATGCCCAGAAAACATATTCTATATAAAGAATTACTATAAGCCTATTTTAACGGTGATATTACTATGAATGAGCTGATTGATTTGCGCAATAAGTATACTATGAAAAGAGAGAGAGTTGTTTCCTTGCCTTTGAAGGACGATGAATAGCAGCTTCAGCAATTGAATGAAAAACAAGATTAAAAAGCAAATAAAAAGTTATGGGAGCAAATCCGTCAACTTAGATAAAAGTAATTAAACAAATTCAAGAATAATGAAAAAAGAGCTTAAAGGTCAAGCATAGTTATCAATTCTCCTGGAGGAATGATCTTAATGAGAGCAGACTCAATTCAGTCTGGAGGACTTTAATCATAAAATTCTTTTTCTTAAGCGACTTTGTCAAGATAAGATACAAAATAAGATATAGGAATGGAGTAAATAGATGAAAAGGAAGAGAATTAAAAATTCTATGAAGATGAGATTACTCAAAAAAATAGTAACAGCTAGTCTGATCAGCAGGGAGTTAAAAAGATTACAAAATTTGGTTCTATAATATTTGATAAATTGCTTAATATTAAAGATAAAGTAGAGCACAAAAAAGTAATATAAATGAAACAAAACAAGCAAAACTAGAATTAGTTTTTAACTCAATTTGAAGAAGCTTAGTAGGAAGTTATAGAAAAAATTAAAAGAGGAGACCTTTTGCAAAATGATCTCTCTCACAAGTATTATGTAAAACAGTTCATAGAAAGAAAAAATTTAAATCATCTCAAGATTCTTGCAGATAAAACTGCCTAAAGTAATAAATTAAAATGATTATTAGTTAATTAATTCTTTCATTAATATTTTTCTTCTTATTACAAATTAATTGGAGATTTTAATTTTTATAAGCACATTTTCTATCTAATTCTATCTTCAACTTTCTATAATATGAATCAAAATGATTCAATCAATAATTATCATTAATAACATTTAATTTTTAGTATTAGCAATTTAAAATAAAATAATTTTAAGATTATTAATTATTCTTCATATTTAATAATCACAATAAATAATGCTCAAAGCATAAACATAATTTAATATGAATATATTAATCAGTTGAAATAATTTTATTGATTTATTGAAAAGAAAATTTTAAATAATATTATTGATTACCATAGTTTAATTTATTTAAATATAAATATAAAATACAAATATAAACTAATATCTTATGCTAATATCTCAAAAAAACTTAAATAACTACTTTCTCTAAAGAAAGTTTGAATATAACTATTCGATACTTTAGTTAAATTATCAAAAATACCATCCTTTTAAAAAAAATTTATATTCTATTCATTAATAACATTGCTTTGAATTGTAGGAGGGTAGAATTTTTTGGATTATAATTTTTTAATGTTATATTGATTTTTTAAATTGAAATATCCTTAAACGATCAAACAATTAAAATTTTTAATTTAATTTCATTTAATATAATAAAATAAGTTGAAAGCTTAGTAACAGCCAAGACTGTTAAAAAAATGAATGAAGATTTCAAAGCTAACAAACATAAGATTTTTAAAGAAATAGAAAATGCTGCTGATGAATATTTAAATAAATTACAACTAAAAAGAAATTTACTAGAACTCTTTTCTCAAAGTAATACAAATAAGTACGAAGAACTTGAACAGCTAAAGAACTGGAGATAGCAAAATTCTAAGAAAATACTGAAGGAATAGTAAGAAAAACACATGCATTAATATCAATTTGAAAAAGAATAAAAAGAATTAGAGTAAGAAATAAAGAAATAAAGGCTACTTTAAAGTAGACTTATGAGAAATAGCATGGATAACATTTCAAATACCAATTCAAAATAGGAAAATAGTTCATCTGTTGAAAATATTAAAAATAATTATTTCACTTCGGCTTAGAGATTGCAATCAAATTCATTAAGCTATAATAAAAATTTTAGTTTATAACAACCTTCTATTATCGGACAGTTTCTCAAAAAAGAAATGAGTTCTCCATCAATTTTTACTTAGTAAAGGAATTTAAATTCAATAAACACATAGAATGGATATGGTATCATTAACAATATTAACCCAAAATCATTAAGTATCCCTTTCAGTAATTAAAATAATATAAACTTCAACTAAAATACTACAAATTCAACAATTTTGCATGTAAGCAGGACTTCAATGACTGATTATAACTCGATTCTTGGAAATACAACAAATATAGGAAAATAGGCTTAAATCACTTAGAGCTATTAAAATTAAAAGCCACATAGAACAAATATTTTGTAAAGAAAGCAAACTGATGGACTATTAACAGCTAAGGGAGGCTAGAGATACATTGAAGATTACATGAATATAAATGGAACTGCTTCATCAACAGCTACTACTTCAAATTCAAACAAAATTAATAATTTATTCTCACCGTAAAAGAATAAGGGCTTCCATCTTCCTTAGAATATTTCGCAAATTGGACCTTACGGATAAAAGGTAGTTGATCTTGATCATAAAAATAATAATTAAAAATAGACATCAGAGTCTAAAAGGAAGAATTATTAAAAAAATGAAGTAGATTAATTATCAAAATCTGCTTTAATTGAACAAAGTAAACAAGATGATCAATAAAACTAGAAGTAAAAGGAAAATTAAAAAATAACAATAAATTACCTGAACAAATCTAAAATTATTAATGAGCATAATAAGCAAAACAAGTAAACGATCTTCTTGAAAGATTTATATGATTTATATTCACAAGAAGAGTTATATAGAAACACAAACTAGCTTCGTACTAGAAGTAAAATGCTTGTATCAGATAAAGAGAACTTATAAAACTTTTACAAGAGTGAATATGAATACAAAATAATTAAAAGAAATGCCAATTCATAAACAGACAGATAAAATTCATTCTATAAAACAGAAGGAGATAAATCAGTAAGCACTCTGGCTATTCCAGAAATAAAGTAAAATAGAGTGAAAAGTGAGTCTAATTGTTTAAATTCTACCAATATGAATAAGCAAAACTACTATCAAATATAAGGTCACAACCAAAATGAAGATAGCTTGATTGAAAAAAGTAACAGTTAAAATTTCAACAACATGAAAAATAATAACAATAATTTGGATGATTCTGAAAGTGGAGACTCTTCATTACCTTCTATCACTGAAGCTTAGCTGGATTCATATTATTCTCAAAGTAAACATATCTAAAAAATGATACTAAAAACAAAAGGAAATACCTAGCTATTTGCAAGGAGAATGAAGAATGTTATTAAGCTTAAAGAAATTAATGAGTAAGTTATTTATTTATTTCACTACTTAACCAATAAAATAATATTAAAAAAAAGATATAAACTTTAAAAAATTCAACTTTCATTGATTTTAAATAATTTAGTTAATAACTTTTGTAAAATGCTTTTTATTTAAATAAAATAAATTTTAATAAAGAGCTTTTACAATTTAATAATTTTTTTTCTTTCTTAATTTGAATTTAATATTTAATAGGGGTATTAATAAATGTACAAAGATGAAGTTGAATCACAAAAGCATTAAAAATTATTGATTTTTCTTAATAAAAATTTGAATATTAGACTAAAATTATTTTAAAGTATTAAATAAAAATAAATATGTAAATAATCAATCAATCACAAATATACAAATAATTTCTTTTTAACAAAAATAAGTTAATATTAAAACTACTTTTTCCTCTTTAAATTAAATAAAATAATTTAAGATAAAAAATATATTAAAGATAAATAAATAAACTGTAAAAATTGAAATGAACTTCAATTGCTTCCTTGCTTTTATGTTTATAAACCAAATTAATAAAAGTAATAAAAGCATTTATTTTTTTGTACACTTATTTAATGTATAATTATTCTTCAAAACAGATAAAATTTAAAATATGATAGTCTTATTTCAAATTTTTGCAATTCTTTAGATTGGTTGTTTGTTTGCTCTGCTAGATTAAAAATACTTCAAATAATTTAGTAAAATCATTATAAAATATTCGATTGTTTTAATAACAGAAAGATATATATTTCATTAGTTGAGTATGTCTTCCTTACTATATATTAAGCTAAATATATCAAAAATGATAAAAGATTTTTAAATAAATACAAAGTATTATTTTTAGAATCATAATCTTATTAATTTTCACAATAAAATACATAAAATCTTTTACTAAAATTTTTTGCTGCTCAAATTATTAAATTTGATTAAAAGGGAGATTCAAGCATTTGCTAGCAATTTTTATAGTGAGAATTTTGTATTTATTAATTTAAGACTATTGTCTTTTAAATTAGGATGAATTATGAAATAATTTGTTTTTTTTTTTAATTCTAGAAAGTATTTAAAAATACAAAATTTGCCCCTACCAAAAGTTTGAAATTTTTACATTAAAATTAAAATAAAATACCAATTTTTTTTATTAATAGGAAAATCATCATTAATAAATCTATTATAATTATTTTTATAATTTATTTGTTGCTGTTAAAAATATGTCAATTTAAATTATAGTGAGAGAACTTAACATCCATCCGGGATATTTTGTCACAGATATAGATATGGAAAATCATTTAATTTTTTTATTGTGAAATGAGTACGATT